AAAGGATGTAGTCAATCTGATTTCGGTGTTGACCGTCTGGTGAGGTCCATGTGTAAAGCCGTCTTTTAGGTTGTTGGAAGAGAGTATTCGTTATACACAGCGAGTTTTCCTGGCAAAATTCTATCAGCCTGCGTCCCGCTTCATTTTGTTCTCCCAGACCATGCTTGCCTGTGATCCCTGTTGTCATTTGACTTCCCACCTTGGCATTCCAGTCTCCTGTATATGAAAATAATGTCTCTTTTTGGTGTATTATCCAGTAGGTCCTGCAGATCCTCATAGAACTGATCTACTTCTGCTTCTTCAGCAGCTGTGGTTGGGGCGTATATTTGGATCACTATAATGTTGAAAGGCTTTCCTTGCACTCGAATTGAGATCATTCTGTCATTTTTTGGGTTGTATCCAAGCACCGCTTTAGCGAATTTCTTATTAATTATGAAGGCTACTCCATTTCTTCGATGTTCCTCTTGTCCGCAGTAGTAGATCTGGTAGTCATCTGATGTGAAGTGGCCCATTCCAGTCCATTTCAGTTCGCTGACCCCCAGAATGTCTATCTTTAGTCTTGACATCTCACCAATAACAACATCCAATTTGCCCTGGCTCATAGATCTTACATTCCAGGTTCCTATGATGTGTTGATCTTTAGAGCATCGGATTCTTCACCTCCAGTACCGTCGGCCGCTAGCCTTCCTTTCGGCTTTGAGCTAGCTGCGTCATCACATCTGGGGTTAGTTGAACTTATCCTCTGCTCCTCCCCAGTAGCATTTTGGCCATCTTCCGACCTGGGAGTCCCATCTTCCAATGGCATACCAACATATCTCTGTTTGAACTGGTCCATTTAGTATTCTTGGCAAGAATACTGGGGTGGTTTGCCATTGCCTTCCCCAGGGATCATGCTTGGTCTGACCTCTCTGTCACGACTGTCCCGTCTTGGGTGGCCCTTCACGGTTTCGCTCATGACATCATTGAGGTGCTCAAGCTCCAGCGCCCCGACAAGGCGGTGATCCTTTGCTGGAGGATAGATAAACCCATTGTCCTATTTCCAACAGACCTCACTACCTCTGAGGATGCTTGCCATAGATGCAGGTGAAGCGTCAGGAGAAATGCCTCTAGAACATGGCCCTATAGCCCGAAAAACCCCACAAGAACCTAGTGATTCCAGCCATGAAAGCCTTCGACAATACACACCAGTTATACTTTGAATCTTGTATTACCTCGTTCTTGTTTTGTTTTTGTTTTTTCATTTATCTACCATTCATTTTAAATGTACTTTGTCTCAGGTAGTGGTATGAAATGAGATTTTTTAATACTCACAATACAATTGATATTTCATTAAGTGAATCATTCATTAAAGTAATGAAAAATTAAGAATAACAAATGAAAATCTGTAATATTCAAACATTATTTTTAATAATTGAAATATGTAACAGATGAGATACAATAAAATTATATGAATGAGGGCTGGAAATTTAAAGATTGGGTTGCTATATGGCCATGTTCCAGAAGCATTCTCTCCTGGCATTTCGCCTACATCTGTGGCAGGTTTCCTCAGAGGTTGTGAGGTCTGTTGGGAACCTGACAAGTGAGATTTATATATTTAAAATTGTTTATATAAGCTCCGTAGTTCAAGTTAAGTATCCCTTATCCAAAATTCTTGGACCCTGAAGTGTTTTGGATTTTGGACTTTTCCATATTTTTGGAATACCAGTATTTTCATATGTGTACATAAAGAGCTATCTTGAAGAAAATAATGTTGTACATTAAACAAAGATTGAATACACCAAACCATCTTAAAGCAAAAGTTTCACTATCTCAAATACCCATATAGACAATTTCAGATTTTGAAAATCCAGATAAGGAATGCTCAACCTTGTATTGATTTAACAAGGTTTCCAGTGAAAGGGCTCGAAAGGCTTTCTATGATTGATAGTGTTTCAATTCCAAGGGCCATGGAAGACGTCTGCAAGAGATATCATTTTATAGATCCTCATATATACATTTCTTTGACCATGATCCTAATGTTCAATACCTGAAAAGGCAGATAGCCTAGCACCTTAGTTTCTTTGATATTCTTATAACTAACTGAACTGAGATTATTTAATTGATTATTGATTGAAGTCATGTAGTGAAGTATGTTTTTTCATGCTTTCACTGATACATAATGATTTTTCATTTCAGGTCAAATCTGATCTAGATGCTGTGTCTGAAAGGTTATCTCGTTTCACAGAAATGGGAAACAGCTGCTCGCATGTTGAACACATTTTGAAAGACCTTGCCAACTTTGAAAGCAAATCTCATGTAAAGATTTGATTTTTTTCATATCCCATATTTTTGAAAGAAACTACATCTCTAAAGAGTGACCACCTTACATTCTCTTGGTTTGTCCATTTTTGTAGGATGTTCTGGAAAAGGCCAGGATGCTCATTTCGACAGCCGATCAGTTTATACAGAACAATCATTATGCTGTGGACTCCATCCTCCCAAAGTGCAATGAACTCCAGCAACACTGTGGCATGATTGCTGCACAAGCAAATAAAATAAGGGCTCTCCTCAATCATTCTTTTGAACTTCATAGCCGGCTGGAGAAGGTAACCCTAACCTCATTGTTTCCTCTTCTCATTTGCTGCTATACATGCAGATATGTGATAAGCTTGCTTCACCTGTCACTTACTATTTCCTTCATGGGGTGGCAGATGAATTGCTTCTTTCCTGCAGGAATGCCTAGCTAGAGGGCAAGTCAAAGATCAAGTCCAATTCAACTCTCAGAAGGCTGCACAAACATCCCAACAAGAAGATCAAGAAACAAGAAAAGCATAATTAGGAGATTAGGAAAGGAAGCTTTATAGCAGATTGGATGACTGTGGCTTTCCCTATCATTTCCTGGAGCAGACTCTCTTCAAGTCTTTTCATCAGAGGCAGACATGTTATCTTTGCTGCTTTGAATGCCTGGTTTTCATTTCCCACAAAATGGTTATTTGGGTTGAGGGTTACCCATGTGGATTTCAGCCGTAGTATTTAGAACTGTTGAAATGACACAAATCAGATTTTCTTAGTAGTGGGAATTGAAGGTAAAAGGTCTGTTGAAAGTGTGAAGGGATTTCTGTATCCCTTCACACTTTCATTTTTTAGAAATATGAACGGGGCCTTTCCCAATTCAGAATTTTATTTTTATTTTCTGCCGCACCTTTGAATTAAGAAGCCCCCAGTGGCACAGAGGGTTACACTTGCTGACTGAAAGGTCGGCAATTTGAATCCAGTGAGTGGGGTGAGCTCCTGCTGCTAGGCCCAGCTTCTGGCAACCTGGCAGTTCAAAAACATGCAAATGTGAGTAGATCAATAGGTACCACTCTGGTGGGAAGGTAATGGCGCTCCATGCAGTCATTCCGGCCACATGACCTACAGACAACGCCAGCTCTTCAGCTGATAAGCACCCCCCCCCCCAAGAGTTGGACATAACTGGACTTAATGTCAAGGGGAAACCTTTACTTTTTTACTTACCTTAGAATTAAGAGAGTTATATCAGAGTAAAGCAGATGCGTTTATTGCTTGAACTCATAGGGAATCAAGGAGAAGCAGCCTGAAAAGTGTGAATGAAGGAGGACAATGTGTTATCAGATTCAAATGGTACCAGTAGATTAGGGGTTATATAGAGGAAATGTAATCCAAATGTTTGATCATTTTCAATATATTGTACTTGGTTTTCAGCCAAGGGTGTTTACTTTCTCTATTTTCTTCTTATCTCCTCTTTGTGTCTGCAGTCCATGAGGTGGTGTGATGAAGGAATTTATTTGTTGGCTTCCCAACTTGTAGACAAATGCCAGACGCAAGATGGAGCAGAATCAGCTTTACAGGAGATTGAGAAATTTTTGGATACTGGCAGAGAATATAAGCTCAAGGAACTGAATGATTTGTACAGAGAATATGAAGCTATCCTTAGTGAGGAATTAATGGTAATCTTGATACCAGGATGTGCATCGTGGTCTTTGATAGTCGTGAATACGTAGACACATGTGGTTATTCTAGTCTCACATTCTGTTAGGGTTTTATATTGTGCATCAATATATTCAATTTTTTTTCAAAACTTCAGTGGCTCAGCAACTGACGAAAAACCGCATGGTTCAGATCCTAGTACCTATTTATATAGAAGCAGTTGTGGTCATATATAGGGGGATTTGTACCTGATTTTTTCCTCTTTCATGGCTGTCAACCTTCCACTTCAGCCCTTAAGCAACCCTTATGAACACTGTGTGGGGCTGCAATGTGAGAAGTATAAGCAATACCACCCCTTTATTCAAGTCAGCTTCTGCCCACATATTGATAGAGAAGCAGGTTGAATATAGGACAATAGTTACGTAACTAGTAAACATGGCAAGACAATCAGGAGGCCATTTTGAAAAGCAGAGCAGCAATTCCACAGTAGAATCTTGATCTAGTTGTATTAGAGTCCTATTCTGTATAATGGATGAAAATAGTATGTACTTTAAAAACAGGGCACATTATTTGTCCCTCATTTTTATACTCAAGCTGATCAGAAGAAAGTGCACTCCAACCTGTATGATTATGCATCAATTGTCAAATAAGACGATGTTGAAAATGATGTTGGGTATTTCTGGGTTATGCTGCAGGAACACATACAAAAAGTTTTTCAGAAGCAAGAAGGCATGGGAGAAATGTTTCAAAAGAGGCAGGTCAGTCTTAAGAAGTTGGCTGCCAAGCAGACTCGTCCAGTTCAGCCTGTGGCCCCTCGGCCAGAGGTCTCTCTCAAATCACCTTGTCCTTCTCCAGGTATGCAAATGAGTGACTAGATTGCTGTGAAGTACTGAAAACAAACCACAAAATTAATTTTCCAAGTGTGTTTTTCCCTTTAGCTAATGCCTGTATCTCCATTGTTGGCTTCTATTTCATACTCTAGGGCCTCAAAGAGATTCTGAAGATCCATCCAGTCTTGACAATCCTATGATCCAGAGAATCAGCTTCAGAAGAGCCAAGGTATATTTATAGTTTGTCAGCAGGTGGGTGGGTTGAATAGGTTTTGTTCCTTGAATGTTAGCATGTTAATTTCATTGCAGGAAGGGTTTTTTTTTGTTTGCTTGTTTTTATTTTACATTTAAGAGAACAAGACAAGTTTCATAGTATTGTTTTCAATTTGTGCATTTGATCCCATGCTTATGAAAACAATTTGAATACTATCATAGGTTTTTAAGCTTTGAAGAAGCTGAAATGGGTGCACCAGAGGCAGGAATACAGTTTGGCACTTTCCGGGAGCTTGATATTATAGGGGTGTGCACTATGTCAACACAGTTTTTGAAAATCAGGTGTGGTGACTCTGGTACCATGCACTCCATTTGTTAGTCAGTTAAGTGCATATATAAATCTCCATCTCCTGAGATCTATTGAGAGCCTTGAAAAGTGGTAGATAATTACTTGATGGGGAAGAAATGCAGGGAACATCTAAACCTGTTTTATCAATGGAATTTCAAAAAGCTGAAACCCAAGATGCATGTGTATTTTAAATTCCATTTCTCCACTTCAGACACAAAAGTGCTTCACTTATTTTTCATAAATATTTATTTTTCAAACACATGCTTGGTTTTTAAAATATATTTTAGAACAATTTTTGTGTTTTAAGTGAAAGCTGAAATACTTTTTTATTCCATCTGTGCACGATGCTAGCAAGATGGGTCATCCTCCATTCCAAAGTGTTCCCAGGAAGATGTTATTTAGTGGGGAAACATGACTGGGAAAATGGGTAAAGTTAAACCTTTCTTTGCTTTCCATGCTTCCTCTAAAACTCCCCACCACAGCTGCCCTCATCCCACATGGGATTTCAAGAACCATGTTTACCTCTCAAGCTTTGAATGTGATTTTCCTGCTTCTTGGCAAGGGGTTGGACGGGATGGCCCACAAGGTCTCTTCCAACTCTAAGATTTATTCTATGATTCGAAGTTCTTGGGCTGCCACAGCAGAACAACAGCCAAGAGGAAGATTTACTATAGCCTTTTCATTGAACCCTCCCAGCCATCTTCAAGATCAGGGGTCCTCAAACTAAGGCCCGGGGGGCGGATGCAGCCCTCCAAGGTAATTTACCCGGCCCTCACTTAGGGTCAACCTAAGTCTGAAATGAAAGCACACAACAACAACAATCCTATCTCATGAGCCAAAAGCAGGCCCACACTTCCCATTGAGATACTAATGAGTTTAGATTTGTTAAAATTGTTCTTCATTTTAATTATTGTATTGTTTTAAAGTGTTTTTTGCACTACAAATAACATATGTGCAGTGTGCATAGGAATTCATTCATTTTTTTTTCAAATTATAATCCGGCCCTCCAACAGTTTGAGAGACTGTGACCTGGCCCTCTGTTTAAAAAGTTTGAGGACCCCTGCTCAAGATATTTTGGAAGGAAAAGAAACAACCGACTTAGAGTCTGGATCTGTGTTTGGTATATATTGTAATAATTTTTTCTTTTGCTGTCTTTTTCAGAGTGAATTAAGTGAAATCCACCAAACTAGAGGGGGCTCTGTGATGGATGATGAAGAAAATCTAGCTGTCTTGCGGAAGTGAGTGCAGCTTTAGATGCTGAAGTACATGCAATATAGGAATACTTGTGTAATTTTCTGCAATGGTGTCATGCTGAGGCTTTGTAAACATTAGGCTTGGGCGATCCAAGTCATTATTTTCGTTATTCGTTTTAATTTCGTTATTTTTTAATAATTAGAAACGATATTGACACGTTTCAGCGACCCGGAAGTGTTTTGCCCATATCGGAGCTTGCGTCCGCCATCTTCCTTACAATCCGCCAGTGAATCGTAAATGCAGGGGGCGTGACCTTGAGGAACAGCTGTTTCCCACCCCACCTCCTCCCTCTTTGCATCCGCCGGCTTTGCGAGGCCGGCTTTGCAAGGTGGGCGTGGCCTCCAGGAGGAGCCGGCGAGGCCACGCCCACCTCATCCCCCAGCCATCCATTGCCCTTTGCCGGCAGCAAGGGCAGGGGAACTCTAAGATTGCTTTAGAAATCTTACAGTTCCCTTGCCCTTGCTGCCTGCAAAGGGTGATGGGTGACAGGGGGATGAGGTGGGCGTGGCCTCCAGGAGGAGCTGGCGATTTCTAAAGCAATCTTACAGTTCCCCTGCCCTGGCTGCCTGCAAAGAGCGATGGGTGACAGGGGGATGAGGTGGCGTGGCCTTCAGGAGGAGCCGAGCGAGGCCACGCCCACCTCATTTACGAATCGATTCATAATTAACAAAATTTTGTAAATTTCAAATTTTTGAAATTGGAAATTTTGTAAGTAAAAAAAAAGAAACACCAGTGCTCCCTAGAAATGAAACGAGTTTAGAACCAAATTTTTCCTTGATCGCCCAAGCCTAGTAAACATCAAATTTAAATCATTCTATTAAAATGTAGCATGAGTGGCTAATAGTTCAAATGTACTATAATCAAATTCAAATATATGATTATCTATTAGATTGTAACCTGAGATTGTCTTTGATTTGAGCAATTTTCTGTATTACGCCGTATATGGTGAAACAATTCAGTTGATACTATTTTAGCACACTTTTAAAGTTTGAAAAGATGCAGTTATTTGTAGTTGTTGGTCTGTATCATAACCCCCTTCATCTTCAGTGCAATTTTTGAATAATATATGAAAATACTGAAATTTGAGCAATCACTTTTTTCTTCATTTATTCCCAATATTCACAGACACGTTATTAATGAACTTCTTGAAACTGAACGAGCTTATGTGGAAGAGCTTCTGTGTGTTCTTGAGGTAGGCATTTAAGAAGTGCTACATTAAAATATGTTTCTTGATTAGTTTTGCAGTAGAGTACACAATCCACACTAATTTGCTTATTTATTTAACCCATTTGTACCCTGTCCTTCTCACCCCGGAGGGGACTCAGAGCAGCCTTACAAAGGCAACAATTTGGTGCCACATGTAAATATACATATTGATAAATAAAAAAAATGGATTAAATCCAAATCAATTAAAACATCAAACATTAAAGCAGCAGTTAAAATCACACAAAGTCATACTCCAGGACCAATCTAAGTCATCATTATGTTATTTTCTAATTTCTCAATTGATATATACATGCACTAAGTTATACGGTATCTGAACCAAATTTTTGTGGACTGAGGGGTTTCTTTTCCAGCCAAAAAAAATAATCACAGAATGTTTTTAGTAAAAGAGCTGCTCTTCCAGTTTTGCAAAACATTTCACTGAGAAGAAGGATCCAGCATAGCTCCTTGTATTGACATGGCCCCCTGCAAGGGGCTGCTGCATCGACTTCCGGGGAGATTATTTGCTCTGTATCTTAAGACCAGTCTCTGTCTTCTCCTACCAAGACAAGGTGGATTGTTCTTTGAGAACTACTGCTGATTAGGGCAATATATTTATTTTGATTTATTTGGGCGAGGAAGGGAACTTATTCAAGAAAGGATCTCTCTCCTTTGTCCCACTTCTAGGTAGTGCCTGTTGGATGGATACAACCAGAATCTTTCCCTTTGGAGTCCAAGTCCTCCTTTCTGCCTTAATATTTGGAAGGACTTCCCAAGATAACTGGGGTCTTAGCACTTTGAATATCTGAGTAGATACAGTGTATTGTCCTTGATCCGTATGAACCCAGATGTTGCAGCATGGAAGAAGTGGGGATTAGGGTGTATTTTTTCAGCAACATTCCCTGACAAAACAGGTTTTCCAGCCCATAGCTTACCTCATTTTCTTTTTATAAGACAGAAAAATGCTTTAAAAATAACTGTCTGTGTCTAATGAAGGACATGAGTTTTTGAAATGAAGATTAAAACAAGTTAGTAAGTTTTTCCTCCTCTCTTCAAGTGCTAAATAATACACTCTGGTTTGGTTGCCTACAACAGATGTTATAAACAGGAACTTCTTTCAGGAAGGAAGAAAGAACAATTGGCTTCAGAGGTCACAGTATGAGGTTCTGTAGTCATTCTGCTCAGCTATAGAACTAGAACATTGAAATTAACAGCTGTATAAATAGCGATACATATGATTTCTTTAAAGACCCTTTTAAAACTAAAATATTCTTCGAAATTAACTATTTATAATTTCTCAATCTGATTATGCAGAATTTGTCTAGTGCTAAGAGGAACAGCAATTGTAATAGAGATCTGAACTGGCAATAGCTCATGTTGAAATATTGCTGGGTGTTTATCAGCTTCAAGCAGGTTGGGCTTGCAGGAGAGAGAGAGAGGAAGATGTTGAAACCAAATGCAAGCAATTCATCTAGTTTCCTTTTGTGTCACAGGGCTATGCTGCAGAAATGGACAATCCTTTAGTGGCACACCTCATTTCACCTGGGCTGCAAAATAAAAAGGATGTATTGTTTGGAAATATGGAAGAAATCTATCACTTTCACAACAGGTTAATTTCTGTGCCTCATACATGCACAATGTAACATTTATAAAAATATAAAAATATTTTTGTGGGATACACTTTCCTAAATATTTTTTTTATATCATAATCCTGGATTGTTTGCAGAAGCATATTCGTGTTATTCAATATATTGTGGTCACCTTATTGTGGATTCCAATAACTATCAACAAATACCATAATCTTTGAGGTTCCATAAACACCTTTTGTTCTAATTTGATTTTGTGTGTGTGTGTGTGTGTTAATAATAGCAAGATGAATACAAAACACATTCAGAGTAGTTAAGCTGCTCTTTTCTTAAACATAACTCTTCATATATACCCCATAAAATTAATATTGAATAGGTGCCCATTTTCGCTCTTGTGCACAAGTAGATATATACTGAGCAAGAACAAGGGAGAATGCTAGTATTATTGGTCTGGGAAGGGCAGATGGATCACATATAAGCTTCCCAGTGCTACTTTCTCTGAAATAAATGTCAATCTGTTCTTGGCACTGTGAGGCTAGCCATCTGTTCCCTCCCCAAGCCTGTTACTGAAGATAACAAACAGCTTTTTGGGTCACTCAGAAACAATCGCAATCAAGAACACAGGCCATGCCAAGAGTAAATTTGAAAGAAGAAAGGGCGTCACTGAATGTGACACAGAGTGCAAGAGAGTGGGAAGAGCAATGGGTTAAAAGAGAAAGGGGAAGAAAGTAAAACAGGGGAGAGAGGTAGAACCAGGTTAGAATGATTTCCAAAAATACTTTGGAATTTTCTCTTTTGCAGCTTTGGGAGGAAAAATCCTCCCCTCTCCCAGATGCCGAGGCATTGGGCTGCCCCCAGTAATGGCTTAGTGGATTATCATTTGTCCAAATTACAAGAAAATGCCTCCTTGAATGTCATAATACCACTTTAGTTCTGCTTAAGGATCAGAACTGCTATCTCTGGAATTAAGGAAGAAAATATAAACTGATACCTCAGTACTGAAGATTCTTCTCTCCATCCAGTCTTGATTCAGACCTTTCCCAGCAAGCAGAATAATCCACACAGAAAAAGCAGCACAATTCTTTAACTGAGAATTGTAAAGCCTTGTACTATTCAAATGCATTAACACAATGGTCATCAGACAGCATGAAATAAAAGAATTCCAGTTTAATGTCTATCCCATCCTTTGTAGTTCTGTTTTTTTCTATTTATTCTGAACTGTCAAGTCGTTTATTTCAGGTCTTCTTTATGACTATATATTCCAAATTGATGCCTATAAGGATCAGAATCAGGAGCCGTGATGGTGCAATAGATTAGACACTTGTGCCAGCTGAACTGCCAACCTGAAGGTTGGCAGGTCAAATCCACAAGATGGGATGAGCTCCCATCTGTCAGCTCCAGCTTTCCATGCAGGGACATGAGAAAAGCCTCCCATAGACATCCCCTGGGCAACGTCTCTGCACATGGCCAATTCACTCACTCCAGAAGCGATTTGCAGTTTCCCAAGTCGTTTCTGAAACTATTTTAAAAAGGATTCGAATGTAATAATCTTTTAAACTGCATTAATATTTATATAGTGCAGTTTTCTGAAGTATCCATAACACTTTACCAATACGTTCATTCTCTTCTTGGTTATCTTTGCTGTTTCCTCAATATGCTTCTCTTCCCATTGCTGTCTTCAATTAGTTTTGTAATGCTTGTCAGAGGCTTGTCTATTTTGCTTATGCATCTCAGGAAAGCAATATATTCATTAGTGGCGGTATTACATAAATTCCTATCACCATCTTCAGGCTCAGTCATTCTTGCACAATCCTTGACCACATCATTTTGTATTTTTTCCTTCGGAAATATGCTGTGTTCCTGAAATTACAGAAATTAATCTACATTTTGATTAGAAAAAAACATGTTATAGATATTTGTAGGTTATTTCTATCATTTATCAAACCAAATTCTTATATTGTTTTGTAGAATATTCTTGAGAGAATTAGAAAATTACATAGAATATCCAGAACTGGTAGGAAGGTGTTTCCTTGAAAGGGTAAGTAGTAGTTTTTAAGTGAACTAGATCAAAAGTGTATTACTGTGTTATGTTTCCTGAAACTTCTAAAGAGAAAATAATACATATCTATTTTAGGCTTTCATGATAAAACAAAATAACATGTCATTTCCATTGACCTCACCCCAATAACAATGTGTGTTACTTGGGACATTTAAGTAAAAATTGACTCATGCTCAGGTCAATTGCTGCAGTATTGGTCTTAGCTCTGTAGTTTTGCAAGAAGATCAGTGGTTCAAAATTTGGCATTTATTATCAATTAATTAAATAACAGGTGTTAGGAAAAGCTTCTGTTTATTCTGTTTTTGCAAGTCAGACAAAAAAATTCAGCCTATTACAAGACTCCATGTTCCTGTGATAATTTAGTTACATAAAATAATGTTTCACAGATCAGCTACTATTGCCAGAATTTTTTTGGCATGCTTCTCCCAGTAGATTATATAAAGTGGCATTTTTTGTTTTAAGCACTTTTTGTATTTCTTTAGACACCCACATTCATTGTACAGTACTGCCTCTACATTTTCTGGGGTTGGAAGTGCAGGGCTTTTTTTCTTACCTTAAGAACATTTCTGTAGGAATGTCTAGATCCAGGGCCGGGCTTAGCACAGCGGGTTAAACCACCAGCTGCAGAAAATGTTGCCGATCTAAAGGTTGACAGTTCAATAAAACCAAGGCATAACGTCAAAACAACATCAACAAAATGGCAACTTCTAGGACTTTTGAGGCCCTGCAGAGTGTCTCTGTGTTCGACAACTGATGGAAATTGACCCTGGAGAACCTAGAGATTTCTAGGGGAAACATATGCATCAAATTTCCCACAAAAGTTACAACAGTATTACTTTGAGGGTAAAATTCATATTGCTGCTAGTTCAAGGGAAACAATTAGATTTTTAAAAATCCATTATTGATTTCTATTGTCTATGGCATATTTATTTATAATACACATTTTTATAGATCACCTACACTTGAAACATATCAGCAAAAGCATATAAACAATCCATAGTGAGACAATATCATCATGCATATGTTTGGGACCATAATTCCCAGAAGCTTCAACCATTGTGGTTTATGGTAGAGATAATGGGTGTTACAGTCCAAAACATTGAAGAACCACAGATTCACAATGAAAACAGCTATGAAAATCACTTTTAAGATATTAGATGAATTAAGTTAAGTCTCAATGCTTATTCGTATTAAGCTGAATATCTAATAGTCTGTCAGTAAGATGAGAATGTGTGCTTTGTTTATAATCTAAGAAACAGCTCAGATTGTTGGGATTTACGGTGCCTTTCCTCTCTCATTCAGATGGAAGACTTTCAGATTTATGAAAAATATTGTCAAAATAAACCTCGATCTGAAAGTCTGTGGAGGCAGTTCTCAGACTCTGTGTTCTTCCAGGTATCCTTCTATTCTATTAAAAATATATGCAAAAATTAATCAATGTCTTGTACAATACATCTGATGAAAACAAGTGTTTCAGTTTTATATTCATTTATATTTTAATAGGAGTGTCAAAGAAAACTTGATCACAAATTAAGTTTGGATTCCTATTTACTGAAACCTGTTCAAAGAATAACCAAATATCAGTTGCTGCTAAAGGTAAGAAAAACAGTATCCTAGACAGATGGCCTTAGGTTTTGTGGCTGTGACAGTTGCTTAATAAGACTAGCTTGATTGGCTATGAAAACCAACTGGGTGACCATGGAGAATTCACATACTCTCGGCCTTAGAAAACCCTATGGTCACCATAAATTAGAAATTACATGAAGGCACACAACAACAAATGGAATGTAGTGGTTTTAATGTTGGTCTGGGATTCCAGGAGATCAGGGCGCACATCCCTACTTGGCTGTGGAAATTTGCTGGGAGACGTTGAGCAAGTCGCACTCTCAGAGTAAGGCCATGACAAACCCCCTTGAACAAATCTTCCACAGAAAATACCATAATAGGCTAATTTTAGAGTTTTCATAAATAAGATTTGAAGCTACACACCAACAGTACCAAAGCATATGTTATAATGACCTGCACTTAGACCACATTTTGTTTGGAAATCCAGCCCTGCCCTCCAGTAGGAGTCCTTCCTCTTTTGTATCACCCACTGATAGTTTGGAAAGAAGTAGGGAAATTTTCCACTCCCCAGGACTGGACCACATCACATAATAACAAAATTTTGAAGTAGAGCACTCTGAAATCTACTCTTGGGACATTCATTCTAGTGAATTCTGAGATGGTGAGTGAAATGTAATGTCTGTTGATGCTTTCACCCTCTGGAATCTGGAAGATCGGAAAGCCTTCTAGTACTGGAGGTGTAGGGAGTGGGACAAATACGATTCCTTGACTGGATCAAAAGCTTTCTTTAGATAAGACTCCTTTTTGTTTGCACGTGTCTTTTTCAAGGTCATATAAGAAATGCAAAAGATAAATGAACCAAGGTATCCTCATTCTGGTTCTACTTGTATTCTGTTGTAATAATTTATTTTGTAGTGTTATCCTTTGTAGTGTTATCCTTTGTAGTGTTATCCTTTGTATAATATGCATCATAAGTTCTGTTGTTTTGAGATCTGAATTCCCCCTTAAGATTCATGTAGTGGTGTCTGTACTTTTTCTACAGGAAATGTTAAAATACAGTAAAAACCGTGAAGGTGCTGAAGATCTCCAAGAGGCATTAACATCAATATTGGGAATTCTTAAAGCAGTGAATGATTCCATGCATCAGATTGCAATCACTGGCTATGATGTAAGTGGTGAAATGTTAAAAATGTTGTTATGTAACAACAGAAAGAAAAATATGAGAAATAGTTAAATTGTTTGCATTGTCGAGGCTTTCATGGCCGGAATCACTGGGTTGTTGTAAGTTTTTTGGGCTGTATAGCCATGTTCTAGAAACATTCTCTCCTGACGTTTTGCCTGCATCTATGGCAAGCATCCTCAGAGGTTATGAGGTCTCACAACCTCTGAGGATGCCTGCCATAGTTGCAGGCAAAACATCATGAGAGAATGCTTCTAGAACATGGCTATACAGCCCGAAAAACCTACAACAACCCAGTTAAATTGTTTTCTGTAATGGTTTTTTCCCAATTATCTAACATGATGGTTATATTTCTGAAACTATTTTATTAATGAATGCTACTCCAAACTTTTTTTTAATGCAAAGGGAACTGATTTTCAGGTGATAGCTTTTTTCTGCTTCTTCTGGATAGCTTTCTTCTTATGTTTAGTAGAATATGATGGTGCCATGTATATGTATAAATTAAACATATATGTATAAATTATTGCTGTCTTTATTCCTGGTTTTCCTTACATTGGAATTGAATATTAGTGATATTGCCCTCTTTCCTCAGGGTTCAGAAAATATGTGTTCCCAAAATATGTTGACATGTCTCTCTCACACATTAAAAATGCTGAGATTTGTAGAAATGTCGATGGTTTGAGCTTTAAGTGGAAGGCAGGAATTGGTGTGCACAGGCCTATAAAATACATTTCCCTCACACCACTCTTTAAAAATGTTTCCAGATGTAACTCTTCCCCCTAAAAAGCTAAAACTAATAAACTAAAGGTAGAATTGTGAGACCTGGAAATCCTCCTGTGTCCATCTAGGTTAGTGGTTCTCAACCTGTGGGTCCCCAGATGTTCTGGCCTTCAACTCCCAGAGATCCTAACAGCTGGTAAACTGGCTGGGGTTTCCGGGAGTTGTACACAAAAACACCTGGGGACCCACAGGTTGAGAACCACTGATCTAAGCCTTGGAGGCAGAACCTCCAAGGCTTTCACTGACTTTGTAAGAAGGGAGCACAAGCATAATGTTTGGTCTTTGCTTCATGCTGAGCTTTCCCCTCTTTCCATGCCAGATTAAAGAAGAAGACATCTATATGTTCTTAACTGTTCACAAATATTTCTTGTGTGCTTTTTTAAGGGAAACATGAATGAACTGGGCAAACTTCTAATGCAAGGATCATTTAATGTATGGACTGATCATAAAAAGGGCCATTCGAAAGTGAAGGACCTGGCACGGTTCAAACCTATGCAAAGGCATCTCTTCCTCCATGAGAAGGCAATATTGTTCTGTAAAAAGAGAGAGGAAAATGGAGAAGGATATGAAAAAGCACCTTCATACAGTTATAAGCATTCTCTAAATGTAAGACATTTTGAAATGTTCTGATTCTGTTGTGTTGTGTCATGTTATTGCTAGCCACTTTGAGTCCCTGGAAGATTTGGTGATCTAACTTTTTTTATTTTTAAAGAAGGAATTCTAAGCACAGAGCAATGCCAACTTTTTGGCCGAATTACAAAGAGGAAACCTTTTGCCCCTACACATTACAATCACCAGCAAATCCCTTTTTTTTTTTGTCTTGATAATTGGGGTGCGCATTAGATTCGATAGTGCACTAGATTCAAGTAAATATGGTATATGTAGAGAAAGCAGTTGTGGAACTACAAACTGATGTTTGCTTCGAGATGTTCACATACTATTATGACACACTAAATATCAATTAATATATCTGTTGTTTTCTAGATGACTGCTGTTGGAATAACAGAAAACATCAAAGGTGATGCTAAAAAATTTGAAATCTGGTATAATGCAAGGGAAGAAGTTTACATAATACAAGTAAGCATTTTTCTTTTAAATGGGCTGTTTATGAATCACAAGATTATATTATTCCTGACCTCTGTCCCTTCTCCAAGATGACTGAAAAGTAGAAAGAGAACTTCTTGTTTGATGGAAAGGTGACAAACTTTTCTTGGTGTGAGATGTTCTCTCTAGTTCTACATGTTTCAGAGAAGATATGCCCTGTATTGTTGAAGGCTTTCATGGCCAGAATCACTGGGTTGTTGTAGATTTTATGGGCTGTATGGCCATGTTCTAGAAGCATTCCCTCCGGACATTTCACCTGCATCTATAGCAGGCATCCTCAGAGGTTGTGAGGTCTGTTGGAAACTAGGAAAATTGGGTTTATATATCTGTGGAAAGTCCGGGGTGGGAGAAAGAACTCTTGTCTGTTGGAGCTAGGTGTGAATGTTTCAATTGGCCACCTTGATTAGCATTTGATGGCCTGACAGTTTTTAGGTGTGGCTTGTTCCTGCCTGAGGGAATCCTTTTTTGAGAGGTGATTAGCTGTTCCTGATTGTTTCCTGTCAGGAGTTCCCCAGTGTTTGAGTTTTGTCTTTTATTTACTGTTACAATTTTAGAGTTTGCTCTTAAGCATTTTTCTTGATAGAAAACTATGCAGTAACTGTCATCCTCATCATGAACAGCAACTGCTGCTAAAGCAACAAGGCTTATTAATATCCATGCACATCTGTTCCTTCTAGTAAAAAAGTGACAATAACAATATCCAGTTCCTTTTTTACATCAGCAAAAACAAGTTCTCAGTTTTAAGCCCCCAGGATGTTGGTTTTGTCTCTTTTCCTTTTGTTGGTTTAATCAGTGACAAGCAGCTGACTTGTTAACTTTTCCTTTTTGACACAGGCCCCAACCCCTGAAGTCAAAGCCACTTGGGTAAATGCAATCAGAAAAGTATTGACCAGCCAACTGCAGGCATTTCGGCGTAAGTCTCCCAATAATAATAATAACAACAACAACAGCTTACCTTCAGTGTGATTACTGTCTGCATTTTTTTCTAAAAAAACACAAACACCTGTTGACTTTTGCAAGACAGACTAAAGAATTTGCAATTAAGGACAGTGATGAAAACAAAAGTTGACATTGAGTAGGTGTTGCTCACATATGTCTCCAGTTGTAGCCCATCTAGTTCTTTCCAAACTGTCTACTTCTACCCAAACACTGATGAAAAATCTCTATATTCAGCTTATCATAATGTAGTTAGAAATGTAATGAATTTGAGCTTTTCAACAAAGAAGTTTCAAAAACCGAACCAAAGGTTCAGTTTATAGTACAGTTAATAAGATATTCTCTTTCTTACAGAAGCTAGCCAGCACAGGATTCTAGAGCATACACACAGTTTACCGTTACCTGCATCATCTAACACAAGGTGAGTTCCTATCTCTTTTACAACTTATTAAGACAATAAATAGTTAATGCTCTTCTGATTTAAGTGTGTTCTGCTTTGCACTCCTCTGTTCAATTAACAGATATAACTTGAGGGTTTATTTCAGGTTCTTTTACAAGTGCTTTATAGTATCCGCGGTGGCGCAGGGGGTTAAACATTTGTGTCGGCTGAACTGCTGACGTGAAGACCTGAAGGTCGGCAATTCGAATCAACAAGACTGAGTGAGCTCCCAACTGTCAGGCCCAGCTTCCCATGTGGAGATATGAGAGAAGCCTCCCACAGGATGGTAACACATCCGGGCATCCTCTGGGCAATGTCTCTGTAGATGGCCAATTCTCTCACACCAGAAGCAACTTGCAGTATATTCTCAATTTGCTTCTAACACAATAAAAAATAGCATCACAATGTTTATGCACACCTATTACTAGAAACCTTGCTTTTCCACATGGTCATGAACAATAAACTGTATATCATAACTTACCTTTCTGGGTTCCTTTGTATTTTTAAAAGGATGATTACTTCACACATTTGTGCCTTAGGGGTAAAGATAAAGGGTGTCCCCTGACATTAAGTCCGGTTGTGTCCGATTTTGGGCGTTGGTGCTCATCTCCATTTCTAAGCCAAAGAGTCAGCGTTGTCCGTAGACACCTCCAAGGTCATGTGACTGGCATGACTGCATGGAGCGCCGTTACCTTCCTGCTAGAGCGGTACCTATTGATCTACTCACATTGCATGTTTTCGAACTGCTAGGTTGGCAGAAGCTGGGGCTGGCAGCAGAAGCTCACGCTGCTCCCCAGATTCGAACCTGCGACCTTTATTTATTTATTTATTTATTTATTTATTTATTGCATTTGTTGACCGCCGTTCTCAGCCCCTTAGGGCGACTCACGGCGGTGTACAACATATAAAAAACAGTTTACAATAAGCCATAGCATAACGAATATCTACATAACAAGCAATAATACCACAATCATATAATTAAACTAAATCATCCGCGTCGTCTCATCATAGAATCATAAACCAATCTCATAATCCATATTCCGTTCCAGTCGTCAGCCAATTGTTATAGCATTTAGTTAAACGCCTTCTCGAATAGCCATGTTTTTAGACTCTTACGAAATGACATAAGGGAGGGCGCCTGCCTGATGTCAACAGGGAGGGTGCTCCATAGCCGCCACCATATTCCAAGTTTGGTGTTAGGCTGCGATCAGGCGGCCTGGCATTTTCAAGGGGGGGGGGGTGGGGAAGGGGAGGGGGGAGCAAAAAAAAAAACCTTCTGCGGGTTTACTTACTTGTGGATTTGATTCTTTCCTATCATTGGGGCAAGATTTAGCTTATTTTGGGGGGGGGGGTGGTGGGGTGGGGAGGGGAGAGACGCACTCCGTAGCCGAGGGGCAATTACTGAGAAGGCCCTATCTCTCGTCCCTGCCAGACGTGCCTGTGAGGCAGGCGGGATCGAGAGAAGGGCCTCCCCAGATGATCTCAAGGCCCTCGTGGGCTCATAGGCCGAGATGCGGTCAGAGAGGTATTTTGGGCCGGAACCGTTTTGGGCCGGAACCTTTCAGTCAACAAACTCAGCAGCTCAGCGGTTTAACCCTCTGCGTCACTGGGGGTTCCCTTACTTACTTTTTATTTATTGATTTTTTATTTGTTTAGGGAATTTCTATACTGCCTTTTTCTCCTTGCAGACTCAAGGCAGCTTGCAGCATAAAAACACACAAATTCCAACAGTTAAAATATGTGTACAACAATAAAATAATGGTAAAACAACAGCCAAAAGATCAATAAAAGAAATAAAATCTGTGACCCTGTGTCTGATGCAACTTCCTCTTTCCAGTTTTGGTCTGAAAATGTATACAGACATGAGAGAATCGAGGCAAATACAATATTGCAGCACAGAATCTCTGCCTGTGGAAACTCACTGCTTATGTGGTCAGCCATCTTAATGATATGTGTATAGAACATCTTTTCTCATGTATTTTAAAACACTGGCTTCCCTTGTTATCACGTGGTTATAGTTGTACAGTGAGATTCAATTTGCACCAGTGACTGTAGTGTCAATTTCTTCCATGAGCAGCCCTTCTCAAAATGACGGAAGGAACATCAGAAAACAGGAAGAGAGAAATTCTGACCTTGTATGTCCGGATGGTTGTATCACCACAGTCACATCCAAGTATCCTGAAAAAGGCAAAGGTAAATTTTGCAGTGCATCTTGATTATCCTTGGGCATCAGTTAACTGTGAAGTGGGAGGAATAAAGTTACGAAGCATAAAAGGATTAAAATGGTAACATCTTATTTTATTCGTAATTAGTAAAAACAACAGCTCTAGGGAAATTGAAGGTTTCCATATTAATAAATATCAGCCGGCATCATCTGATGTTGTTGTTAATATCTGGTTAGCACATCTTCAAAATAACGCATTCACCTAAATCAGTGTTTCTAAACTTTCCTAATGCCATGAACCCTTAATACAGTTCCTCATGTTGTGGTGACCCCCAACCATAAAATTATTTTTGTTGCTACTTCATAACTGTCATTTTGCTACAGTTATGAATCCTAATGTAAATATCTGATCTGCAGGATGTATTTTCATTCCTTGGACCAAATTTGGCAAAAATACCTGATATGCCCAAATTTGAATACTGGTGGGGTTGGGGGATATTGATTTATCATTTGGGAGAGGCAGTTGCAGGGACTTATAATTTACCTACAATCAAAGAGCATTCTGAACTCCACCAATGATGGAATTGAACCAATCTTGGCACACAGAACTCCCATGACCAACAGAAATTACTGGAAGGGTTTGGTGGGCATTGACCTTGAGTTTTGGAATTGTAGTCTATGTGCAAACTGCTTTGAGTCCTAGGGGTGAGAAAAGCGGTATATAAATGCTGTAAATAAATAAATAAATAAATAATAGTCCACCTACATCCAGAGAGCACTCAAACAATGACGGATCTGGACCAAACTTGGCACAAATACTCAATATGCCCAAATGTGAACACTGGTGGAGTTTAGGGAAAATAGATCTTGACATTTGGGAGTTGTAGTTGCTGGGATTTATAGTTCACCTACACTCAAAGAGCATTCTTAACCCCACCAATGACAGAATTGGGCCAAACTTCCCGCACAGAATCCCCATGACCAACAGAAAATTACCTCTGTCTTACACAAATGATCGCCTCACATGGCCTTGTGATTGAAAAGCAGATAAAAAGGCTGTGTTAAACAATTTTGTGTTGTTCTTCACTTTTTTAGAAGAGAGGAAAGAAAAGAAATTATTGTTTTTTCTTAAGCCACTGATACAATAAAGGGGAGGAAAAAAATACTTTGTTTTCTGATGGTCTTTGACGACCCTTCTGACAACCTCTCACGTGCTCCCCCCCCCCCCCCCCCCCCCCCGGGTTCCCAACCCCCAAGTTGAGAAACGTTGACCTAAATTATTTGCAAAAAACCCCAAACCTGAGTTACGGAAACTTGTTTTCCTTTATTAGTTAGTTTCCAAAGAGATCATTAAGTCATTTGCAGGTGGAAAAGGTGTAATAATAATAAATGTCTAAATGGGGCTGCTGATTTAATCAAATATCAGTCATTCTTACTTTTTAAAAAGCCTGCTTTTCTGGCACTGCCTCTAGTTTATCTTAAAGCCCTTCCACACAGGCCCTATATCCCAGAATTTGATCCCAGGTTTTCTGTTTATCCCAGATTATAAGGCAGTGGGGACTCATATAATCCAGTGTAAAGCAGAAAACCTGGGATCAGATTTATTTATTAACTATATATTTCCTACATTTATACCCCGCTCTTCTCACACCCATGGGGGGGACTCAGGGCGTCCTCACAAAAGCACCATACAGTGTCATCATCATAAAACAATCAACACTACATTAAAAATATTACAAAAATATTAAAACAGTAGTTAAAAACAATTGATTAACACATGCCTATTAAAAATCAGAATCCAAAATCCAGTCCGGGTCAAATCATTGCCATAAGTGTTAAAATCTTCTTTCAATAGCTGCTCACTGATCCCAGATCCTGGGATATAGGGTCTGTCTGGAACGGGCCTTAGTTTTTGTATGTTCTTTCCCCCCCCCCCCACCTCTTCTGCAGTTTTTTCTTCTCTCTTTCTTTTCCCCACAGCTATTTTGTTGAAGGTGTTAGGTAACTATTCCTACCTGAGGTGGCTCGGCTTTTTAAAAAAACAAAAAGAAAACAAAACTTTCCACTGGGGAAAAAAAAAACATTTCTAACCTTAAAAGTCTGGAAATGTGCATTTTAAGAAACTACATTTTTCTCACAGTAGTTGGCATTGTCCATTGTGAAGAGTCAGGAGTGATTTTGAAAAGAAAGGTCTGAGAGACATATAAAGGTAAACTAATCTGGAAAAGGTGAACTTGTTAGAAAACTGCTTCACAGATATCCTAAGAATGATGTCTTTTGTTGGGCTTGGTTTTGCCCAGAGATCAGGATCTCTTGTCTCCTTTCTTTGCACCATACTTTTGAAACTCTGCTGCTCTGAAACCTGGACGTTACCTTTGAGTTCTTTCTGAAGGCTGCTGATGAATGTAGTTAGTCAGTTCATTTAAGGTGAGCACTAATATTCCTTGCTTGCCTCTACAGAATCTCCTACCACAAAAAGCCAGACTTTACCAATGATCCTTCTTTCAGGACCAGGTACTGATACAGGATTTAGTCTTACTACAATATATATATGAGCACAATAAGTTTCAAACATACATATTAATTGTAACTTTGTCCCTTCTAGTACTTATTTTGAAAATGCATACGCTATTGTACATTGTATCTTTTGATTACCCAACTTTGAGATTTGCTTCTCTTTTGGGAATAAAAATAAATTTATTTTTCCCAGTATAAACTCAAAGGTAATTTGCATGCAACCGGCCTATTCTTCTTTATCTGGTTCTTCAACTTATTTCTCTCTGTGTCTCTTTTGTGTGTATTCAATCTACTGCAGCTCCTCCTATCAGTCCTGACAAAAATATTAAACGACATGAAGTAAAGAGTGATCCAACTCCTTTGGGTCTGAGAGGTAGACCAATTCTTTCTTGTTTATATTATGGGATCCCAATATAATATATGCATTAATATAATATATGCACTGCCAGGCTCTTGTTTTGAAGTACAGTGGGCACTCAGTATCCACTGAGGTTTTAAGACCTTCTATGCATATCAAAACATGTGGATGCTCGGGTCCCATTATATACACTAGGGTAGTAAAATGTCAACCCTTACATAAAATGATGAACATCTCAAATTAGAGCCAGAAAGAGCACGAAGATCTGTGAAATGGCTGGAAACTACAGCGGGATATGACTAAACTTCAGCATAGCGCTTGGCACATGGCAAAATCAAGGTTTGCTTTTGATCCCCCCCCCCAAATATTTTTGGGTCATGGTTAGTTGAATCTGTGGGTGCAGAACCCGTGGATATGGAGGTACCACTGTTTTTCCATTTCCCGTTATATGGAATCAATGCTTAAGTGCCAGAAAATCCATAATCAATTATTATGTCCAGGAAACAATTTTCCCTTTGCATAGTTTTCTTGTTATTTTTTATACATAGAACTATTGGGAAATAACCTCTATATTTAGTCAATGAAAACAGATAGCAGCTTTGATTCTGGACAGCTTCTCATGCCATCTTCAGGAATTTCCAGGAACTAGAAGCAATGCTGCTAGTACAAGAGTAAATCTAAATATTCTGGACACAACCTATGGGAAATGGCTTAATCAAACTATCATGTGTCAGTACTCACTGGTGTCATTGGCTTCATTGTGTACTATTCATATAGATTCACTCTTCATTTCCATCTTTCTATCCATCCTCATCTTAGATACTGATCAATCACACTCACTAATGGGGATCTTACCATTGATTTATATGCTCAACTGTTTCCCTCTCACATAAAACCCAAATGATTAAAATAATAAATAAATAAATAAATAAATAAAATTAAAACAATTTTCTTCCAACAGCAAAGGAAAACTACAATTTTTGCATATTACTCTCCTTGTATTGACCTGATGTATTCTGTGAGGTTTTTCTTTACAGGCATGTGTGATTTTTTAATGTTTTTCTACACAGAAAATGGGTTTCCTACACACTGTAAATGCATTTTATGCACGGAAAATGTGGATTCTGCACAAACATGGAAATTTATTGTGTAAAGAAATCCTATAGAATACTTCAGGATGTTTGGAAAATATCAGAATCCTATATTGAAATTTCACAGATTTATTGTTTTTTTCTGAAGGGGTATTCAAGCAGAGAACAAATAAAAGAATTTTCTTTTGGTCTCTAATTCTTAATCCCTTTTCATAATACAGTAATATCCATTCCTTTCCATAATATAGTATTTGACGATACATACAGGGAGCCACGGTGGTGCAATGGATTAAATCCTTGTACCAACTGAACAGCTGACCTGAAGGGCAGCGGTTTGAATCCGCGAGACAGGGTGAGCTCCCGTTTATCAGCCTCAGCCAATTCTCTCACACCAGAAGTGACTTGCAGTTATTTCCATGCCGCTTTTGACACAATTAAAAAAACATACATTGGATAGATAACATTGCACAATGTCATAACAATGCAGTAATATTAAAAGTATAAGCGCTTTCCAGTGGATTCCCAAAGCAGAGCCAGCATTAAGCACTTGATACATTAAGTCCAAGAAATACTTTTGTTCTCCTGTGGCTCCCAGAGGTCATTCCAGAGAAGCCGGAGTGTATCCAATACTGCATAATTATAACAGCATGATACTATTTCAGTTGACATGATTCTATATGATCTATTGGTGTGTACTTAGGATTCGTTAGTGTACTCTTCTCAACTACAACACAGGAGCTCTCTAACAGAAACATCTGAATCCCCCACTAAACTACAAATGTTGGAATTCCATAGGACAGAGTAGTGATTATTAAAGTGGCATCAAAGTGCTATAACTGTTATGTGACTAGACTCACAGAAAAGGGGAATTCAAGCTAATAAACCTCCCTATATCACTAAGAAGAAATATCTTGAATCTATGTACCCTTTCTGACACCACTCTTGATTGGTTATGGTTTACTGCCTAATGTGGTTTGTCCTTCCACAGTCTTTTATTTCAATAACCAGCTACTTAAAAAAAATAGTAACACCCCACCCTCGTCCCTCCGATATAAGAAACAAGACAAGATTGACTTGGGCAGGGGTGAGACATATTGGAGGCTTTGAAGAGGGAGGGGGAAATTATGTTATTCTATAGCTAATGGAAAGCAACATGATTGGCAAGGAACCTGAATAAATCTGGACCCTCATTGTCATTCGGACAGCTAACCAGAACTTGGAAAAGTGACTTTTTAGATTGCATATTAGAAGTTGTAGTTTTTAAAACTAACTTTTCTAAGTTCTGATTTATTAATAATAAAGAAGATGAGAAATTAGAATCACAGAATTGAGATGAGATACTGGCATTTAATCCAGAACGTCATGGCCAAGGGAAAAGAAAGCACTACAAAATCTGTCTATTTGGCACACAGATGAAGTCATATTCCTTTGCCTTTTTTCCTTTTTATAGTCAAGCTAAACCTAGCTTTGATATGAAGGTAGCACAACAGCTCCAGTGTAATGCACTGGGAATACTTACTATTATTCAGTTCTTTCGCAGATGCAAGTTCTGTGTTAACATGGAACAGGGCCAAGTGGGTCGGCACTTCTTATCTTTTACTAGCAGCTCAGCGCAAGCAAGGTAATGTATCTCTCCTGGGCCACAGGAGCGGCTTGTGCATGGTGTGCTGTGACTTTTGGCTGTTTGACAGCTTGCAGTGTTTTTCTTTTTGCATCTGGTAGCTTCACAGCTAATGGGCAACACCACAAGTCTTTCTGAACTGCTTAAAAACCAGCTTCTGAAATCCTAGAGGAGAATCATCCATTTTAATTATGGATTAGCAGAGTTAGGCAGGTTTATGGCCTTCCAGTCAGTTAGACTACAACTAACACAAACGCTAGCCATTGTGGCGAACGGCAGGAAGGAGATGAGAGTTGCAGTTCAACAGCATCTGTATGTCAATTGATTGCACACCGCACCAAGTATACAATTCAGTTTTATAACTACAAATAAGGTCATTACAAGTAAAGTAATTTATATTGGACCAATTAATTCTTGGGCCAATCACCTTGGCTGTATTGTTTGTTGGACCAACTCCACAACTCCCAGTTCAAATTCATCGGTTTTCATTTGTTTGCCTCATTTGTATACAAGTCTTCTTTGTCCTCCACTCCTCCCAAGATATCTGGCATGTTTTCTGTTCTTTATTCTCCAGACTTCACAGCTTGTGAAGAAAGTTATATGGAGAGACAAATTCAGTGTGAAGTGTGAGCAGAGTTCCTGTACCTTCTAAAGACATTTTCTGATTTATGACAATCCTGCATTACACCCAGCTGCTTTTTGTGGCCTTAAGAGCAGCTCCAAAGGGTTGCTGTAGGTTTTTCGGGCTGTATGGCCATGTTCTAGAAGTATTCTCTCCTGACGTTTCGCCTGCATCTATGGCAGGCATCCTTAGAGGTTTATGTGGAGGGAATCTGCATGGTTGCAAAAGGATAGTATCCTGTTAATAAAAATACCTGTTGCAGTGTTGATTTAGCTGCAGAAATTTGTATACTCTTGGGGAGGTGAGCTCACAGAGTATGTTTTGCCTTTGCTGTTGGAAGTTAGCATTGTTATGTCAGAAGAAGAGAGCAGTCTATTCCTTCATTATAACTATGCCACTGGTGTGTCTTGTGTTTCCCCATGGCAATTAATGGTAGCAATTTAATATAGGAGAAACCAACTGTATATTCAGTGACCCCCAAAGGTGTATATGGCCTTAATATGCCCTAATAATCTGAGCTTTTGTGAGAAGAGACACATTCTGATATTTTTGTTTTTCTAATGATTAAACCTTCCCTTAATTTATGTTGCATAGCTATAGATTTTGTTTTTTAGTCATGCTAAAATGTGACAGAACAATAAGTAGAGAAAAAGTTTTAAAAGAGTGAAAATGTGAATATCTGTTGTGTGAATTTTATTTAGATAGGCTTTTGCTACAGACTTACAAATAAGTACACCAGCTTCATTGTGTTACCTTGAGTAAAAATATAACTGTACCATTCACAACTTATGCATGTTTTATGTTTATTCATCCATTACTGTATTTCATTGCGATGCATGATTCTAAAAGTATTTGTTGTGATTTCACGCACATACATACATCACAGCTCATTGGGAGGCAGAAAGGGGGAATGGAATAAGATTTAAGTTCAAGATTTTCAAGCTCTTAAATCAAATAATCAAGGTGGGTGGAGATAGGTAGGTAGATAGTTAGATAGATGATAGTTAGATAGAGGAGTCCCTCACGGGGTGAGAAGAGCAGAATAGAAATGAGATGATAGATAGATAGATAGATAGATAGATAGATAGATAGATAGATAGATAGATGATAGATGAATAGACTGACTTACATATTGGTATATTATGCCTTATTATAGAAAAGCTCATATCCAAATTAGGACACAGTAATGAATAGAACAACCATAAATTAGAAGAGTTAAAATGTATCTGTTCCTTTATTGTGACATGCAAAGATTACATAAGTCCTGCTCATGGGAATGTATATGGTTCCAAATTCTCACATTTTAAAAACATACTACCTGGAAACACATAATTATTTATATTATTAAATTACAATGCAATCCTCCTTTTCTATGGGAGATATGTTCCAAGACCTCATAAGAATACCCTGAACCTTGGAAACAGCATATTTCAAAAGTACTTGGCCCAAAAGCCTACTGTAAAATAACACTGAAGGACTAGAGAGGACCACAAACACTCCAAGAAGGGTATGCTTAAGGGATATGGGTAAGTTAATATGTGAATATTGAATCTATGGGTATGGGGGTTACTGTACTTCACAAGTTAGAAAAAGAGTGGTGGCTGAGATGAAAAACGCAACATGCAATACATTAGGGCAGTGTTTGTAAAACTTAGTTCCTCCGGGTGTTTTGGACTTAAATTCCCAGAAATCTCGGCCAGTTTCCCAGCTATTAGGAATTGTGGGAGCTGAAGTCCAAAACATCAGGGCAAGCAGAGTTTAAGAAATTCTGCATTAGGGACATCTTGGGCAGAGTCTTGGTCATGGCTGGGTTCTAATCTGTCAATTGGGCAGAATAGGTAGCAGTTGTCATGGTGGTAATGGCAATTACATATTTGTATATTATTTGTATATTTGTATGACAATTACATTCAGCAAAATTGTAAGTCAAAGTGCAAAACCTTCAGATAACTACAATAGAGTTGGTTCTGAGACCTTTTCTAGTATGTCTTTCCAAAGCTATTCTAAATGGACCTTGAATTTTATTTAGAAGTTGTCCCCTTTCAGTGTCAACAATTATGATTAATAATACTACTAATCTATAAGCATGTTGGAATTCTCACAAAGCTTTCATAGATACCATCCCAATAATACTTTTAGGATTTGCTTTCCAAATTTTAATAACACCTATTTATTGATTTTTTTAAAGGATGGTCCAAAACATCTCAGTCTGTTGATGCCTCTGAAGAAAATGATGGTTGGTCCAGTGCAGAGGATCCATTCAATTCCTCAGATGCCGAAGACGAAGTAAAAGGAGAGAAGAAGCTGGTAACTGATTGCATTTTTTGTTTATTGGGGAGAGGAGAATTAAATGAATGGTCGTATTTCAAGTGATTGACTGTTCATAAGAAATGTGGAGCTTCTGATAGTTGCAAAATAGACTTTTACTTGTATTTCCATTGTTATTTAATTGCAGATTTAAGTTAGTGTGCTTGTTTAATCATTATGTTAATTCATATTGCTTATTGTTGAAAGCTGTGTTTAGTTTTGCTCTGCATTGTGAGCCATTATGGGTCTCATATTGGGAGAAAGCTTGGATATAAATAATAAATAAATTACAAAATAAATGCTTCTTGTTATACATGTGATAAGGAATTTTTTAAAGTTATGTTTTATCAAAAACAAATGGATTTTTGGATGTTAGGACCTATCAGCAGCACTTAATTTCTGATTAAATTCCATTGTGATTTCTCCTTTTAGGCTCCTGGTAAATATACTGCTGTGGCTAATTATGACAAGGGAGGCTCTGAAGACTTGGTCCTGAAAAGTGGAGACTTAGTTCAGCTGATCCTCGAAGGAGAAGATGGGCTTTGGTATGAGGAACTGTACATAAAGACAGGGCATCATTAAAACCATTTGACTTAGTACATGTGTAATGGTCCAGATAGTGGGATTAAGGAGTGTGTGGACCTCTATCTATTGTTGGACTGTGACTCCTGTCAACCATAGTCAGCATATATTGTGAAAAATTATAGGCATGACAATATCTGTAGGACAGCAGCTCCCACCATTTCTCATCATTGGCTGTGGTAGTTTCTCCAATGGATTTGAGGAAATGGTATGGGCCACCAGATGCTGTTGGCTAACAACGTTTGGTGGTCCAGATGATTTTCTCAAATCTGTTGTGGAACTCATGGAGGAAATTATGAGAAACATGAAAATAGAACTCAGATTAGAAATTAGGCTTGTGCAATTCAGCTGGACGACAATCTGTTTTTGGTGTCCAGATTTCATTGGGTACCCAGATCCATTTTTGGGAGCCTCCCAAAAATAGGCTAATGGAAAAAATCCATTTTCAGCTAGGCAGCTGAAAGATCTGGGAAGATCCAACCCATTGGTGTCAATGAGAAACTTAAAAGGCTCCCCTTTCCATTCCTGGGATCCTTTCCTTCCTTTTAAGGGGGCCTGGGTTTGAGGAGGGGTTAAAGAAGCACCCTTCCTGGGGCCCTTTCCTTTCTTCCTTTCAAGGGAGTCCAGAGAAGCCAAACAAGCCTAAAAAGCCAAAGGAAAATGTCTAAAACGGATGCATGCACAAGTCTATTAGAAATGTGCAATGTTTTCACATCTCTTTAAATGAGACATACTGTTAAAAATTCTAATTGTTTACACAATTTGATAATAATAAAAAAAAAATATGCTTCCTAGGTACATAAGGAACTTGAGCACCAGCAGGGAAGGATGGATGCATATCAATTGTCTCTTAGCGTTGCTTGGCAGCTCAAAATCGGCTCTTTCTCTGACTAGCTCAGGTGAGACTTTTGTTATAAATGCTTTCATTTAACTTGTCAAAGAGTTCATGTTGAATTTAAGTGTTGCTCAAAATTTGTTTAAATGTAGTCCAACGTTTTCTGTAAATGTGTGTGCTCTCCACCCAGAGTCAGCGGCTGGTTCGAGTACTCTGAGTTCATCTTCAAGTTACAGTGAAAACTGCAACGTTAGTAGCATCAGTGTTTCGGACATTAAAGGTTGACTGCAGACTCCTGTGAAGCTTTTGAATTTCCAATACAAAAACTGGATGCTAGATAAAAACAGAGACACACTTTGCCGTGTGTCTCTCATTTTGTCTCTACCAGCCCTCAAGTTCACGAGGACTTCTTAAAGGCATTATTTAAGAATGTAGAAAGGTCATTGCAAGCATGGAGAGCATGCTGGAGAAAAAGAAGTCTCCGGAAGTCGCATGTCAGACGTTACTCAAAGTGGGCCTTGCCACAATGTGGAAGAATGTTATGGAGAAATCAAGTTGTGTTAACCGCTGTGAATTTGTACAGTTCAAACAAGAATTATGAAGTTAATAGAATGTAAGGAACTTGATTGTTACAGATGACTGTAAATGAAAACTTCTTAAGTCAACGTGTAATGTACAGGAACAGTCTTTACAACAGGATAGGAATTATGTGGCCCTCCACATGTTTGGACTTCAACTCCCATCAGACCTATCCAGCAAAATCTTTGGTGAGAGATGATGAGAACTGCAATGCAAAGGTCCTTGGAGGGTCGACCACCTTTTCTAACATCAGGGGATTCCATTTTGAACTATTTAGTCTTTCCTGACTTTGCTCTATACTTAACCACCGTGCTTTATACACCTAAAGGCTATGTCGCAAAAGAAAGGGACATTTCCACTACAACAGAACCCCCCCCCCTTTTTTTTTTTTACAGTATGTGACAATAGCTATTTAGATGTATTTTTTACCACAGAGCCAAATCCTCTAATAAGGATGACTATTTATGGAATGCTAAGAATTTGATAAACCTGTTTGTTTTTTTTAAATGTGGAGTAAAAACATTGAAACATGTTTTCTATATCTTATGCTATTATTATATAAAATCATGCAATTGCCCTTAGCACTTACAATTAAACCATAATGGAAGCATTTCTAATTCTTATTGAGGCTGAAATTTCCCAATTCCCTTATTGTGAAATTAAGAAATCTGTTCCAGCAAGAGATGTTTTTCAACTATTAGGCCCCATCTGCATTGCCATATAATACAGTTTCAGAATCCAAATCAATTGCATTGAACTACATCATGTGGCAATAGGACTCATATAATCCAGTTCCATGCAGTTAATCTGGATTTGGAAACTGCATTATATAGCAGTGTAGATGGGATCTAAGATATGGTTTACAAAATCTGCATTTCCAAATGCAAGCTATATGTAATTTCTTATATAGACCATATTAAATTCTTACATATTTCTTAATTAACTAATAGCTCATATAATCTGTACCTCATTCATGTGTTATATCATGAAGAGTCATAAGGACGGAATGTTTTGATTGTCGGCACTTATTAAAACTGAATGGATAGAATCCAGCAAGATAAAATTAACTTGGATTTTGCTTCCTGGTGTGTGAAGAGTGTTTCGTCATATTGTTCCCAATGCTAGGAATATACTCAGGCTCCCAGTTACAATCAAGCCGTGTCTGACTTTGGTCAGTACAACCATTTATGTCTACCTGTATATGTTTATATGTGTCATGTATATGTTTATATGTGTCTTGTATGTACTAATGTAAAATACATATTATATATACATATCTATATTTATACTCTTCAGGCTGCTCAAGATGCCTCTGTATGAACTCTGGTTTCTTCCAAAAGCAGCACTGTGAATGTTGTCTTAAGATTTTATTTTATACAGTTTTCCATGTAAAAATGCACCTCGTCAAATCATCGTATACAAACATGACTTTGCCACCTGATGCACTGTCTGTTCTGGTCATGGTATTAAATAGCAATAGTCTCCGTAACTTATTTTGTAAATACGAATATTAAAAAAAATACCTATATTCCAAAATAAATAGAGAGGAATACCATTCTGATGCATATAATAAGAGTCATAATTCTCTCTACCATCATCCCACCCCTCTGCTGCTATGGGTGCCATCTTGAGTAGCTGAGAAGCATTGAATATCTTTCTGTAAAAAATGTAGAATTAATAAGTGGTTTATCGCTTCTCAGGTTTATGTGAAGGAACTACTTTGGGAACATGAAGCTTTGGAGAAAGTCCCTCCTATCACATCTTGTCTGTTTTCACTTTGTCCCTGAATCCATCTTCTTGCATTTCTCACATGGTTATACATGAATCATTGCACTTTAATACAGCCCACAGTTTTGACTTTTCTACTACTGTTGTAAATTAATTCTTCAGAACCAATGTCTTTGATGTCTATAATAAATTCTGAATAAATTTCAACACTTCTTACTGGGTGATCTCTGTATTGTGATATCCATCCACTGAATATGAACTGAATATGTTTATTTTATTTATGTATTTAGTATATTTATATCCCGCCTTTCTCAACCCCGAGGGGGACTCAAGGTGGCTTACAGCAGAGGCAATAATTCAATGCTTTCAAAACAATATACATCCAATATACAATTAAACCATAAAACCATATTCTCTGCAATCATAGTCTGGCCATTCCAGTAATCATTACACATCCAAGTCCATCTATTGCAGTGTGTTATTTGCCAAAGGCTTGATCTCAAAGCCATGTTTTCTCCCTCTTTCTGAAGGTCAGGAGGGAAGGGACTAATCTATTATTGCTGGGGAGGAAGTTCCACAGCCAAGGGGCTACCACTGAAAAAGCCCTATCTCTCGTTCCCACCAGTGACACCTGTAAAGAAGGCGGGACCAAGATCAGGGACTCTTTGGACAATCTTAATCTCCGAGATAGTTCATAGGGGGAGATATGTTCGGACAGATAAGCTGGGCCGGAACCGTCAATGGAGGCATGAACTGCCTCCATTGACGACATGTGTACAGCGGCATGAAAGTGTAGAAGCTTTAGGATTTTGTATACAAATATCAAGTGATGGAGATACATGAATTGGCAGTGCTTGAAACAGTTCCTTTTTGAACTACAGAAACCCAACAGAAGGCACAACACTGATATGCTGATTAGGAGACTTAAGAAATGTCATCTAAAATGTCTACTACGTTGCATAGCTGTTAGAGAATTTTGCACACATCTCACAGAAGTCAACATTAAAGCTTGAACAAAGCAGAATGGGGAAAACAAAGGTTTTCAAGAAAATGATATATAATTATTTCATAGAGACTACATGGGCCATCTAGTCCAACCCTCTGCCATGCAGGAAAAGTGCAATCAAAGTATCCCTGACAGATGGCCATCCAGCCTCTTTTTAAAAGTTTCCAAGGAAGGAGCTTCCACCACACTCCAAGGCAGAGTTCCACTGTTGAACAGCGCATAAAGTCAGGAAGTTCTTCCTAATGTTCAGATGGAATCTCCTTTCCTGTAATTCGCTCCTAATCCTAGTTTCAAGGATAGCAGAAAACAAGCTTGCTACCTCTTCCTTATGACATCCTTTCACATATTTATATATAGCTATCATGTCTTCTCTCAACCTTCTCTTCTGCAGGCTAAACATACTAAGTTCTTTAAAATGCTCCTCATAAGGCTTTGTTTCCAGACCTTTGATCATTTTAGTTGCCCTCCTCTGGACACTTTCCAGCTTGTAAATATCCCTCTTGAATTGTGGTGCCCTGAATTGGACACAGTATTCCAGGTGAGATCTAACCAAATCCGAATAGAGCAGAATAGAGTCAGAATGACTTCCCTCAATCTATTATTATTATTATTATTATTATTATTATTATTATTATTATTAAACTTTATTTGTACCCCGCTAGCATCTCCCGAAGGACTCAATACGGCTTACAAAGTCCAAGGCCTCAACACAACAACAGCATAACAAAACACTCAAAGCAAAATCAAAAACAAAAAGCAATAACAACAGAACATTACACCATAACACAGTTCAAACTAGGTCCGGGCCAAGTAATGGGTACAGATTAAAAAGTGCTGGGTGTGACATGTTGAATTTCAGGGCAAGTGCAATGTGCAGAGAATCTTAAAATTCTAAAAAAGTGCTTCTGGGACATAATGCTGGAGTTTTCCTATTCCAGAAAGGCACATCGGAATAGCCAGGTCTTCAAGCTCTTCCTAAAGACTGCCAACGTGGGTGCTAGTCTGATGTCTTTGGGGAGGGTGTTCCAAAGTCGGGGGGCAACCACAGAAAAGGCCCTGTCCCTCGTCCCCACCAAACGCGCCTGCGTGTCTAGAACTCTAGACAGTGTCTAGAACTCTAGACACTATAGTCCTTTTGATGCAGCCCAAAATTTCATTGGTTTTTTAGCTGCTGCATCACACTGTTGGCTCATATTCAACTTGTGGTCCACGAAAATTCCAAGGACTTTTTCACATGTATTGTTGTCAAGCCAAGCGTCACCTATCCTGTGCCTATGCATTTCATTTTTTCTGCCTAAGTGTAGTATCTTACATTTGTCCTTGTTGAAATTCATTTTGTTACATTTGGCCCAGCTATCTAATCTGTTCAGGTCATTTTGAATTTTAATCCTGTCCTCTGGCATATTAACTGTCCCTCCTAATTTGGTGTCATCTGCAAATTTCCTTAATTAGTGCCAAAAGATCTAGAAAGAGTGACACTTTGGAGAGGTAGGATAGAATTTTTCAGATGTTTATGCCAAGAAAGGATTTTTAAAAATAACTCAGACAATCTTTATTGATAGCAATGGCAAAGCTTTTGCAGCCATAAATCAGATTGATTTTGGCTTCGTTTTCCAACCCAGATCAATCTAGGTTGCAAATAACATGAAAATGTCCACACACACACACACTCAATCTGGTTACTAAATGTTATCCAAATGAATTTCTTGCAGACCCAGCAACCAAGCAAATAGAGCAAGACTAATATCGCTAACAAAGGGCCTGAGGTTAGTCTCACTCAGCTGTATATTACAAGGGCACAGCTTACATAAACTGTTTCCTCTGAATTGCAGCTCTTAAACAGCATCCCGTACCCTGTTCTAAGGTTATTTATTCAGCCCATCCTTTAAGATTAACATTCTGAATGTTTAGGAGGAAATGAAAGGTTGCAAATCTGTATGTTCCTACTCTGAGCAGTTCTCTCTGGATTACATAAAACGATTACCCATTTCAGAAATCCCCGTGGTGCAGTGGGTTAAACCGCTGAGTTACTGAATTTGCTGATCGAAAGGTCACAGGTGGCGTGAGCTCCCGCTGTTAGCCTCAGCTTCTGCCAACCTAGCAGTTCAAAAACATGCAAATGTGAGTAGATCAATAGGTACCGCTTTGGCAGGAAAGTAATGGCACTCCATGCAGTCATGCCGGCCACATGACTTTGGAGGTGTCTATGGACAATGCTGGTACTTCGTCTTAGAAATGAAGATGAGCACCAGCCCCCTGAGTCAGACACAACTGGGCTTAATGTCAGGGGAAAACCTTTTCCTTTACCAAGTACCCATTTCTGTCATTAGCTTTTGAGTCAGCACCACATTAAGTGTCAGATGAAACCCCTTAGTCACAGGGCACCTGCGTTATTTTTACTGATGGTAAGGCAGAGATGTAGTTATGGGGAACATGGGGCTATAGCCCCCCAAAGTTGAAATTTCCTCTCCAAATTTCTGGCATTGAAAACTGAACATTATAAATCATTCACACCTAGAACTCTTCTATTTGTTGAATTTACATTGCCTTTCTCTGGAAGCCTAAACCATTGGCTCTGCCATACCAGTGGAATATGTCTCACAAGAACATCTCTGAAATTGAACTATGCTGTTCTTTTAGTTGTGTTAGTCCATTTAGTAGCAAGAACACCATGCTTAAACACCAATAAATGTATGACATAAACTTTTGAAGGCTTGAGTATAAACTGGGCTACTTATCTTTCATAATGAACAACAGGAACACAATCTTCTATAAGCTGTTGGAACCAACATCATGTTTTTGGCACTTCGTGCCCGGAAAAGGAATTTATGATTTTAAGAGGGGGCCAGTGTGCGCAAGGAACCTAGACAATTCCAAGAAATTGTGAAATGTGTTTTTTGTTTTAAGACTGGATGTTGCTATTGCAGAGGAAGAATGAATAAATCTAAGATGCAATCAGTAATTCTGTAGCTTCCGTCATTATGCAACAACAAAGTGTATAAATCTTACAGATATTGTGTAAGATTTTTGTAATTTGGCACAGCAGTTGTGAAGGTGAAGAATGGTTTTCTCAGCAAGTTTGATTCAAAAAAGGTTGAAAATGTGAAAAGAGAAATGAGAGTGGATTTAATAAAGTGCTGATATTAGGTCTTAACATCAGAAAAATACACTAGCTTTTGATAAAATACAACTTAGCCAGCATCCCTGATCACATCTATAAACAACAATATTTATTTATGGCAGGCATAGGCAAACTTCAGCCCTCCAGGTGTTTTGGACATCAACTCCCAAAAATCCCAGCCAGCTTCCCGGCTGTTAGGAATTATGGGAGTTTAAATCCAAAACACCTAGAGGGCCGAAGTTTGCCTATGCCTGATTTATGGGTTTTGTGGCTGAGTGAGGATTCAAAATTTTGTCTCTAGAGCAGTGGAACTTAATCTCTAAGCCGCACATCACCAGTGGACTGCAAGGAAGAAAATCTGGTCCACGAGCCTCCTTCCTCTTTATTTGATTTCTGCTCCTTTTGTGCCACCTGCCACTCCTTCCCTGTCACTGGCCAGTCCCTCTTCCTCGGATAGACCACATCAGCTCTAGATTATTACATATGGTTTTCTGTGGGAGAGCAGATGGTGACTACTGGATGGCATATGTTCTGTTTCAGAAACTAGAGCTGATTTGGTCTATCCAATGCAATTTTCTGAATTGGCACCCCAATTAACAAAACAGAATCTAAAGTTGACCAAAAAATTGATATGTAGCCCTCTGGTACTAATGTTGGAGAGTGGTCCCTGGTCAAAATGGTCCCTGGTCTAGTGGACCCTGCTTTAAAAAAAAGATTGGAACCACTGCTCTAGAGTCATAGTACAATCGTCAAACTGCTACATCACACTGGCTCTTGGATTGGGGAAAACATGTACCCATTAGGAAGGAGAGAATATAACACAAGTTTCTCCTATACATGATAAAAGAAGCATTCCTTCCTCGTAAACCACAAAAAAAATATTGTTCCCCTTTCCTTTGACCTCATCTTCTTCCTGTCAAGCAGAAAAAAATGACACATTCAGTCTATCTAGCATATAATCTGAGCTCTTAGCACAGAGGGGGAAAATCTCTTAGATGAGGGTCAAATATATGACAATATCTGATTTGAACCTTCCCAATTTGCAAACTTGCATCTTTAAGTACGCAGAGTTCTGAATCACAACTTACTGTTGAGGGGATTGTGGATAAAATTGGCTTCAACCAAGGATTGTTCTTTTCTACACTTGAAATTTCCTTAGTGTATCTCTATATCTGAAGTGGTTTGAGTGTTGCACTAGGAATCTAGGATAGCACGTTTAATTCTCCTGTTAAACATGGAAACCTACTGGGTGACTTGTGGAGGTCACATGCTCTCGACCACAGTGGAAGAGAAAGGGAAGGACTCTGATCAACTCTTGCCAAGACTCTGTGTTCCTACACCCTTACAAAATTGTATCATATCAAATTTGATATTTTTGGACCACAAGAAGTATTTCACAGAAAAGGGGGCAATTAGTCCCTAACTAACATGGGAATATTTAAGTTGGGAACCTGAATTTTGAGTTTTAATGCAATAGTACAAAATTTAACACTCAGCACCAAGCCACATCACTCTTAATATAGAAGAAAGAAAAATAATACATTAAGATTATTAAAATCATTGTTCTTACCTTTTACCTAATAATTAGATGGCTGATTACTTTATTGCATGAACCCGCTATTCCACTATAGTTGTGCTATCACTGATAGCAGGTACATAGCAGATTGGACACCTTTGATACCTCTCTTCAATTGCACCATAGCGCCGATTTGCCAGTTTGTGGCCTGGTGATCATATTTCCATATACCTTTATAACCCTGTGTAAAGAGGGTTAAGAGATCAGGGTCTCTTATTGCTCCTGTGTGACAGGAATATGTGAGGGTGTTACACACAGGTGATGAGAGAGAAAGGTGTGTGTATATGGTAGGTATGCTGCCACCACCCCAAATCACCGTTTGAGGAATTAACTAGATGATATACTTGAGGTAAAATGTCCCTATACACCGGTTCCTCTTTTTGGCTCCCTTTCTTGTGACTGGATTGCGGAGATGTAGAGGCTGACTAAATCTAGCTTTATATAACAAAACAAGGCTGGGGCATATTAAAAGTAAACTAGGGAACAAGTTTATTGAAATATTTGAAACAGACAACTCATTACTGAGTGGTACATATGTGTAGTTGGTTTCTGAGGCACAGACTAATAAAACAAATGGTTGCTTAAGAAGGAGTAACTTTTCTTTGACGTGAGTTACTTTCCTCGCACTATCTCTATAACAAGTAACAGTGTGTTTCTTAGACCAGACGCCCTGGCTGCCTGCAAGAGTAACTAGGTTCCTTCTAGACTACTCTGCACTGTAGGAAAATAAACCCACTTGTATTCTCTCTCAATACAAGTCAGCAAGACTTCACTTTGACTACCCAAGCCAAAGTACCCCGAAGCACTTGCCCTCTATTATTCCCTATCAACCTAATTCTTAACTCACTCAGCAACTCTCTTCTCCCTGCCTGAAAATCCTAATCCTATCTCTCTAAGATCAAATCCCTCTTCTCTCTTTTAGATCAAAACCATTTCTCTCTAAGATCAAATCATTCTCCTCTCTCTGACAGAAAGTACAGCCTTTTTTACACACTCCTTCAACTCCTCCCCTAGGGGTCTGAGCCAATCAGGAGTTAGCTGACTCCTCCCCTTGCCTCTCTGCCTTTCCCAACATGTCAGCTATCCTTAGCACCCTCCCAACATGGAGGCCTGCTCACTGACTCCCAGGCTGCGGCCTACAAAGCAAAGGTATGAGTTCACTACACCCTGCCTTCCTGCAATACCACTGTACCATAAGTTTTGACTTTTATTTTGGAGCAGTTGGGCAATTTAAGTTATGAAAAACAAAAAAAAGGGGGCAAATATATCTATGAAATATAAAATAAACAGAAAAGGGGCAAATTGGGAATAATGAGGGAGGAGAGGGGGAAAGCAGGAGAATCCCACCCTCTGATGTCACTTTACAGACAGGACCTATTACACCAAGACAGATGAAAGGAGCATTGTGAGACTGGGAACAATTGATGAGTTTTACCTATCAATAGCTAGGGATGGGATAATCGGAGAGGAAGAAGTCTGGCAGCAAGATGCACAAAATGTTGTAAAATAGTGACTGTCACCAAATCCGATGGTTCAACTGCAGTGCCAGTTTACCTGCCTTGTGTAATGAAATATTTTACTTCTCAAGGTAGTGTATACACAGTTCTGCAATGTTATCTCCACATGTACAGAACAATAGAGGCCAGATCTACACTGCCATATATATAATCCAGTTCAATGCAGTCAATTTGCATTCAGAAACTGGATTATATGGCACTGTAGATGGGGCCAGAGTCTCAGTCACTGAACTTTGTCACTGAACCTTGATTTCCATCCATAAGGAGATCTTGGCCATTGATTTGTTGTACTTTCACAATCAAATGAAGGTTTATTCTAATTAATGTATTTGTTTACAATTTGAGATGGCTATTGGCGACCTGGTGTTATGAGTTTTCATAATTTAGCTTTAGGCTGTTTTTAGTGTTATAGGCCACACACAAAAATGAAATGCAAGCGTACAGAATGGAGGGATGCCTAACTCGACAGCAGTACATGTGAAAAAAGATATTGGAGTCCTCGTGGACAACAAGTTAAACATGAGCCAACAATGTGATTAATATAGAAGAAAAAGCCAATGGGATTTTGGCCTGCATAATTAGGAGTATAGTGTCTAGATTCAGGGAAGTCATGCTACCTCTGTATTCTGCCTTGATCAGACCACACCTGGAATACTGTGTCCAATTATGAGCACCACAAGTGACAAGCTGGAAGGTGTCTACAGGAAGGTGACTGTTGGGAATCAGCCTGTGTTTGTGTTCCAGGATCATGATGCTTCTGATGTGGGCAATGCTGTGAGCAATGATGAGGTAAATGGTGGTGCTGAGGCTGAGGTGCAAGATGGAGATGGTTTGGTCAATGATTTTCTTGCAGACAATGACAGAGAAGCTCCAGTGCAAAGGGCAGTTTCTCATGAGAATATTCCTGCTGGACATATGGATGATGGTTTACTCCCTCTCTCTGTGAGCTCTCAAGATTTGGGTTTGGAAAACAATCTGACACCTGGAAAATTTAATGAGCAGCCAGAAAGGGAGTTGAAAAACAGGTGGCTGAAGTTCATCCAGGACCGACAACAAACTCAAGGTTTACGTTGCTCCAAAATGCTTCCTCAGATAAGAGCCAAGGGTGGGGGGAAACGAAACCAGTTTCTGGGTTTTGGGATATAAGGTTTGCTTCAAAGGAAAACCTGTTAGATCAGGCATCATTTGGAAATCAAGTTCATGTGCCGTGGAAATCCTGTTCAAGGGGTCTTGTTCCTGTGGAAACTTCTAGCCTTTTGGTGTTTGGATTGTCTTTGCATCCTGTTGATTCCTATCTGGATAAATACTGCCTTGGATTGCTTTTATATCTTTTGTGGACATTGCTTTAAGTTACTGCATTTTACTGATCTTTTACTTTCTGGAACTTTCCTATTTTCTTACAAGCATTTCTTTCTACTGGCTATTTTACTAAGCTTCAATAAAAAGGATTTATTTCTTCACTCAACGTGTGGTGTGTTTTAAAATCAGAGGGCCTTTTCCTGTCCTGGAGTGCAACAGCCACTAAAATAATAAAGGGTCTGGAGAACAAACCCCATGAGGAGCACCTTAAAGAGCTGGGCATGTTTAGCATGCAGAAGAGAAGGTTGGAAGGAGACATGTTGCCATGTGAGGGAAAGTCATAGAGAGGAGGAAGGAGGCTTGTTTTCTGCTGCCCTGGAGACTAGGATGCAGAAGAACAATGGCTTCAAACTACAGGAAAGGAGATTCCACCTAAACATTAGGAAGAACTTCCTGACTGTGAGAGCTATTCAGCAGTGGAACTCTCTGTCCCGGAGTGTGGTTGAGGCTTTTAAACAGAGACTGGATGGCCATCTGTCGAGGGTGCTTTGAATGCAGTTTTCCTGCTTCTTGGCAACGGGTTGGACTGGATGGCCCACGAGGTCTCTTCCAACTCTGTGATTCTATGACACTGTATCTGATCTTCCATTTAGGATCTTAATTGTGATTTGAACCCTGTTCTCTCTCTCTCTCTCTGAAGGGGCCATCTACAATGTAGAATCAATTCACCACTTTTAACTGCCATAGCTCAAGGCTCTGGATTAATGGGAATTTCAGTTTTATAAGAGTTTTATCCTTTTCTGCTAAAACTGTAATTTGCCTCGCCAAACTACAACTCCCATCATTCCATAGCATTGAGCAATGACAGTTAATCTAGTGTCAAACTGCATTATTTTTGTAGATGCACTCTAAATCAAGCAATGTCTGCTTTTCCAGACTGGCTAGGGGATTCTGGGCATTGTAATCCAAAACATGAACTCTTCTCCATTCTGCTTTTAGCTATGTTTGTGTTATGGCTTCCCCCCCCCCTCCTCTGTCTCTCTGTACCCCTCCTCCCACTGTAGCCACTGGAACAGAGAACTTTGGTCACAAAGTTCTTGCTGAAATATCAGTACACTATTTGGACACAGCATTTTAGTTTCATCATGGCTTCCCGTCACTTCAACATTCTGCTTTTAGGTCTTTTGCTGGTGTATCCGATCTCACAGGCTGCAGGTATGACTCAGAAAACTGTTCTAATATATAATGCTGAACTGTTATTTTGTTATAGTTTGGTTGTCTTTCTTTTGGAAATTGTAAAGCCAGTCCAAAAAACCTTGAAATCTGAAATTTCTAAACATCAGCCAAATAACTTTATTCCTAAGCCAGCTATTTTTATGACATTGATACATTTATAGTTTTTAGATGTCTGCTGTTAAGGTTAAAGTTAAGGGTCACTTGGGTTCTAAACTATTAGAGCAGAAGAGCCCCAAAACAATATCAATGCAAGCTGTTGCTGAAACATCTCTATCTTACTCAGTTTTCAGCATATTGGTATTTATTTTTAATTGTGCTTGCAGGCAAGACTTAGTACCCCTGAAGCTTATATAAACATATTATATGTTTACTATATTGTGCCTTTTTTCTTATTTTTGCCTAATAAGATTCATTGATAAAGCAGAATGATAAGCACAACAACACACTTAGATGTAACTGTGTCATCCCTCCCACCAATAACTTAAGATTAAAGGAGCTGAAATTTGTCCTAATCGATTAGGGGATTATAAATTGATCAAACTGTTGACTGATAAAGTTTGCCATCACAATCTCTAACTTACTCTAATTACTAATTTAGTTAATACTCATTTAGAAATATTTGTAAATGTCTTAAAAGGTATTTCTTCAACTCTGATCACAAAATGTGAGTGCCATCAGTAAGACAAAAATTAAATTAAGTATTTTTGTTCAATCTAAAATAAAATTTACTTAGTATATACTGTCAACAGAGCAAAACAAATGTGACTTTAGAAGATCGAATAGTTGTTTAAACAGTTTTAAAGTTTTGAAGTGTGTATTCTCTGTGAAGTGCTTATTTACGGAAGAAGAAAAAACAGATCTTGTGAGATATATTCATGTCCCACTTTATGCTTGCGGCTCATAGACAATATGAAAGTTATCAAGAAAGTAAGGTTACAAGGCATGTAGCTCTCGCAGGGATTTTTCGTGGGGGAAGTTGGTATCACTGCCATGTAGTGGGAAGCCAGCGGAAGCAAATGAGAAGTGCCAGTCATCAGCAGCTCATCGACTGAACTTGTGGTGAAGGTTAGAGTTGATAATAGAGAGCACTGTAATAAGATGAACAGTAGTTAAACTATGTCCCTGCAATGCTGAAAATGAGGAGTAACCTTGTTGATATTTACCATCATGGACAAAGTATAAGGAATTCAGTGCAGCTGTACTTTCTACTTTCCTCAGCTATGGAGATGTTCTTGATAATTGTATGATAAATGCACCTAAAACATTATCACACTAGAGAATGAACCCACTTAAAATCCGTTTTCTGCCTCCCGCAGAATTGTGGGGTTTCTAGTTTAGTGAGACTGTTAAAGGCGCCTCCCTAAACTACAAACCACAGAATTCTGAGGAGGCAGAAACGGGATTTAAAGTGGATTCATTCTCTAGTGTGATGAAGTACCTAGTCAATGATTTCTGTTTTTAAGTCTTCTTAAAGCACGAGGAAGCAAGCAATGTACTACAAAGGAACAAGAGAGCCAATTCCTTCTTTGAAGAATTCAAATCAGGGTCACTGGAAAGAGAATGCCTTGAAGAGAAGTGTTCATTCGAAGAAGCAAGGGAAATATTCAAGGATGACAAAAGGACAGTAAGTAACAGGGCATTAGGGAGGAAAATTGTGTTTTTTCTACAGTTGTGATTTTTTAAAGGTTGTACTAATTTCCTTCACATGTATCTTGGTGGGATGGTTTTCAATCCAAATGAATATTTAATGACAGAAGCCTGTGTCTGTAAGATGAACTGATACGGTTCAGAAAATTAAATTTCTTGTGTTTGTGAGAAGAAAGCCAAATTGGAAAGGATTCAGAAGAGATGGAGAGGTGGTGTTTGACCAGTAAGTGGAATCAGTGAAGACAAACTGAAGGTACATGGTTTTAGTCACTGCTTAAGAGTATTGTGTTATAATGTGTTACTTTAGTAACTAGTTAATTTTTGAATGATTACTTGTTGCCTCTAATATTGTGATTTCAGTCCAGCAGGGTTTCTGCCAGTTATTTATGATTAACAACTTCATCAGATGGGGTAAAATCAGGAGCAGATACCAGTCTCTCCTTAGTTTTGTGATGGATCTCACCGACTCCTATCTCACGATGTACATCTACTTCTAGTGGGGCTCCGTTGCAAAACTGAACTAGCATCTGCCACGTATTTTTACACCATCTGATGAGGTCATTAATCACAAATAACTGGCAGAATCCCTGTTGGAGTGAAATTACAACATTACAGGCAGCAACAAGGGAGGCTTCCTGTGTTGCATTGGGATGAATGGGGGAAAGCTGGGCAGCGGACGCTTCCCCTCATGGGGTGGGATCTAGGGTAAGTTGGGGGATGCAAGGCGTGGGGCAATGGGTTCTCCACATCCCTTTTTGGGCACTGCCAGATTTGCCATGATCTGTGGTGATTCCGAAGGCATGTATGATGAGGTCCTAAGTGTATTCGGATGCAGTCTGAGCATCTTTCTTGTGAGTTTATTTATTATTTATTATTTTATTTGCATCATTTCTATCCTGTCCATTTCAGCCTGAAGGCGTACAGACCGGCAACAATTAGATGCCATCCACACACACACACACAAACAAACAAAAGTTGGATGAGCATTTGTCAGGGATGCTTTGTGATGCTTATAACAGTTGGGTTCCTGGTTGTCTAGATGGGCCTGCAGGCCATTCAAATACCATGACTGTAGGAATAATAATTGAAAAATACTTATTTGTCGGGCTTCATGTTCATATTTTTGTTTGCAAGTGTCTTGATTTTACATGCTGTATGCCACTTTGGGAGAAAAGCAGGATATAAATAAATAAATAAATAAATCATCCCTAGTTTTAAATCTATGCAAGAGAAGGTGAAATTAAATCATCACCCTCACTATCATCATCATCTGCCTTTTTTCCTTGCCCGGGACTTAAGTCAATTTACAAAAGTTAAAGATTTGGTTTTAAATCTACTGAAGTTTTTAAAAATTATGAACAAAGTTGCTGATAACATTGTTTTGTTCTCTCCCCCCACCCTGCCCTCTGCCCTCTTTTGCTCAGATGCAATTCTGGACACACTACACAGGTAAGAGGGCTTGTATCAAAACTATTTATCAACGTTGCATACTGTACATGTTCCGAACTGTTACTGACATTGGGTATGTGTTTTTTTCAGATCCTAATCAGTGTGACTCCAATCCTTGCCAGAATGGGGGGACGTGTAGTGACCAGTTCCAGAACTACATTTGTATTTGTCCTATAGATTACGAGGGCAGAAACTGTGAAATTGGTAAAATACAGGGGAAATTGGAAAAGGGTGCCTTAAAAGATTATAAAGTTAATATCTGCTGTATCTCTTTTCTTCTTTCCAACCACATCCATCTCCCACAGATAATGTATGTTCTGTTCACTCACTCGTACATACTTAAATAATGTCATGAAATGTATGGGAAAATCCTTTCAAAACATGTAGCATTGAAAGTAACTAGGCTACATTATTCATTACAACCCCCAATCTAAAAGGATTGTGTCATTCTCACTCACTATGTTACTTTGAAAATGTAATCCCTTTAAACTCCTCCTACCAAAAAATAATATATCTTATAAGTATCTGCATTACTTGGAGGAATGGCTGTAAGGATACAAAACTTAGAACCCAATGACTGCAGACTACTATATATACATATACTTGTGTATAAGCTGATCTTGTGTATAAGTTGAGGGCAGATTTTAGGACCAAAATTTTGATATGACCTATGGATAAGTCAAGGATATATCTTTGTCCTCTTGCTTCTTTTTCATTTCATCTTTGACAACTCTATATCTAGACTAGGACCATCAATATTGCAAGTCCTTTTACAAAATGATGAACTCACAAGTTTGCACCCTCCTGTCCACTTTGTCTTTAGGTCCAGAAACTAAACTAAAGTGCATTTATGACAATGGTGACTGTGATCAATACTGCGTAGACAGCCCAACTACATTACGGCAGTGTTTTTGTGCAGAAGGGTACAGATTGGCAAGTGACCAAATGTCTTGCCTTCCAGAAGGTAAGACAATACTATTAAAGTACTATTTTACAGGGAATGTTCCTTTCCTGGTAGAAAACAGTACAAAAAGAAGAAAAGTCATTGTTATAACTTAAAATTAAATACAGGTTGAGAATACCTAATCTGGAAATTAGAAATTCTCCAAGGTGTGATTTTATTTGCTGCCAACCACTCCATTCCATTTTTGAGGTGATGATGGTAGTGGTGACTCTACTCATTCATTCAGGAAGCAGAAGCAGATAGCAAGCAGGCCCTTCCTCGGAGTTTTCTTTTTCTTTTTGCTTTGTTTTGCTTTTCATTATAGGTATCAGGTTCTTTTTATCACCAGTCTCTCCGATCCTCAGTCTCTCTCCAGCCTCACATCAGATACAGAATACAAGCAGCAAATGAAGATCTGAGAGACTGAGGATAGAAAAGACCTGATGCCTATTTTCAAAAACGAAGAAAAAGTATCTACTAGAGGCTGGAGAGACACACAAGAATGGCTCTATGCCATTTCAGAGATATTCCAAAATCTGGAGGGGGCATTTCAGAATCTGGGAAATGTCTGACGTGGGATCCAATACAACAGACAGCATAGTGATCTTGTTTGCTGTGTTTTAATCTTGTTGTGTTTCAAATTATTATTATTATTATTATTATTATTATTATTATTATTATTATTTTGTGTCAGGAGCGACTTGAGAAACTGCAACTCGCTTCTGGGGGATGCCCGGATGTTTAGATGTTTTATCATCCTTGTGGGAGGCTTCTCTCATACCTCCTCATGGGGAGCTGGAGCTGATAGAGGGAGCTCATCCGCGCCCTCCCCAGATTTGAACCTCCGACCTGTCAGTCTTCAGTCTTGCTGGCACAAGGGTTTAACCCATTATGCCACTGGGTGCCCAATAATAATAATAATAAGGCCCCTCTCTCTTTCCCACCAACCACACTTGAGACAGGGTGGGATCGAGAGCAGAGCCTTCCTCATCCACAGATCACAGTGCTTGAGCTGGTTTATATGTGGAGATGCGGCTTTTCAAGTAATTTATAATACAATAAAATAGGAAAGTGTGTAGTATGAGCATTGGATGAAAACCAACTGATCTGCAATCTGACAATTAGGTCAGCCTAGCTCAATATTGTCTGCAGTGACTTAAAGGAGCTCTCCAAGATTTCCAGGAGGGGTTTGTCTCCTACACAGATAACAGGGGTGGAACTTTCTCCCATGGAAAGCATATGCTCTGCCCCTCAGCTATAGCATCATTTTCTTTTGACAGCCAGAATGAATGCGAGACCTGCATGGGGGCAGAAAGGCATATCTTTGAAATGATAAGAAAGGTTCAAATTGGATTTCTAAAACAAATAATAGGTAATTTAACATTTTAAAGTACTTAAAACATAATAATGACAATATTTTAAAATGTATCACACCCTGGTTATAAGACCTCTGTAACAGCCAGTTAACAATCGGAGTGCTGAGTAAACAAGAAAGACTTTGCCTGTTGGCAAAAACTCAACAGAGAAAAGGGTCAATCTAGTTTCCTAAAGGAGTAGACTCCACAGTCTGGAATCAGCAACTGAGAAGGCCTTCTCCTGCATCTTTACGCAATGTACCTATGATGGTTATGGGATTTAGATAAAGCCTTCCTCTGGGAATCTTAGACTGATATTATGAAACATGATATTTTGACAGCCTGACAGCTTTGTATGACAGGCACATGGAATTGAGTCTATACATGACCTGCTGAAGTTTCCAAAGTCAACCTCATGCAGAATTACAATAATCGAAATAGGATATAATCAAGGCATGTGTCATTACAGCCAGATCTGACAATTGCAGATCTTAAGGGCTTGTTCTCATAGAAACAGAGTTGGAAGAGCTCCAAGGGCCATCCAGTCCTATCCCCTGCCATGCAAAAATACACAATGAATGTGTATTGCCAACTGATGGCCATCTAGCCTCTGCTTGAAAACCTTCAGAGAAAGAGACTCCACCATGCTCTGAGGGAGCATGTTCTACTGCCTAACACAGTTCTTACTATCGGATTAGATTTAGAACAAAAGAGAGGACAAGTTTACTATAGGTTTGTTAGAACCCGAAATGGACCTCTGACTGCCTCCAGCTTCATTGGGGCAAGAGTGTGTGACCTATGATAGATCTAGCAGATGGAAAACTGATTCCCAGAGGAGCTGACATTTTTCCCTTTGTATGATGAATATTATTCAAAAGCTTGCTTATTTGTTTTGAACTTTTTTACATCACCTCTGTGATAAAGCTCAAAATAATACCTTAAAAATAATTTGCTGTGTATGATATTTAATAATATCATAATAAGCTACATCTTTTTACAGTTGAATATCCTTGTGGGAAAATACCTGTTCTGGCCAAAAAAAAGCCAAGTCGGCAGGGAAGAATCGTAGGTGGATATACTTGTCCTCCAGGTGAATGTCCATGGCAAGTAAGTTGCTGCTGCTGCTGTTTTTCCTTCATTTCCACATAATGTTTTTAGAAGGCAAAGGCCTAAATCTAATTACTGGTCCCAGCTAGGGCAGACACATTGAATCAATTCCATTTACACAAGTCTGACTTACCATCTAGTGCTTGTTCTGATTAGTGTACTCTAGCGGTGCATCTACATTATAGAATGAATGCAAGGTTGGGAAACAGGATACAGGACATTTTCTCTATCTGAGACTGAGAAAATGTGACTTGTCCAAAATCGCACAGTGGATTTGAATGTCAGAGTGGGGAATTGAACCCTGATCTCCCAGTGTCCTAGTCAAACCCACACCACCGCGCTATGCTGGTTCTCATTACTGTTATTTTATTTGCCTTTACTATCACTGTAACCTAAGAGGTATCAACTTAATATAATGTGTGATCTTCTGGAAGTCTGAATGTATCTGAATCAGTCTTTAAAATTTCCTCTCCCAATAATTTCACATGAAAGGTATTTCAGATTAGCATTTATCAAACTCTGATGTGCTTTTCAGAGTGCATTAGCGAAAAGGAAGGCATGACAAATTGGAAAACAAATCTTTTCATCTAACTCATTTGCACACAGGGCCGGCCCGTCCATTACTCGAAGTAAGCGGTCGCGGAATACTTTTTTTGCCAGGGGGCGCTGTTCTGTCCTTAGGCCACGCCTCCTCCTGCAGGCCCCATGCGCCCTCAACAGCCTTCTAATGGAGAAGCGCAGGCCCCGCCCACTAGGCGAGAGGGAAGTCCTCCCTCCACGTGCTGCCAGGAGGCAGCCAGCCAGGCTCTTTCGCTTTCCCTTTCCTTCCCTGCAGCTGAGCCTGGACCCCTCTCAGGGCAGCAAGGAGGCCTGGTCAAAAGGTACTGCAGATGTCATCTTTTGTACATGCCTCCCCCAAACCCCTCTAGTATTTGGTAATGGAAGTCCTATATGCCAAGCTTGGTTCAATTCTATTGTTGGTGGAGCTCAGAATGTTCTTTGGTGCTTGGTAAACTGCAATTCCCAAATGTCAGGGTCTATTTTTCCCAACCCCCTCTCCAGTATTTTCTGTTAGTCATGGAAGTCTGTATGCCAAGTTTGGTTCAGTTCTATTATTGGTGGAGTTCAGAATGCTCTTTGGTGGCAGGCATCCTCAAGAGGCTGTGAGGTCTGTTTGTAACTAGGCAAGTGGGGTTTGTATATCTGTGGAATGTCCAGGGTGGGAAAAAGAACTCATGTCTGCTTGAGGTAAGTGTGAATGTTGCAATTGGTCATCTTGATGAGTATTTAATGGCCTTGCAGCTTCGAAACCGAGCTAGTTGCTGCCCAGGAATCCTTTGTTGGGAGCGGTTAACTGGCCCTGATTGCTTCATGTCAGGAATTCCCCCCCTTTTTTAGTGTTGCTCTTTATTTATTGTTCTGATTTTAGAGGGTTATTTTAGAGGGTACTGGTAGCCAGATTTTGTTCCTCTGAGATTGCCTGCCATAGATGTGGGGAAAATGTCAGGAGAGAATGCTTCTGGAACATGGCCATACAGCCCAGAAAACTCACAGCAACTCAGTGATTCTGGCCATGAAAGCCTTCCACAACACATTATTATGTTTATTTATACCCTGCTTTTTCTCTCCCCAAGAAGACTCAAGTTGGCTTAGATTAAAAACATTTCAGTACAGTTTAAAATCCACAAATATGCAAACATTAAAATGGAATTAAATATCATTGGTATTTTAAAAATTCAGTTAAAATCCATAAAAAACATATCCAAAACTAAAACTGCAGCAGACCCTGACTTGATCTTTAAAACCTTTTAAAGCCTGCATTAGATTACCAAATGTAATGTCCCTTTATACACACTGCTTTATATTAATTTCCCCAGTATTCCTTTATCTGATTTGTCATCAACACACTTAATGGACTGCAAAAATATGATCCTGTGTGATTCCTTTCCATTGCTGGCCGAATAGTTTAAATTTGGATAATATTTTGACTTTGATATTTTAGCAATTACATTTTGCAGCAGTGTCTTTTGGGTTGCTAACTCTTGTCCTTCCACTTATCCTTCCATCAGTTCCAGGGCTCAATCCCAACTGCTGTTGGACGAGACACTATGGAGCTCTATATTTATATTTCCACAGTACAAAGTGGCAAAATCAAAGACTGCTTTGGGATTTTTTTTTAAAAAAAAATGTTTTCAAACCATGGATGGTTGAAGCAGTGGTTGCAGAACACCAACTGTGTAACACTGTTACTGTACGAGTAAAGCAACAACAAAATGCTCCCCTGCCCTTAGGTGTATAATTTAATTAAAACATGACACAAAGGCAAAGGGATGCCAGTGTGGGAAGGGATGAAGGGCCTGTCCAGACAGGCCCTATATCCCAGGATGTGATTGCAGGTTTTCTGTTTATCCTGGATTATCTGGCAGAGTGGACTCATATGATCCAGTTTAAAGCTGAAAACCTGGGATTTATTTATTTATTTGTCATGTCAGAACAACCAGTCAAATTATGTTACATTTCTAACAGAACAAAGCAAAACAAGCAGATTACAAAATTTGTGAGTATGGTAGTTGATTAAATGTCCTTTGATCAGTATCTGGCCACTTGGAGTGCTTCTGGTGTTGCCGCAAGAAGGTCCTCCCTTGTGCATGTGGCAGGGCTCAGGGTTCATTGCAGCAGGTGGTCAGTGGTTTGCTCCTCTCCACACTCGCACGTCGAGGATTCCACTTTGTGGCCCCATTTCTGAAGGTTGGCTCTGCATCTCGTGGTGTCCGAGCGCAGTCTGTTCAGCACCTTCCAAGTCGCCCAGTCCTCTGTGTGCCCAGGGGGGAGTCTCTCATCTGGTATCAGCCATGGGCTGAGGTGCTGGGTTTGAGGCTGCCACTTTTGGACTCTCGCTTGCTGAGGTGTTCCAGCGAGTGTCTCTGTAGATCTTAGAAAACTATTTCTAGATTTAAGTCGTCAAACAGGGGATGAACTGGAGATGTCTCTGCCTTGGTCCTTTCACTATTGGCCGCCACTTCCCGGCGGATGTCAGGTGGCGCAATACCGGCTAGGCAGTATAATTTTTCCAGTGGTGTAGGGCGTAAACACCCTGTGATAATGCGGCATAGGGCCTGTCTGGAAGGGCTCCATGGCTTCACATGCCACCTGTTTCTCCAAGGCCAAAGCAGTGGCAGTTGGATGGAAGGAGGGCTCTTCATCTGCTTCTGGGTCAAGCACATGCAAGAGCAAACTTCAGCCCTCCAGGTGTTTCGGACTTCAACTCCCACAATACCTAACAGCCGGTCTAGCAGTTTGTAATGTAATACAGGTTGAGTATCCCTGATCCAAAGTGCTTTGAACTAGAAGTGTGTAAATCACTTTGAGTCCTCCTGAGGGTGAGAAAAGTGGTATACAAATACTGTAAATAAATAAATAAAATGTTTGGGATCATGGGATAGCTGTTTACATACACAATGACACATTTCAAAGATAGCACCCAAGATGAAACACAAAAGAGGCATGCACGAGGCCTCTTTTCCCACGTGCCCGGCAATGCCGCTGCGCATCCCTCTCTCGGCATTAGGAAATGTGCGCCCTGCATCGCCCTCCTTCTCCATGCACTTCCTAACGCTGGGAGAAGGATGCACACTGGCGTTGTTGTCTCCCTTGGCCTGCAAGGAGGAGGAGGAGAGGAGGACAACGTGCGCACTTGTGAGGGAAGGATGGAGGGAGAGCATGCTCCCTGCATGAGGGCTCTTTTTCCGTGCGCCTGGTAATGCCGGCGCGTGTCCCTCTCCCGGAGTTGCAAAGCGTGTGGGGGAAGAGAATGCAAAGCGCATACCCAGGAGCCGATGGAGCACAGGGCCTCTTCTCCTGTGTGAAGAGGGGGAGCATTGCAAGTGCCTCTCCAGGCAGCTGTGCCATCACCCCTCTCAGGGCGGCAAGGAGGTTTCTTCATGAACGGAAGTGACTGAAGGTACTGCAAATCTAAATTATTGTACATGTTTCCCCAAAACCCCTCCAGTATCAGAGTCTATTTTCCCCAAATCCCTTCAGTATTTTGTGTTGGAACTACATCAACACTGACAAAGAAACAACAAGAAATACTATTTACCCACAAGCATTAAGAAATTACATATATTAGAAACCAACTTTCTTATTACTTTCTTTTCAAGATCACTAGACTGGATCACAGCAACGCGTGGCAGGGGATGGCTAGTGTGTGTGTGTGTGTGTGTGTATGTATGGCTGGCATGGGCCAACTTCAGCCCTCCATGTGTTTTGGACTTCAATTCCCACAATTCCAAACAGCCAGTAGGAAGTCCTAAATACCTGGAGGGCCAAAATTTGTCCATGCCCCCATAGATAGATAGATAGATAGATAGATAGATAGATAGATAGATAGATAGTGATTGGTTTTGGGGGAGGGGGGGGCGCCAAAATACTGTTTGCTTACCATTGAAAATTACCTAGGGCCGCCTCTGTTTGCACATAAAAGCCACAACTACAGTAGACCCATTCCAGCAATTGCTGAATGATGAGTCAACATCTAGGTAAAATCCATTGATTCTTAGAATTATAAGAGTTGGAAGACACTGCAAGAGCCACACAGTCCAACCCAATACCATGCTTATTTGTTTTGAACACACAATCAAAACACTTCCAACCAGCCTCTGCTTAAAAACCTCCAGAGCAGGAGACTCCACCATGGTCCAAAGTAGCATATTCCGCTGCCAAACCGCTCTTATTATCATAAAGTTCTTCCTAATGTTTAGGTGGAATCTTTCCCCCTGCAATTTGAATCCATTGCTCTGTGTCCTAGTGTCTAGAGAAGCATAAAACAGTCTTGCCCCTTCCTCAATTTGACATCCTTTCAAATATTTAAACATGGTTATCATCTCTATTTTCTCTTCCCCAAACTAAATATATCTAAGCTGCTCCTCATTGCACTTACATTCAATGGGTCTACTCTAGTTAGGAGTAACTATGGGATTTAGGCTCAATTTGTGCCACTTAAACCAATACAGCTTGAGCCTTCCTAAGTGCTCTTATAAGTCATACGGAGTTAGTAAATGCCACAAATCATTTAGATTCATTAAATGTCCCAAGATCTAGTTTAATTTCCAGAATCATTGCTTCACACCATGCATAATTTTATATACTTTTGTCATGTCACAAGAGATAAAAATCTAACAAATGAAATGTATTCTACCAACACTCTAAATCAGTGGTTACCAACCTTTGGTCCTCCAGTTGTTTTGGACTTAAACTCCCAGAAATCCCAGCTAGCTTACTCACTGTTAGGAATTGTGGGAGCAGAAGTCCAAAACATCAGGAGGAGCACAGTTGGAGAAACTCTGGTATAGATTAATCATATTAATTGGACAGATTCATCCTTAACTGCTTTGTAAATCATACATTGTAAATGCATTTGCAAGTGATTTTTTGTTTTACTTTTAGGTTCTCCTAATAGTTGATGGGAAAGAGAAATGTGGCGGTGTTCTGCTTTCTCCATCCTGGGTAGTTACAGCAGCCCATTGCTTAGTGCATATACACTACCAAACACTCACAATTAGACTAGGTGAGTACAATTTTACTCACTTTCTGAAAGTTGATGGAAATGAGAAAAGGAGAATGGAATGAAGAAATGCTTGCTATTTATTGTTAAAGGCTTTCATGGCTGGAATCACTGGGTTGTTGTAGGTTTTTCGGGTTGTATGGCCATGTATGGCCATGTTTTAGAAGCATTCTCTCCTGACGTTTTGCCTGCATCTATGGTAGGAATCCTCAGAGGTTGTGAGGACCTGACAACCTCTAAGGATTCCTGTCATAGATGCAGGCGAACCATCAGGAAAGAATGCTTCTAGATCATGGCCATACAGCTCGAAAAACCTACAACAACCCAGTGCTTGCTATTTCATGCTAAACTACTGCAGCCTCAATTTATATAGATGGGAAAAACTGTCTAAAGTTTAGTATGTTAGAGAATTAGTAAATATTTTAAATAAATACATATAAAGACATGATTATGGAATCTTGTAATGCCTTTAAAATATATAACAATGGAGAAGTTGACTGCAGTCCATGAAAGGATATGACAAACAAATATGTGGCAACTTTCACAATGGAAAGCACATTTGCATGGATTCTGTACCATTTTATTTATTTATATTTTTGCATCCCAAACAGTCAAGGAGATGTAAAGGATACCTCTGTTTTGGAAGGAGATAGAGAGAGGAGAGGAGAGGAAAAGGAAAAGGAAAGGAAAGGAGGAGCAAGAACAGGGTGGAGATGGTAGCGGACATGAATAGCAGCAGTGGTGATAGCAGGGAGCCTAAAGTTTAGGGCAGGTATTAAGGAAATGACCTTGGCAGGCTGTGGGCTTTAATTTGAGGACCTCTGTTGTAAATTGTTGAATGTTTTATTTTGTTTAGAAAGTTGATAACCATTGTCTTAATGATATAATTTTTTAGGTGAATACAGGGTAGATCGTGTGGATGGAGGTGAACAAGAAAGAAGGGTGGCTCAAATAATCATCCATGAAAATTACTCTTCAAAAAGAGTAGACAACGACATTGCCTTATTGCGATTAAATGCACCGGTTAACTTCACAGATCACGTGGTGCCCATCTGCTTGCCTCCACAACGGTTTACTGCAAATATACTTAACTATATTGAATATTCCACTGTGAGTGGATGGGGACGTCTCTTGGATGGTGGGGCTACTTCAGTTGCACTGATGCAAGTGCAGGTCCCCAGAGTCCATAAAACAGAATGCGTTCGGCACACTAACTTCAGTATTACGGACAACATGTTCTGTGCAGGGTACCTTAATGGAACAAAAGATTCTTGTGAGGGTGACAGTGGGGGACCTCATGTCACCGAGTACAAGGATACCTGGTTTTTAACAGGGATTGTGAGTTGGGGTAGGGGATGTGCAGCACAGGGCACATATGGGGTTTACACAAATGTGGTTAAATATATTCCATGGATAAATAAGAGTATGGATTCCTAATTTCAAACAGTTCTAAGGTGTGCTTCTCTCATATCTCTTTGTTCAGGTTTTTTCAAGCATTCTTATTTAAATTAAAGACTGTATCTGCATTAACTCTTCCTTTTATTGATTTCTTTATGCATGTACACTTTAATGCTGTTTGTCTCATTCTGGCCAGAGAGAAATGTAAGCTGCTTCATTGTGGTGCCATTGTATTACACTACTCATGCACCAGAGTATAATGGGAATGATTTGGTTTTTCACTCTCCTTGTAGCTAAATATCAAGAATCGGATTACACAGGCAGAAGTCCCTTCATTCCTATGGCAGCAACCATGCTCCCAAAAATGTACTCCAGTGACCTGGTGTTACCAGATCAGCAGAGCTTTATACAGTGGGCACCTGGCTTCTGCTGGGTTTGGTTCCAGGACCTCTGTGGATACCAACATCTGTGGATGATCGTCTCATTATATATAATAGCTTAGAAAAATGATACCCCTTATATAAAATAGCAAATTCAAACTTTGCTTTGGGGAATTTAAAAAAAATTCAAGCTATGAATGATTGGATTTATGGATACAGAATCCATGGGTATGGAGTGCTGACTGTGCACATTGATGGAGTATGTTTGTCCTTAATTTTCTTATACAATTTTCCCCAATACATGTTTTAAACCAGAGAGCCAGCATATTGTTGGGATTTAAGGACTGGTCTAGAGTTTCTGTTGTTGTGTGCCTTCAAATTTTGTAGTACTTAATTTGATACTAAAGGGGTTACTATTGTCTTCTTCTGAGGATGACAGAGTGTAATTTGCCCATGGCTACCCAGTGGTTCCCATAGCTGAGCAGAAATTTGAACTCTTGTCTCCCGGAGTCCTAGTCCAACATTCAAATCACTATAACATAGTATGCTGGCTCCTAGCTCTCCATGAATCAGGGTTCAAATCCTTGCTTAGACTTGGAGAGCTTCTGAGTGACTTTGAGCAAGTTACAACTCTCAGAATAAGACAAAACTGACTAATAAAACCCCGTGATAATATCACCTCATAAATCAGAAAAGACTTGGCACACACACATGCATATTCTAATTACAAATACAAGCATTTACAGCAAGTTAGCTCTGGTGGGAATTGATACTTAATTATTATTTTTTGTCTGAACCTAGTGAGCAAACAATACACACACACATATATATATATACACATAGGTATGCGGTTCCGTCAATCATCTCTCTTCCAAACTGGCTCAAACCAGCTGCCCATCCTTCTGGCTGAAATGTTAATATTTTTACATCCATGGAATGTGATACAAAATGTAGAATGAGCACTCAGTGTTCTGCACTTTTCCCATTTCTCTCTCTGCTGCTTCTCCCCCCCCCCCCTCAAATATTTTATAAGCACACTCATTATTTTTTTGGAAAGGAGGAACCACTTGCTCTGCGTGCAGAGTTGTTTTGAATTTCCACCATGAAAGTGTCTATGTGTATGAGGAAGGGAGGTAGGGAGAGAATTCCAGTAAATGCAAGCTGCTTTTGAACTTTTGGCGTACTTCCTCGATGCTTAAATATCTGAGCCAAACAGCAGGGGTAAGAGGCACCAACACCATTGCATGCTTTTAATCTGCTACAGACTATGCCCTTACTTGGAAAAGACCAGGATGTCCAATCAGTCAGTCCAACCATTGGAAGAACCCATATCCAAATACAAACACATTTGTTATGTGTGATAAGGGCGCGAGCATAACAAGAGGAAGTGTGCTGCTTGAACCTTGCTCACAACTAATCCTGAAGAGGAACAGAGTGTTGTTTCCCTTCAATAGGCACAATGGCTAACCAGCTGCTCCTCATTCTGATCTTCAGTTTTCTGACAAGTCTCTTGAAGGCAGAAAGAAATGGTAAGAGAACCTTGATCATTCCCTTCGCCTCTTGTCTATGCCAGTCATTTTATTTTCTTGGGATAAGAAAGATTTCTCTTTTTTGTATCAGGATGATTAAGACAAACCTTCAGTGAAAGAGTCTTGGTCTTTTATTTATCTAATAAATTTATTTACTATTTTTCATGCCTCTTATCTTTCTTAGGGAGCTTGCAATAGGAACCACTAAAATACAGGATTAGTTTATTTAAAAAAATTAAGATAAGCCAGCTAAAATAAAGTACTAGTGTGTGCTTCTAACATATGAATCTGTTTCTTTCTACTCAACTACATTATGCATGAAATTTGTAGATGACGGTGTAGAATCTGCTTCCGAGAATACGATTTTCTCTGTGAGATGGTAGAAATATCTCCACAGCCAGTGGCAAGTGGAAGACATGAGGATAAATAAGACAATCCTATTTAGGAATAAAAACAAATAGTATAGGAATTAGCCTAAAGTCTTCTTTGCCATGGATCCCATCATAGATGAATGATTTACAACAGAATGAGATATTCTATTTTACATGATGTTTTACAGAGAAAGAGAACAAAATCTTGTGTACTAAAATTTTGAAAGCATAGTGAAGGAGAGTGCTGATGTACAAAATGAAACAAAAATGGGGAAGTCCTTGAACCCAACAGACCACTGAAAACAGCAGTAAATTTAACTACTTGTTCTCCTGTGCATGAAAAAAAATCTAAATAATGTAACTTCTAGAAACTTTGTGTACCATTTTTAAAAAACCTGCAGAGTCATTCTGGCAGATAACAAATTTCCTTGTAAATATTTGGAATCAATGGCTCCTTCCACACAGCTGTATAAAATCCCACATTATCTGCTTTGAAGTGGGTTATAGGGCAGTGTGGACTCAGATAATCAGTTTAAAGCAGATATTGTGGGATTTTCTGCCTTGATACTCTGGGGGCCCTTCCACACAACCCTTTATCCCAGAATATTAAGGCAGAAAATGCAACAATATCTGCTTTTGAACTGGGTTATCTGAGTCCACACCTAGATAATATGGGATTTTCTGCCTTGATATTCTGGGATATAGGGCTGTGGGGAAGGGCCCAATATGTTGTTTTCAGAAAAAAAGAGGTCTCTGTATTTTAATACCAGATCCAGGTATTGAAATCCTTTAGTTCAAAGGTCTATCACACTGATTTAATTATAATTAGTTGTTGCATAAGAATACTTTGTATCATAGTGTAACTTACAGGTAATTGAAGCTACACTGCCATATAATCCAGTTCAAAGCAGATAATCTGGATTTTATATAGCAGTGTAGAAGGGGCCTGAGACAATCTGCATTTCTAATTGGCAGAGGAAATAGAAAAGGTGAGAAAGGATAGCATCAGGAATGAGACACACCCCAAATTGTATTAAATTCCCCATTTTTCAATTGTTCTGATTGCCAGGAAATCAGAAAAGAAATACTTCTGGACACATAATTACTTTAGGGTACAGGTTTACTAGATGTTATTGCAATGGCAGCCTACTTGATATTCACGTTTAATGTGCATGTTTTTAATGCAGTGAAAAGTCACTGACCAATACTGGAATCACAAAAGCCATAGATGAGGTAATTAAATTATTTCCTGACAATTAACAAATATAATCTGTTCTCTGATGCTGCTATTTGCATTGGTGCCAGTGGGGGATTTCCTTCCCAGTGCAAGCAGCGCCTTCTGAGAAGGACTATATAGAGCACTGAAAAAGATACTATTTTGAAAGTAGAATTTGGAAATAGAGTTGAGGAGACCTTGGCTCATGAAAGAAGAAAATAAAACAGAAGATATAGCAGTTGGAATAGGGAGATAATGAGAATTTGGACCAGAGTTTGCACTAGGAATTCATAGACTTTGTAGTGTTGCACAGAGAGAAATTACAGTTCAATGAACGAATGGGAGAAGAAAAGCAGAAGAAGAACCAATCCACAGAGGCCCCTTCCACACAGCTGAATAAAATCTCACATTTTCTTCTTTGAACTGTAATATATGGCAGTGTGGACTCAGATAACCCATTTCAAAGCAGATATTATGGGACTGTCAGCCTTGATATTCAGGGTTATAGGGCTGTATGGAAGAACCCTGGGTTAAGGTTTAATGCTTGGTCAACAAAAAAGGTAGTGATGGTGTTGACATATGCTGAGAAGGCTTTAGACAAAATAGAGTTCAACCTTGGAAAATTTTGGTTTTGCAATGGCAGGGAAATCTATTTGTCAGATCAGTTCAATTGTTGTTAGCAAGGTGGCTCAATATGCAAATCTACAGACAGTTGTGAATTGCTGCTAGAAAGAATGGGGCATTCAATCTTCCAGTGTCCAGAATATGGCAGTGCAGTTTAGATTGCTACCACCCAAACTATTGCGAATGCATAGTGGCTGAGTGGGTGGTTGTCCCAACTTACCAAAAGGTAAATATAAGGAGGCCCTTCCCTTCAACTTCCAGAACCCCTAACAGCTGGTAAACTGGTTGGGATTTCTGGGAGTTGTAGGCCAAAATACCTGGGGACCCACAGGTTGAGAACCATTGAACCATTGCAGGTTTCCTTGTCAAGTAGTAGGTTTGCTGTATAAGACAAACTTGTATGCAGAGATAATGGGTTTTAAAGTATTAATAGTTGGTTATCAGACAAAAATAATGGTATCTGCTAAGGTCATTCAAGGGGGAAGGAGAGAGAGCACAGCAAAACAAGCAGATCCCTAAGAAGCCCTCATAGAAGGAAAGGCAGGAAATGACTTCTTGCACTGGACATTTTCAGTGGTTGATCCATAAAATGAAGAACTTTATCTAAGGTAGCAGAGAGGTCAAGGAAAACAACGGCAAGAGGTCTTTGGATCAGGCAGTGAAAAGAGAATGTGTAACTTTAGTGTTTTCAATGGAGTGCAATGAGAGGGGTGGGGAATGACAGCTTGTAGCAGGTGAAAACGAAAAGGTCAAGACTGGCAGAGCAACAGCACATTCCAAGAATTCACAGACAAAAAGAATAGGAGGCTGTTGGAGTTGGAAAAGAAGAGGTTAAAGGGGGAGAGTGAGCTGGAGCTGTGCAAATTGGACTGTGTTTTGAACCCAGTGGACAATTAGAGAAATTGATTGACATTGTGGCTGACTAGCTAACAGTGGTAGTCCTGAGGATTTAGATGAGACAAAACAATTCAACCAGCAATACCGTACTAGGCAGATGAAAGTAAGGATCGAGAAGGATGGAGAAAGAGGATGGCAAATGCAATAAAGTGGGGGATAGACTCGTGGTCACAAGAGAGAAGGTAAAACATGGCAGAGGGAATAGGATTTTGTTGAACATAAAAGTTTGAAAAGAGGTTCTTAGGATCCCTACACTCTTCTTATCATCATTTTTATTTATTGATACATCAGCATTTCCTCCCAATTCGGGACAGACCCAGACTGACCTATCACCCTGGGAACAATCCAGCATGGCGCATGGAAGATTGTCCCTGGGATGGTTCTCACAGCCACTCACCCTGGCCACAACAGAGGCAGGAGGGAATCCGGACCACCCACTGGCACTGAAACTGGTTCGGCACCACTGGATGGCCACTCTTACCATCCCCTCTATGTTGCAGCAGTCTCTGGGGGAATGACATAGGTCCTGCCAGTCACCCATCACTTTCAGTAATGTCAGCTGGGAGAACAGGACAGAATGAGAACACTGGTGGGAGGGGAGAGGGTGAATCACCTCCTCCTCTTCCCTCTCCCATTCCCAATTGCCCTGTCACCTTTGCTGATGTAATGTAAAGTGACAGCCAACCAGCAGGACGCATGTTACATGGAGAACAGGAGGGAATGGAAAGGAAGGCTGGAAACATAGTGTAATGTAAACAGTTGCAGCCGGTACCATCCCAGAATCTACCCAACTGTTTACATGGGCACAAAGTTGCAAGGTACTGCAAATTGCGGCCCGGAATTTAGAGTATAGCACCATTTTGATGAATGTGAATCCTTGTTCCCACAAAAAGCCAGATCTTCCAAAATCCAACTATCACAGGGATGCATGCAGATAGATAGATAGATAGATAGATAGATAGATAGATAGATAGGCTTGTGTTACACTTAAAAATATATCTACTTCAACTTACATACAAATCTAACTTAAGAACAAACCTACAGAATCTATCTTGTCTGTAACTTGATGACTGCCTGTAATGGCAGTTTAGTGGGTCTCAACCTGTGGGTCCCCAGATGTTTTGGCCTTCAACTCCCAGAAATCCTAAGAGTTGGTAAATTGGCTGGGATTTCTGGGAGTTGTAGGCCAATATAAGCTTGGGTAACCATGGAAAAATTTGGTTCTAAACTCGTTTTGTTTTTAGGGGGCCCTTGCGTTTCGTTTTTTTTAAGAATTCCGAAATTTTCCTTTAAAAAATTTCGAAATATACGAAATTTCGTAAAATTACGAATCGATTCGTTAATGGCGGACGCGATTGCGCAATATGCTAAAAAAACCTCCAAATGGGACAGGGGGAACTTCTGAAGCTTCCCTCTCCCTCTGTTGTTGACTGTTGGTGTGATAAAACAAACAACAACTATATTATATTATATTATTATAATATTATTATATTATATTGTTGTATATTATATTATAATATTATTATATTATATTAATGTATATTATATTATATTATTATTATATTATTATTATTATAATATATATATATATTATATTATAATATACAATTATAATATAATATAATAATATAGTAATATAATATATTATATAATAATATAATATAATATACAATACTATAATATAATAGTATTATAATAATATAATATAAAATATATATTATATTATTATAATATTATTATATTATATTATATTATATTATATTATATTATATTATATTATATACTAGCTGTACCTGGCAACGCATTCCTGTGGCATAGAGTGAGGGTATGAAAAATAAAGTAATGAGAAATTTTGGGCAAGAAGGATGCCAGGAGAAAGAGGAGGGAGGGGGGAATGTGGGATTTGCCAGCTGGAAGGAAAGAAGGAAGGAAGGAAGGTAGCCCAGTGCAGCCCAGAGTGAGGCAAGAAGAAGCATGAGGAAAGAGGAGGGAAGCAGCAGAGCAAAGAACCGGAAGTGGGGTAAATGCGAGATTGTAAAACTTGCACCAGACATACGAAAATAATTACGAAATAATTACGAAATAATTACGAAATAATTACGAAAATTGGAAAAATTATTTCGATTCTTAATTACTCCTCACACTATTCCTGCATGGCTCAATATTGGATCGTAAGCTAATTTAAATACGAATTAATAACGAATAACGAAATTAACAAACTGGATCGCCCAAGCCTATTGGAGACCCACAGGTTGAGAACCACTGGGCTAGAACCTTGACTACTTAAGTAGCATGAAATTGATGCAGTTACATTTTGAATGGCAGGTACTCTCTCACTGGTCAAGGTACAAGGAAAAAACAAGCTTTAAGAGCCCATCTAGACAGGCCCAAAAAGCGGGGCATGTATGGGTTTTTACTGGGGGCATCCAAATGACACCCCCATAAAAAAACCAAAATATTTCTGAATAACCTTGGTTTTTCTGAATTAATCAAATGCTCAATTAAATCTGAGCCTTCCTGAAAGGCCCAGGTGTAATCAGGTATTGGGCCTGTGGGGACTGACCCCCAGATAGTTTCAAAACCAACTGGAACTACCCAGGGTGAGTCCTCATGCCATCTCATATCTTTTGGGCTCCTGAAGCCCAAGGTTGCAGGAGGGTACCAACCTGTCCCCCCCCCCAGCCCCCCAGAAACAACCTTAAAATTAAAAAAATAGAGGGCTGCCATTAGGGTGGTCCTGACATCCTGACGTCCTCCTGGCACAACGTTCCTCCTTCCCCTCTCCTGGCACGTTACTCCTATGCACCAGGAGGATGCAAGGACCACCTTAATGGTGGCCCAGTAAGGGTTTTTTTTTTAATTTTGAGGGATTTCTGTGGGGCTTCAGGATGTCATCTAGACACCCCCCCCCCAGAAAACCCAGGTTTTGGGGGGTGGGTGGGGACTTAAACATGTGCCAAAATGGGTTTTTAAACCCCATCTTAGGATGCATTTAGGTGTACTTTAGGTCACTTTGGATGGGTTTCTCATCACTTTTTCCGGTTGGTAGGAATCTTCAAATGTGGAGGAAGACCTTCTATGTGACAAACAGCCAGTTTCTGCCTAGTAACAAGGCAGCACTACCACAGCTAAAACAGGTTTTGTGGGTTTGTCTCCATTTGATAGGCAAATATAAGAATAGGTGCTTGCTTACTCTTGCTATGCAGACACTGCTCACAATTATACTATGGAGTGCATTTCTATTGCAAGAAGTAACATGAAACAGTACCTTATGGTTTGAGATCATCCTATACATTGCTCCATTGTTCAGCTTTTGTTTCATGACAGTGCTTTTTTCCCCAGTGTTCTTACAAGGTAAAATTGCACACAAATTTCTGGAAAGAAGAAAACGTGCAAATTCAGCATTTGAGGAGTTCAAGCAAGGAAACATTGAGAGAGAATGCTATGAAGAGAAGTGCTCAAGGGAAGAAGCCAGAGAAGCTTTTGAAGATGATGAAAAAACAGTAAGGACAAGCTTACAAATGGGTTTGCTTTGTCATAATATAGTAATGGTAATATGATCCAAGGTTGAGTGTTGGACTCTAGGGGCTCTTCTACACTCAGCTAAAACCTGAGAGGAAGTGGGTTAAAACAACCGTCTTCCTCTTGGATTATAGTCCCCACCCCCAACCCAAACCCCGGGCTTTCCTGATAGGAGTGGCTAGATGGCATCTCAGGTCAAACAAAGGTTGACCAAGGATGCCATCCCCCCCCCCCCCCCCCCCCCCCAGCCCCCTATTTCACTCCTCAAACTTACCAGAGGGGCCTGGAACAGTGCAAGCCTCTCTGTACAGTCTTCTCGACATGAGAAAGTGACACATCAAGAGGTGAGAGCGGGGAGGAGGATATTTTTGGGCAAATGTAAATAGGTGAAACTGCAGGTACCAGTCCCATGGCTACGGGGTTTGTAGTGTTATTGTGTTTTAACCTTAGTTTGCTGTGAATTTCTAACTATCATATTTATTTGAATCTAATGCTCACCTTTTTTTTTTGGGTAAATCACCCTGCCAAATTTAGGGCACCCATTAGATTCATGTCATACAGTAATCTTAGTGCTGTGCCAAAGCAAAAGGTGAAGCTGCTTCAGCAGGTGCACCTGAGGCTTCTCTTCAAGGGACGTCAACTCTAATTAAATGGCCAGGACTCAGTACTCTGCAATACTGGCATTTGTAATAAGGTGAGCCATCTGCATTCTTTGGCAGAGACACCTCACAACCTTGTCAAACTACAGCTTCCATGACTCCATAGTATTGAACCAAGGCAATTAAAGTGGATTCATTCTACAGCATAGATAGGTTTTCCTTGCTGTTGCTGGAAGCTTTTGTGTTCTAACACAATTGTTTATAATGAATCAATCCTAATAATGCATTTGACCAAATTACAAGAGTGCACTTTTTGCTGCTGCTCATTACATTCAGCAGCAAACACTTTTTTTGGTTTCAGGGTTTTGAAAATTAAGGTGCGCATTAGATTCAATGGCGCATTAGACTAGAGTTAATGTTTGTTTTCACTTTTGTAAGCTGTCTTAAGTTCCAAACTTTCACATACTGTGAATGTCTAACTGGGTATACATTTATATCCTCTGTGAAAACTTCATTTTTTCCTTCAAAGTATTCGTGATTTTGAGTTTTCTAGAAAAATTGCTGCATAACTCAGTTATGAATCAATTTTTCTAGAAAACTCAAAATCACGAATACTTTGAAGGAAAAAATGAAGTTTTCACAGAGGATATAAATGTATACCCAGTTAGACATTCACAGTATGTGAAAGTTTGAATGTCATAACCTGGTTATGAGTTAGTATTATTTAACAATGATATGTTGTGCTTGTGCTTTTGAGATATGAAAGTCAATCACTCTGTATTGCAAGTACAACAGAACATTGCCTCTGAATACCACAAAGTAAATGAAGAACTGTTGTTATCCAAGTTACCATTCATAAAAGGAAGTACTACTTATTAAATATTAGGAAGCAGGTAAATGGCATATTACTTTTTTTAAGGGGAGAGTTTGATTATTTGCTGAAAATGAAGGAAAGGTTTTTAATTTCTGAATTTAAAAGTTTTTATAAAGAACTTCATAACATATGTTATGATTTATTCCAAAGAATTGTATTTTAAAATGTCTTAAATTTTGTTTGTATTATTGGTTTTGTAATAAAATCCTCTAACATCTGTTGTTTTCTCTCTCTCATCAGAATGAATTCTGGAATAATTATGTAGGTAAGAAATTAAGAATTTTGTTTGGGTTTGGTTTTATTTCACCCCATACAAATCTTTTTATACAATTTTAAGTGATTTTTTAATTTTATTCTGCATGACAAATATTCAAAGTAGTTCAGTCATAGAATCATAGAATCAAAGAATTTTCGAAGGCTTTCATGGCCGGAATCACTGGATTGTTGTAGGTTTTTTCGGGCTATATGGCCATGGTCTAGTGGCATTATCTCCTGATGTTTCGCCTGCATCTATGGCAAGCATCCTCAGAGGTAGTGAGGTCTGTTGGAACTAGGAAAAAGGGGTTCATATATCTGTGGAATGACCAGCGTGGGACAAAGGACTCTTGTCTGCTGGAGCTAGGTGTGAATGTTTCAACTGACCACCTTGATTAGCATATAATGGCCTGACAGTGCCTGGAGCAAACTTTTATTGAGAGGTGATGATTAGATGTCCTTGTTTGTTTCCTCTCTGTTGTTTTGCTATTGTAATTTTAGAGTTTTTTTATACTGGTAGCCAGATTTTGTTCATTTTCATGGTTTCCTCCTTTCTGTTGCAATTGTCCACATGCTTGTGTATTTCAGTGGCTTCTCTGTGTAGTCTGACATGGTGGTCCAGCATTACTGTGTTCATAGAATCTAATACCGGTTCATAGAAGAGATGCAGTCACAAAGATCAGCTGGACCCGAACTGTGTAGGACTTTATAGGTGATAACCTACACTTTGAACTGGGACTGGAAACTTATTGGCAGCTTCAATAGGGGCATAGTGAAAGACACTGTGCTATAGCTGGACAAGTTTGGGGAGTTTAAAAGGTGCATCTATACTGTGGATTGACACCACTTTAACTGCCATGGCTAAGTATAATAGAATCATGGGAGTTGTAGTTTGGGAAAGAAATAGCACTGATTGGCTGGGAAGGCTGAAGACCTTGTTAAGCTACACATTACAGAATTCCAAAATGAAATTACGCAAAGTTTTGAATTCCGAATATAAATACCTGTCCTATGCAAGTTTTGTGCCAGATATGTGCAGTGCAGTGAGTGGATTGATCCTGGTTCCAGGTCAAATACATTAAATTGTAAAACTTACAACAGGCCCCCTGTACAGTGATAGTACTATATAAGATGATGATGATGACGATGGAGGAAGAGCATTCACAATCATTATTTTCTCTTCAAGAAAATAATCCTAACGTATGAAAGCTTCCTCCTAGTGTTAACATTTTAACATCTGATTATTATTTTTTCTGTACTAGATGGTGACCAGTGTAGCTCAAACCCTTGCCATTATGGAGGGTCGTGCAAAGATGGCCTGAATAGCTACACCTGCACGTGCTTGGCTGGTTATGATGGACCGAACTGCGAATACAGTAAGCGAATGTTAGGATTGAAGTGATTCTTACATTGTGACAGACCATTGCTCAGATTATGTTCTTAGGCCAGGAGTAAGCCAGCAGACATACTCCAGATGTGTAAGACTGAAGTGGTCTTTATTTATTAGTTTGTTTGATGTATACCTTGCCTTTTCTCCTGGTAAAAAATGCAAAGTAGCTTAAAATGGTTTGAATTAGAAATTTAGCTGCATTTTTATGCCAGTTGAATCACCAGCATGTTCTTATGGATGACTTTTTATTACCTCCCCACTTTAAAGCGATATCTATTTATCTACTCACATTTCTGTTTTTGATCTGCTAGGTGAGAAGGAGCAGGGGCTGATGGCGGGTGCTCACCCCGAACTGGGCTTGAACTGCCAACCTTTCAATTGGCAGGATTTTCTGCAACGTAGTAGTTTAATCTGCTGTGCTAAGTGCAGCCCCACTTCAGTGGGAGAGTTTTATGATCAATGATAAGCAACTGTGGAACTTCTAGTCTAAAATAATTGGACATTGAAGTTGGAGAGGGAAGATTTAAATCACTCTTTCCTGCATGGCAGGATCCCATTAAAATGATATCCAACACTTTCAATTGTATGTATAAAAACAACAAAACACAGAAAATTAAAATAAAGTTCCTGACTACGCTTTTGAAGTCATGTTTAAGAATCCATTCAATGTTACCCTTTGTAATCTACCAGCAATTACTGCATTTATCCAATGATAGACATTGGGAAATGTGAGAGACAGTAGTGAGTCGCTTAAGCAAAATAATAGATTGGCAGAGCAGAAACTGAAAAACTATCAGTTCCAAACATAACCTCCCATAGAGTCTAGTAGAGTATCTCCAATACCAAGTCCCAGAAGCACTTTATTAGAACTAAGATTGCCGCACACTGCACACTGCACTTACCCTATAATCCTTACATATCACCTGTCACATCAGCACTTTTAATTCTGTACCCATTACTCTGGCCCGGCCCAGTTTTATTGTGTTTTGGTGTATTGTTTATTGCTTGTTGTTTTGTTGTTTAATATTGCTTTAATTGTTTTTAATTAGCTTTAGGTTTGTATTGTTATGTTGTGTATTGAGGCCTTGGCCTTTGTAAGCCGCATCGAGTCCTTCGGGAGATGCTAGCGGGGTACAAATAAAGATAATAATAATAATAATAATAATAATAATAATAATAATAACAGAACATAGATGTGTTTGTTTTCAATGCTCGCGTGTGTTTCCTCTATGTGCAGTCACATACAAATCCTGCAAAGTGGATAATGGAGAGTGTGGGCAGTTCTGTAAAAATGTAGAAAATACTGTGGAATGCTCCTGCACAGCTGGGTATATCTTAGACAACGATGGACAATCCTGTGTTGCCACAGGTATTAATGCATGGTACTACTTTTCAACAACTTGCTTTTCTGTTGTCACTTTTAACCACATTTTCACACATATGTGTGTGTGTATGTGTGTGTGTGTGTGTGTGTGTATTGCTGCTGTCTAAAGTTTGATATAGTGCTTCTGAAATCTAGATTGTTTTTGTTGAAGTGCAAACCTTCTGATGGAATTCCGGAGTCCAGCAAAGTGAATTTCTAATTCAAAAATAACATTGTTGAACACCTTTTTATCCATTTCTTTATACTAAAGAGCACACTTCTCAACAATGTCTACCCAACAGTGGGGATGCAGCGAAAGGCAGGGAACAAAGGGAATCTCTTATGAGATGAAATGAAATCTGAGGTTAATTATATGTCTTTGTTCTGCTTTTGTTAATTTCATCAGTAGGTTTTCAAGATGTACTAAAAGAAAAAGACACTTTAAAAAAAGAATAACATTCTTTATTTGAAAGTAAACTCTATGCAGTCCAGGGAGGCATATTCTCAAATTAATTTATTTAGGATTGGAGTCTTGGTTGATTGGCGAATTCATAACTCAGGGCTGGGGAACTGAAATTCACAGGGGAGGCCAGATACCCCCTAACAAAGGACTTCTATGGGAACAGTATTTCAGGAGAACTAGTACATTCCCTGGTATAATGGACCAGATCTCTCCTGCGTTCAGCATTTAGGATAGCTTTGCCCACTCTGTCCATCTCCCCATTGGGTAGGGCACAGGGTGGGGAACACTTGGTGACACCACCACCTCACAATTCAAGCACTGACTCTGGTTGCACATTTCCTGAACAAATATAACCAGCATATTGCTGTTCCCCAAATGCACACCTCATCCACTCTTCTAATTTATTTTCTGGAAATCCAATTTCATTTTGGATTTCCTGGATTGCTGCATCCTAACTTCCCAGACTCTTTGCTGATTCTCAGCCTCCTTTGGCTTCTAATTCCCTTCCTTCCTTGGGCCTGTTCATATGCCTGAATCTGATCTCTAACAAAATAAATACTTTCACCTGCACACAAACATTGGAAAGGTTTAGGTTTTTTTGTTTTTTTGTTTCCTGTCTTGTTTGCATCACTCACTTCTTAAAACTCCCAACATTGATTTTGCAGCTAATTATCCATGCGGTAAAATCAAAAGGACAAAGTCAAAGGCAAAAAGAGAAGCAAGCTTCCTTGACTATACCCCCAGCACTTACGACTATGATGCCATTCCTGAAGAAAATTTTTACGATGGTCCGCAGAATTTCACTAATGTGGTTCCCCATCTGCCGTCCCAGGATGGAACTGCACTCAATGAGAAGGATATCAACTCTGACCTTAACATGCGGATTGTTAATGGGTCCAATTGTGAATTGGGTCAATGTCCCTGGCAGGTACATTAGTTTGCTTTATAAATGGCAATGACCCCTGATTTATTTTCATCAGTTACTTGTTTTGAATAGCCCCATACTTTAAATTGTGATATAGAAAATATTATTATCTCTCTCTCAATGTCTCTGTGTAAGCTTCTAAAGAGGCAATAAATATTCTGACACAGTAATTCCCAACCTTATTGATTCACAGAGTTTTGGAAAGGCATGACCTTTTAGAGATCATAACCTTTTGGAAAACCAGAATCTCCATAAACTTTTAAAGAAAAATAGCATTCACAACCATTTGAAAATCATAACTTTTTGTAAAAACATGATCTTCCAGAGAAGAGCCAAAAACTTGTTTGAGTAAAATCATCTCTTTAGTGGTATATATCCACATGTACTTATGCAAGGCAATTTGATTCTTGGCTGTTAGACTGATAACCTGGTTGTCTCTTATGCGTTAGGAATAGAGATTATGCCAATGCACAAAATAGCAGTTCTTCAGAAGTGTTCTTTTCAGTGCCCAAAAACATCTACTCTCCCATAAATCATCTTGTTTCTGTATGATGCTCTCAAGAGACATAAATGAAGTAGACTTTGTTAAAAATAACATATCTGGTTTACTCACGACCTTTTTGTATTCAGCATACAGGAACATAACTTGTCAATCCAGTTACAGATAGGTTTGAAGTAGTTTCTCTGTGCAGATAACACAGGGCATCTTTCTTATAATCTTAACAGTCCAAAGTCTAAAGCATCTCTGGAGTCTGACCTCTAATGGAGTCTGAAGTCTAAAATTGAGTCTGAGCTCAGGGTAGTCTCAGATCTGACCATGTTGTCTGCAGCCCCTCCCACAACCTCAAGAAACACATAGTAAAGGGAAAGCTGCATACCAGAACATACATATACAATACAGTAAGCAAACAGAATCATATACAAAACAAATTATTAGTGGAGGATTGAAGAAGGTTTGATATTTCCAACACAGAGTCCTTTTTAGAATCAATATCTATGGTGGAGCCCCTTAGGCCTACCCTATGTCTTACAAGTTAATGATGTTTAGGAGTAATATTCTGAGGGGAGGAAGAGAGGATAGATAGTAAGGAAATATAAAGTGACATTCAAACAATTGTGCAATGTCCATGCAATGAAATTGTATCTTAAAAACTTTGAAAGTTCCCATAGTATCTCAATTTATTCTCATTTATTTATTTTGATAATATTGTCAAAACATAGCCATACATAAACAATTCATCCAAAGTTTAATAAGTCAAACCATTTGCATTACAATACAACTAGAGTGCACTGTAGTGAAATATTAAGCCTAAATTAAGACATAACGTAAAACATTTAATGAAACCGCTGTGGTTGCAATTTTTTGCAGTTATGCCAATGAATAGTTGATGCTTTTAACTACATTTCACAGAAAGAAACTGGCAAAACTACCTCTGAGTATTCAATGCCCAAGAAACTCCTATGAAATTCATGCCATTGTCATAAGTCAACAGGCAACGTGAAAGCACACTTACATGAGTTTAGAAATGTGGGAACAAAGATAGAAAGTGGAGATATGCCAAATAAAGTTGCAACAGTTTTCTGTAACACATAAATGTGTTTCAACCTTGAAAGAAGTGGCTAATGGAGAAAATCTTTAGGGTCCGAATTGTTTCTTAAAGACTTGGCAGAACCATATCTGTGAAGCACGATAGTTTATCACATGAATACAGAACTAGAAAGACACAATCCAAACCTTTCCTTTGTCTTTCTTGCACACAAACATACCTGTATCACAGTGCAACCCCTGCACAGTTGTAAATTCACTTGTAAATTAGTCCTCTCTAAAAAGTTGTCAAGTATATTTCCAACAGTGAATTTTATTCAGTCTCTGGCACAGCAGGAAAAAATTGCCAGTCCCCCACATCGGATAGCTTGAGAAGCACTGATCTAGATGAATGGGACACAAAATACAATAGCACTACATCTCAATAAACCAAAGAATCAATCCATGGAGGGGGTAAATATCTCAATAAAAAACACAACCTTGTCTTATTTTTCAGGCACTCCTGCTAGATGAAAAGGAAGAAGGGTTTTGCGGAGGAACAGTTCTAAGCCATATCCATGTACTTACTGCCGCTCATTGCATAAACCAAACAAAAACAATTAAAGTTGTTGTAGGTAAGTATTTTTCATTTTCATAGCTTATATTCAAAGACAGCTAATTACAAAAAATACTTTTATTAACGGGGTTACGAGGATTCATTTTTACTACACACTGAATAAGGACTATGGGGATTCATTCTTACTACAGAATTGTTCTCTTCTTGCAATCTCAAAAATTAATTGTAGTATCACACATGTTTAATCTACTCCACATTTAATATTATTTTTGACTTTGGCCTAGATTTCCAGTGTGTTATGTTGAAAGAAGGCTAACCAAACTAGTAGATATTGTCTCTGTTGTAATAATAACCATACAAAAAGTAAAATACTGTTTACAGTATTAAAATTCTGAAACATTTTTATGATGCTTTCTTCAAACATAATACCAATGCAATTTACTCATGAAGTGGGGAGTGTATTGTATCTAAAATAGCTTAAGTTTTAGCCATATTTCTCAGATAAGGATCAAAGCCATTCAGGATATCTAGTATATTATACAAAATGTACATTAGAGAAAACACTCTGGATACCTTTAAATTAATGTATGATAAAAAGGAAATATATATATAAAGCACTGGTCATCTTTCTTGTGTTTGAGCATAATGAATTGATATTTTCACATTGTTTAGTTTTGATAGTATATTCCCAATCTTTTGGAGGATAAACCAAGAGCAGTATCTGAGCAGATGCGGGCAAACTAATGAAGACGAACGGAGGATCTACACTACATTACATGGCTCTACCAGTGGTTCTCAACCTGTGGGTCTCCAGGTGTTTTGGCCTACAACTCCCAGAAATCCCAGTCAGTTTACCAGCTATTATGATTTTTGGGAGTTGAAGGCCAAAACATCTGAGGACCCACAGGTTGAGAACCACTGCTCTACACTGACCATACAACACAATTCCAAACTGTACTATATGACAGTGTAGATCAAGCCTAAGCCAAATAGTTGATTAAGCAGAAAGTGGGTGTTTCACACTGGATACTTTCTATCATAGCTTCCCATTCCTTCAGCTAGGTAACTTATGGTTTAATCTGAGTTCACTAACCAAGATGTGAAAATACAGTGGGATGTGAATGGCATGTTTTAAAAAGTTAAAGATAAATTTATTAATCTGTTCATAATATACTCATTCTCTTTAATTGGTTCCCTACAGGGGAGGTGGATACAAACACAAGAACTACGGGAACTCTTCACACTGTGGAGAAAGTATATGTGCATCAGAAATTTGTATTGGCAACCTATGACTATGATATCGCTATAATTCAATTGAGGAACCCAATTCAGTTTTCCGAATTTGTGATCCCTGCATGTCTTCCCACAGCTGACTTTGCCAATCAGGTCCTCATGAGTCAACCAACTGGTATTGTCAGTGGTTTTGGCCGTCTCCATGAAAAAGGCCGGAAAGCCTCCAAACTTCAAATGATTAGAGTGCCCTACATCGATAGGCATACCTGCAAGCTGTCAAGTAATTTTGTAATCACTGAAAATATGTTCTGCGCTGGCTATCGCACTCTGGCTCAAGATGCATGTCAGGGAGACAGTGGAGGTCCTCATGTAACTGAATACAAGGGCACTCACTTTGTTACAGGTGTGATCAGCTGGGGAGAAGGGTGTGCAAGGGAGGACAAGTACGGCATTTATACAAAGGTGTCCAAATTCATAGGCTGGGTGAGGAGAATAATGCGTCAGAGACCACAGCCAGCCAGGCAAGAAGAAAACTGATGTGTCCTCAACACCATTTAATGGCATATTTCTCTCAAGCATTTTGCTGTATGAATTGAATAAATAGTTCAATTTAGAACAGGAGGGCGGAACTATGGGCCACCCCCAGGTTGGTTATGCTTAGGTGGAGGACAGAGTTGGTTATGCTAGGTGAAGAACACAGAAGTTGTAGACCAAATGTCTAGATGCCAGACGTTCTTCACCCCAGTTAAGGATCTTCAGCATACTACTTTGAAGGCATTTTTTTTTCATTTCATAGCATCTATGCATTATGAAATCCATGTTTATTTCACTTAGCTTAGTAAATAATCTCACTCTAGCGTAAGTCCCTCATGTATCTATCAGTCTAAGAAATATGATTTTGAATCTTTTATCTTCTGTACTATGGCCAGAATCCTCTTGGATGGTTACAAATGTGTAACCACTACTTACCAGTTAGCAGCTGCTATGCTCACCAAAGGTCTGTTCCCCAGTTGCTCTGGATATACTTTATATCCACATGTATAAGTTGATCTCATAAGTTGAAGGTTGATTTGAGGGACAAAATTATGAATTTTGATATGATGTCAAGGGTCATTCCATGGAAAGGGGCAAGTATAAATGGCATTTCATGGAACCACTTCTCCCTGGCCAACACTACCATTTCCTTGTTCAGGCATTAAAAAGGCAGGAAGTAGAGGGTTTGAGTGCTTTTTTCAGGTTCTCTTGGATGGAATAAGATCTTGCTGTTCACCACTCTGTTCAGCAAGGGGCATGGTCCCTTTGTAAAAAAAAAAAAGGTATGATACAGTCCTAACATTGGCCTATGGAAGAGTCAACCCAGGTTTTGGAGGCTGAGTTTTTGACTAAAATTTCTAGACTTATACATGAGTATCAGGTAGCTTTCCCACCCTCCTATGAACAATCTCTGTTGCAACAGGCAGAAGTGGATCTCCTGTCATAATTCCCCTGTACGCTGGATATCACTTGCATGAGGAGGTTTGTAAACATCAGCCAGCTGGTTTCTATTGATCACAGTAGCTGCTGCTGGTAAGTGGGCATTGGGAGACTGTCGTAGTCCCAGCTAGAGCAGAGGTAGGAATTATGAATGTGAAATAGTCATGAATGCTCAGAGTTGTGTATTCATAACTGCTCAAGAAGACAGAGGCCTGTAGTTTTAATAGATTCATATGGCTTATAATGGAATTTTGAAACTTAAATGGCACAGTAATAAGCTTTCAGTAATTGGTGACCTTTCTCCCTTTTCTCCCAGAATTAGATGCTGATAATTAAAGTATGTCATTACAATAAAACAATCTCCAAAAGGGTAGAGGTATCACTCTACTGCAGGAAAAAGAAAAAAATGGTGGTTCCTTAAGACCAAGATAGATATTATAGCAGTGGTGTCCAACCTTTGGTTCTTCAGGTGTTTTGGACCAGCTCCTAGAATTCCTGACCATTGGACAAGCTAGCCAGGGCTTCTGGCCATTGGAATTCCAAACACCTAGAGAACCAAAGGTTAGACACCATGGTATTATAGCATGATACTTTTAAATAGGTTATGCAGCCAATCCCTTCCTGATGAGAAATATATGGTGAAGGCTTTTAGTGAAAATACATATATAATTACTAACCCTGTAAGCTAACAAATAACTTGAGAGTATAACACAGCTAGTATGGTATATCCCTGATAATATCAACACATCATCACAGTGCTTGCATGGTGGCCTTGGAAGGACATATTTTCAAATGCCTTTCTCTTTTGCAAATATTTTATATTGCCACGTGTACCAAAATGAATAATAAAACAATATATTAAACTGTAAGTATTGACTTATTTGATTTGTCATCATCATTCAAAAATACACTGCACATGCTTATTACAGATCTTGGGGGAAGTACATATTACTAAATGTCACATAAAGCTGTGCAGTCTAACATTCTGTCCTTTGGCAAACAAGGCAACAATTAATCATCTGCTTTCCTGCTCTCTCAGCTGATGTTTTGAAATTCCCAGTTTTTCTTTTCCTTCTCCTCCATTGTCCTTGCTTGCTTTGGTGCTTGATCCAGACTGAGTTCAAAGTGCAAAAGCATCTTTCAGTGAATTCATTACAAAAGCTTAAGTAAACTGCTACAGCCTCATCTAGATTTGCAATGAAATAGTTTGTACACTGTGGTCACAATATCCGTTTTGAAGCAAAAATGAAAAGGGAAATAAATTCAAATTTTAAAAATCAAGGGAAGGTAAAGGTCTTCCAGTTAAGAAAGGTTTTCTTGAGGAGACCACTTTTGAACCACAAAGCCCCCAGAAGAGGGCACACGGCAATCTTCTAGTTTGTCTTTCTGATAGACACATAGATTTATCTTCACATCTTATTTTCCTAAAGTGAGATCAATATTATGTAGAAGCATTACTGCTTTGCAAATAGTTTTCCTCCTCCTTTCAGTTCTGATTTTTATATATTTCAATTATTTTAAAGATTTTCCTCAGAAACTAATAATGCTTTGTTTTACTGCCCTACCACAATCCTCCTTTTTGATTTACTAATCCTCTCCTTGTGCATGGTGTACAGATGCATGAAACCACATGGTTCCTTAAAAAAGAATGTAACTTTTGATCCAACATTGGGAGAGGTTTTACTATTTATGTAACTTTGAGATTTTTTTCTCTCTCTCTGCAGAGCTATGTTCCATTTACAACATCAACAAAGCAGTTATATCTATTCAGACATTAGCTCAATTTAGTTCAGTAGAACTTGCTCTGATTTAAAAACTGCTAGTCTATACTTAACTTTTGTAGAACTGACTATGTTGTTGAGCCACGGCACCCCCTCCCAAATATTTATAGGCCATCAAGAAACTCCAAGCAAGATATATGATTTTTTTTCATAATTTTTTAAACAATAAACATTTTATGTGGCTTCAAAGGTACAAAATGTCAAAGCTGCGAGAGTTTCCGGGATGAACTCAGCAGCAGCTGTGCCCAACAAACTCTATCAAATCTAACTCTTTAATAAATGTATCAACTTGATGATTTTTGTGTGGTGTGTATCTTTTATGTACTGTCTCAATTTCTAAAAATATAAAGTGTATAAATGATGTAAAATGTATGTATCAAAATGTAATAAAGGCATCTACTTCTCCATGCCCCCAGTTTACATAATCCCTTGGGAAAAGACACTAAGGTCAGGGTCCCTCTAGCTATTTCCAAAGTCAGCTAACTATGAAAACCTTTGTGTATGTTTGCAGACAGATGGTCCTCTTTTTCACCAAGATGAGCTCAGGATGTTTGTTCATTTGACTTGAGGCTGAGAGTCTGCCACTCCTGCAGAAGAGGGGGCTCAGCAAACATTAATTCATTAACTCTGAATGGGCAGCCCTTGATTGCCTAGAATTCCCACCTTTGTCTTTTGAGTCTTGCATCCTTTGTTTCACACAGAAATTGACACTTGAGATAATCAGGGACTCATCAGCATATCCATGTCACCATATCCTCCAGGTTCGCGCCCTCCCAGGGGGTGTACCTACAATGGATTGGTTCTTCAAACTGACTATCTACCAACTGTCTTTCTTCCCACCATGGACGTCTCCTCCTGCAGGTTGTGATGTCAGGGGAAACCATAGCCAATCTGAGCATGGATCCTAGCCTGCCAGAACTGTATAACATGTTGTGTATTTTTCTGCAAATTTATGCTTGTACTTTTTGAAGCTTATTGCTTATACTTGCATCCTTTTTGGCCAAATTGTAATAAACCTCTGTAGCTTGCCTTCTACCTGAAGTGCCTGTACTCTGTCCTGGATGACCTGCTTTAGTGAAGGCTCACTGGACATGGACCTTTCTATCCATGGTCCTAGCTGAAATCACTACAACTAGAGGTGCATCTGCGCTGTAGAATTCATGTAGTTTGCCATCAGTTTAACTGCCATTACTCAATGCTTTAGAAACATGAGAGCTGTCTTTAGTTTTCTCTGCTAAAGAGTGATAGTGCCTCACCAAACTACAATCCCCAGAATTCCATCGTAGTGAATCATGACAATTAAAGTAATATTTCAAACCTCAATAATTTCTACAGTGTGCAGATATACCCTAGAAAATGTGGAGGGAAAGATATCCTTAAATTCTGTAGAAATTTTGAACTTTGTGGATTTCTTTTTCAAATGGAAAGTGACTCCTGTACACATCTGACTTTGCAGGTACACTAACAAGGTTTGGCCTGCTTATATTTATTGCCTGATGTTTTATTTATTTTAATATGTGGATTGAATTTGGTTAGTTAATGTGTGCTTTACAAAAATGATGGTGGTTACAGTAGTGATAACGATAATTACCTCAAATAATGGAGTCAAGATGTGTTTTCATTCAAGAGTCACTGTTGTGTTTAATCATCCCATGATGGTGAGAAAAGATTTTGTATCTGCTTTGGCTAATAATTAATTCCTTATACCTGCTTTTTCAAAAACATAAAAGAGGGGAAACATACATTCCTTTTCCACTCTGCCCTTTGTTTTAGGTTTCTTCTGAGTCATACGTTCCCTATTCTATCTGGCAAAGCTATGTAGAAGATGAGAGACACACTTTCCAATGTATTTTTTTTATTCTTTTAAGCACTTCTGTTCTTTTTTCTTTATTTTCAAGTCTGTTCATAGATATTTTAATTTCACACTTGTATGTTCAATCAGTCTTTCTATGTAAAAAGCTGCAAGTTAGTGACACCAGGTCCTGTATTAGTCCCTATGTTATCATTTTAACCATTCTTGAACTTTAAACTTTGCTTATTTAGTAACTTTGCCAAATACCTGCTGCTGAGCAACCACATTTTAGGGAGCTGTTGCAGGGAAAGAAAAATGGGAACTCACAGCTGGACATGGTTTCTTTTGTCTGCTTTCTTTTTTCATCTCGCAAATCAGACAGGTAAGGCATATCATTCACACTGTAGTTAAATAAGTGAGAAAAGAAGCCAAATGAATTACTTTTGCTTAATCTGAGCAATCGCAAATTAACTTTTTCCTAAATATTTTTCTTCCAGGTTATCGTTAATGTTTAGCTGTTGATTCCATGAAAGCAGAACTAGCTTGTGTCATTATTAATGACTAGGGGAAAAAAAAAATAGAAATTGGAAACTGGGCATTAAAAGAGGTGCTACTTCGAAAGTATTCTTGCTTAGACTAAATTCTTAAACGCTGAAAGATCTTGTATCAACTTCAAAGTAAATAGGAGTGCATTTTTATTATGAAGCAAACCACACTGTTTTCATTCAGACTTTTCCCAAAGTAACAATGGATAAGACTGCATTCTCAGTTGCAAAACTTGCACAGTAAGAATATAGTGTTTATAACACAGTAACATACACACTCAAACTTTGCTTACACTTAAATCTGCATATATGTGTGTGCTTTCAAGTTGCCTGTCAATTTATACTGACTCTGTGACTCTCATATGTATTTCTTAGACAAGGAATACTCTGAGGTGGTTTTGCCAGTTCCTTCCTCTGAAATATAACCTAAAACATCCAGTATTCATTAGTGGTCTCCCATCCAAATTCTAACTATGGCTAACCCTGCTTAGCTTCCAAGATCAGATGAGATCAGTTACCTTTAGGATATTGAACCAGTACAGAAAATACTGTTCTAGTTATGTGCGTAACGTAAGTGTACATGAGTTTTTCATATGTTGCCAGTTATTCACCATGTTGGTCCATATAAGACTGTTCACAATGAAACATGGGCTACTTCAGACTTGATATTTCCTGTGCTGCAGGAGATGATAAAGTTCTTTTGGATCACAACTGTCACCAGCACAAGCCAATAGCAAGGGATACTGATGTTACAGAGTGTCTGGATGTGAAGTCATAACAACGTAGATACATATTTTGAAAACAATGTTCTTGCTTGTATAATATTTATCAATACCATGGGTGCTTTTTCCAGTGTTATGGTTTGTGTAAGTACCATAGCAGCTCATAAGAAGAGATAATTTCTAACCCTTGACACCTAATTGTCATATTATGTGAAATATTACAACTATGCATATTATTAATTTTCATTCCAATTAATTTAACATATTAACCACTGTATTTTTTCTATGATTGTTTGAACCTTGATATCATTTTTTAAAGAACTATTAGAGAATAATGTTGGTAGTGATGGCTTTATAACAGTGGTTCCCAACCTGTGGTCCGTGGACCACCAGCGGTCTGCAATAAATAAAATATGGTCCACAGCCTCAGTGAGAGCAACTGGTCTCACAAAGCCTTCTTATAGCGCCGAGGCTGACTAAATATGGTTTTCTGAGGGCAAGAAGATGGTGATTACTGGATGGCATATGTTCTGTATCAGAAACTAGAGCTGATGTGCAATTTTCTGAATCAGTGCCTCAAATAACCAAACCAAATCTAAAGTTGACTAAAAACTGATTCATAACCCTTTTGGTACTAATGTTGGAGAGTGGTCCCTGGTCAAAGTGGTTCCTGGTCAAAGAAAGGTTGAGAACCACTGATTTAGAACAAAGAGATACAAGCTAAAGTTCCTACTTCATATTTACCTTGTGACCATGGGTCATCACTATATATCTCAGAAAACCAATCTTAAACACGCATTATAGCAATTAAAAGCAATATTTTTTAAAAGTCCAAAACCATATTTCTCAAACATTGGGAATACTTGGCAAGATGAATCCTTGATTGACAAGAATCTTTGCCATTTGGTATGATTCTGCACAAAATTTGTTCTCAGTCCTTTTGTGCAGAAAATATTTTCTGGTCCTGTTTTCTTTTGCACAGAAAATGCGCAAATACCTTTGCATATGTGTGTTTGTTTTCACATCCCCTAACAACCAACAGGGATAGGAAATTGCCATACTAAAATCTTCCTGGGTGTAATTTTTAGCATTAAAATGAGCTTTGGATTACTATAGTTCTAAATCTACCCCCTAATTGGGTGCATTATCACTATTTGGCTCTTCCTTATGTCCTGCCTTATTCTACTCTTCGGGTACCTATTTATACATTCCCTTACATGTAAACAAGAACACAATCCAGAAGGACAGAGCAATCTATGGGATTTCTCAAAGTAAAATAGCTCAGAATCATCGCTACAGCCCTTTTAAAAGAACATTTTGTTTCTTTTTTTCTTTTGCAGGCTCGTTTTTCCTTTCTCTGAATGCCATCATATTTAGAGCTATAATAGAAAGAGGGAGAGTTTTTATTAATGGATTGGAATTTAGGCCAAATGATGATATTTCTAGAAACTGAGTTAAATCCAGCTGAATGCATGGCATGGTAACCCCCAAAATAGTACCCTTTTCTTGAATGTGCTTATCAAAATCCACATTTTTCAGAAATTTTCAGTTTTGTTTGCAACACAAAAAATTGATATATTACAAGAAAATACAGACAAGGACATGAGGGGAGGGGATAAGTGGAAATGCATTGAGTTAGGGGGAAACACTGATAAAAAGTGAATGCTGAGAAAATATATTCAAAAACCTTTGAGTAATTTTCAGGCAGACTCTAAAAATAAGTTTCACCATGTTTGCAAGAGATGGACTGATGTGCATTTGTTGTCAGAGAACAGTAAAAATTGGTCAGACTAAAATAGATAGATTAACTTCTTCATACAAAACTCTGTGATAACATTGTCAGGGTTGCCATAAGTAAGTAATGACTTGGAAGACACACAGCAGCACTTATTCTTTCTAAAGATTCATTTGACACAGTCACGTGTATCCCAGAAAAGATGTTTCAGGAAATCAAGTGTTAATCTTTTTGCATACAATGCAGAGCCACAACAAGTTTATGTGTAAAAATCTAATTTTCCATTTGTTCTTTTTCAGTGTTTCTATCAAACAATGATGCCAATAAAGTTATTGCAAGATCAAAGCGTGGCTCTTCTATGTTTCTTGAAGAGATCTTTGAAGGTAATTTGGAAAGAGAATGCCTTGAAGAAAGATGTTCATATGAAGAGGCAAGAGAAGCATTTGAAGATATTGAAAACACGGTATGGAGTCTTCTCAGATTTCCCCTTATGAATAGTTTAATCAATTAATCCTGCCATGGAAGACAATGTATGGCCTCAGTCATAAGATTTCTTGAATCAACAATTCACCCGAAATTGTATAGGTTTCTAAACTAGTATAAATTCATAAATGATTGTATCATTACATCTGCAGTCTAAAGCCTTGATTTAATTATTAGTCCTGACTAGAGTAGACAATTGAAATAGTCAAAATTTGGTGAATCAACATTTATGTAAACACCATTGATTCAATAGTTCTTTTCCTAATATAACGACTGAAGTAAGCCAAGAACAAAGTGGAAGTGGGACTGAAAAACTGGGACATTTTAAATGCAATTGAGAACATTGGAGAGCACAGGATTAACTGGGTCTGCCATTTTCATATCAGGATATTTGTAATCTATGTTTATGCCTTTGAAAGATAGGCTAAATATGGTAGTTATAATGTGTGGCCCTGTAGATTTTGCTACTAATAACAGACTCCTTGTTGCTATTAAAGGACTTTAAGCAGTCATCTTAGCCCCATGCATTCTTCCCGTACAATTCCAGATTATATCATAACAACCAAGACAGGAGTATAATTAAACATTTTGTATTAACCATTCCAAGTAAACCAAATGTGTTTTCGTCTCTAGGACCAGTTCTGGGTTGGCTATTTTGGTAGGTACCTCTTACATTTATATTTTCGGTTCTTTTGATGAGTTGGGGAGGGTTTCTGGATGGCTGGGGAATGGTTACTTAAACTATCCACAGTAGAGCATAGACAATCTCCGAGTTACAAACATCCAACTGAAAAATGACTCATAGTTAAGAATAGGGGTGATACAACAGGAAGTGAAAGAGATCTACCCCAGGAAAGGAAATTCACTCTTGAAAGAATTATCATGGGGAAAAGGTGTCTCAACTTAAGCTTTATCTCCAATTTCTATATTTGCAATTATTATAAGGATTGGAAAGAGGCATTCATTTTCTTAGAACCTAGAAATTAGCATGACTAACCTTCAGTCCAAGACCAATTATGAGCAAAACGAGATTCCTCTAATTGGAACATGTACATTGCCGGCCATAACATTTTGGCAAGTGAGATGATTGGGGAATGCTTTCTATTGCAGGCACAGCATCCAGCAAGAAGGTAGGAGTGAGGTTTGTACGATGTTGAAGGGCAGCAGGGTTGGGAGGAGCTGTCATCTTTACAAAGTCAGATTACTTTGAAAGTTATATCTCACTTGCCAAGGTCTAGATTCCCAAACCAGGAGCTTTAAATTTTGGCATTGTCAGCAATAGAAAGTGATATTAATGTACTAATTTAAGAAGCAATTCAGCTAACTTTATTGAATTTTTTTACATGTCAGGAGCAATTTGGGAAACTCATTGATGAGAAGTTTATGAAGTGAATTTAGGAGGTAGTAGTTTGTTTAAGGCAATTCCAATCACACTGACTAACATAATTTTTTTTGCAGGTGGTGTAAGATGTTCCTCAAGCCCCTGCCTGCATAATAGTGTGTGCAAGGACAGCATTCGCAGTTACACATGTGAATGTACAGATGGTTTTGAAGGAATTAACTGTGCTTTTGGTAAAATACTCTTGTGTTCTTTATTCCATCCATTCACTTCCTAGAAGATTGTGAAGGGAATACTGTTAAGTTACTTTCTGCTAGAATAGAAATGTTTTGGCAAATGAATAATAGTCTATGCAAACAAACGGTTAGTATGGGCTTCTGTCTTAGTTCCAACAAAAACTAAATACTGTACATATAAAAAAGTTAGCAAACAGCACAGGTTAAGGGACATATGTCATGTGACCCTCTAGATATTGTTTGATTCCTATAACCTGATATTAACATGGTTGACTTCTAGTTGCAAATGTATCTTCTTCTATATAGCTAAAAATGAATGTCGTCATGAAATGAATGAGGGCTGTCAACACTTTTGCTATCCAGAAGCGAACACTGTCCGCTGTTCATGTGCAGAAGGCTATGAACTTGGGCAAGATAAGAGATCATGTATTCCACTGGGTATGTATTTTTTAAGGGAGATAAAACTATATTTATTATAAGATAATTAAGAGACTGAAATAAGCCAAGAGCCATTAAAAACTATTGTAGGAAGAAAGTATGCCTTGGGAGTATCAGGATCAATGCTTGATTGAAGTAGTGAATTTGTCCCTCCACAACAACAACCATAAATTTGCTAGTTAGTTGTGTAGGGTAAGATGGGCTTATGCCTATGTGTACCACTGACAAAAAAGCAACACTAATTTGAAAGATATTATACTGTAAAACTACTGAATAGAAACAATAGCAAACATGTATTGTCCAAGGCTTTCATGGCCGGAATCACGGGGTTGTTGTAGGTTTTTTTTGGGCTGTATGGCCATGGTCTAGAGGCATTCTCTCCTGACGTTTCGCCTGCATCGGCAGTCAGCCCATTGTATGCTAATTAAGGTGATCAGTTGAAACATTCACACCTAGCTCCAGCAGACAAGAGTCCTTTGTCTCACCCTGGTCATTCCACAGATATATAAACCCTTTTTCCTAGTTCCAACAGACCTCACTACCTCTGAGGAAGCTTGCCATAGATGCAGGTGAAACGTCAGGAGAGAATGCCTCTAGACCATGGCCATACAGCCCAAAAAAACCTACAACAACCCAATAGCAAACATGTTTTCATGAGCTATGACTTGGATTGTAAAAATAACAGGTGGTTTGTCTTTCTACCATAGTTACTTCTGAAGGCAGTAATAGATTAATGAATTTGGGATTTTTATGTGTTTCTTTTTTACTTGCCATTGTTAGACAAGTGTGCATGCGGTAGACTTGAAGACTACATACTAACGCAGCTGAATGCAACCAAAAAGAACCATAGAGGATTCCCTTGGCAGGTATTTAAAACAAATGTTTGGTAATTTTTGGGTAGAAAAATGATATGGATTGGCTGTGAAAGGTAAAACAAAATTTGTTCACTGCAGCAGCTGAAGCCGCTTGTCTGGGCACTACAGGTCAAGCAAGTAGTAAGTTAGCTATTAAAAAAGATCTGCTGTCCATGCATTACTTTTGGCATTCTTTCTGAACATGAGATATAGACAATGTTTGTTGCCATTTGCCTTCAAATTGATTTCAACTTATAGCAAAACTGTGGTTGAATTTTTTGGTAAGAAAAGAAAATGTTTCATTGTCTTTCCTTAAAGCTGAATGTGTAATTTAACTAAATTCATCCAAAGAGTTTCCATGTTTGAGCAAAGATTTGAACTATGTCTCTCAGAGTCCTTGTCAAACCATCAATGGGTTATTGCAGGTTTGCTAGAGTTAAATTTAATATTTCTATATGTGCTTTGTGTAAATTAATGGCGGCTGTGCTCTAAAATGCTGTTGCTTTCACAACTCATCTATGAGCCTGGGTCCAACTTCATATGTGACCCAAATACTTTGGATGACCTTAAAGGCCATCTCAGGAAGATCGTATTTCCTCCAAGTAGTTTCCATTTATGAAGTGTTTTGTAGGAAAATGGCTTTTTTTAAAGTCTCTGCTCCCTAATTTTTCAAGGTTGTAGGATCACTGGCCATTCTGGCTGTGAGATTCAGGGAGATGGCATGCCAAAGGTTCTAGTGAAGGGAGGGGGAAAAGCAATTTGCAAGTAAGCAAGACTTCCATGAACTATTATCTCTTTTGCTTTCAAGGTTCTACTCTTAAATGCAGAAGGAAAATTGTTATGTGGAGGTGTTCTACTGAAAACCAATTTTGTTCTGACTACAGCTGAATGTGCACTACTTTCTCCTGTCACTGTTGTAGTTGGTAAGTAGTCAAATAATGTTTTATCTCTATTGTGTGATTTTGAAAGCTTCAAACACTTGCATATAGGTGTGTGGCCAACACAGCTACCTCGAAAGATGCACATAGGTCTATGTGGCTCTATACGATGATCAGCCTGCTAATTTCATGTGAGTGAATTTCCATTTATAGAGACTTTGCCTTCATCAAGTATGTTCTGGAGGATGTTCCAGCTGCTTCACACATATTTGGCAAATGTGCAGGGAAGTGCAAAGGGTTGTTGATTTTGTGGTCAAAGCTAATTATGTCTTCATATCAATCCTATATTGTTTCATCTGCTCCACCGGAAAGGGGATGCCTGGCTACATTGCTTGCTATGCCTGTTCACATGAGTTTCAGAACAAACCATGTAACATCAGTTGAGTATTAGACCTTTAAGGCCTAATGAGAATGAATCTATTGACAGAAGTCTTTGAAATGATTTGGATGATTAATATGATTTGGATGATTAATATTAGATTCTGGCATCTAATAAGAATATTATCTGTATAGGAATCAACAAGCTGCAAAGAGGTAGACAAGTGATAAGTGTGAAACAAATGAATATACATATCCGCTATGAGAGTAACACCGGAGAAAACAACCTGGCATTACTTGAACTCAGCAGACACATTAATTGCGACATCTACCACCTACCCATATGTGTTCCAGAAAAGGATTTTGCAGAGCATGTGCTGATTTCAGGACTGGCAGCTACACTGAGTGGCTGGAAAGTAGTGGAAAACCAGTCAACAGATCCATTCGCTGAGCAGTCTGTTTCATATCTCAATGAAAATGAATGCAAAGGGATCCTCAACAGAAGTCTAATAACCAGGGAATACTGTGGATACAGTAATGAGGGAGCAGGTGAACTATTGGCTGGAGGAAGCTTTAGTGCCGTGGACTATAAGGGCACCTGGTTTCTGACTGGCATTTTAGAACCCCGGGCCACAGAAGCAAGTATGTGGGAAACACTTATATTCACCAAAACAACAAGGTATAAGATGTGGTTTAAACGGATAATGGACTAATCAAACGCAAAAGTGGCAAACCACGACAAAGTATGGCAAATGTAGAATTCACAAGCACAAGTTAGGTGTAAATATTATGTATAAGTATTAAAATAAAGCTCTTATCACAATTACTCTGTCTTCTTTGCTTTTCATTAATAAAACTTAAAACAGCTAGTTTTTTTGTGTTAAATGTTGCTTTATTTCACAATATTGTGTGAATATTTTAAGGAACCAGATATATTCCTCTCTTCTATTTGGCCAAGATGTATTGAAACAATTAACATTCACTCTAAATTCTACTTAACAAACTTCTGTTGGTGCCTCTGACCTGTATTGAGATAAATTCAACATTCAAAGAGGATGTGCGTGTTTGATGGGATTTCAGACTGTACTTCAAGATAGATCTGGCAAGTATCTCATCAATGGGTTTTTCTGGTCTGGTCAGTCCCCTTTCTGTTATTTTTTCATTTGGCATGTAAAGACCTTTTTCTTCAAGGAAGCTTTTGATTTTTAGTAAATGTGACATGTAAACGTTTTTACTGGGAGTGCATATAGTGTTATTTGATTTAAAGTGTCTTTTAGCACTGGTTTTAATTTGTTTTAAATAGAAATTTAGTTTGTATTTTAACTTTTGTTATTAAGGGTTATAAATGTTATACTAACAGATTTTATTATATTATGCTTTTATGTTGGAAGCAAGGCAAGATATAAATTGACTAAATCAATATGTTTCAGTCAACTCAGTAAAATGCAGTGATATGATGAAAACAGGTATGAAAGTAGCTGGCTTTATAATTGCAGAAATTGTCAACTTGATTTGCCTATATCTTCTTCCAGCAAACCCTAAGAGGGTCCAAGGTTCAACCTGAAACTATTTAATCCTCCTCCCACCTTTCATTTCAACAGTGACACTAAATGTAAAGTCTATGGGTTGAATATTGAATATTCACTATTTCCCTTCCCTTGGGATGAACTGCCATTTTAACTTGGCTTAAATTAGTGGTTTCAATGTGCATGGTCAAAGGTTTAATCTAGTACATTGATTCCAAAGGATGTTGGTTTGAAGTTAACATGGAGATCATATTTCATGAGGAAAACAAGCTCATGAAAAAATATTTTTAATTTTTTTAAAAGATATTTTTAAACATGCTCATAAAATAGGTTTTGTTGAAATGAACAGGTTCTATTCCTCACAAACTCTTTCATTTTAACACACATACTAAAATTATCTTTTATTGGGATAAAAAAATAGTTGAAACTTATAATTGTGACAGTTTCTTTTATGAACAGAACTCGATAGAAGGATATCAGCAAAAAGTGCAACTTAAATGGTGTGTTTTCTTTAAAAAATGTAGCTTGCTGAAAGGAGTCATAAATTTGGATCCACAATCTATGTTCCCTCAATGACAAGGCTTCTTATATCCACAGAAGACCTTGAATAGGGGAAGCTCCTTTGCTGGGAGAGTGCAGAATAGTATATGAGATTATTTTCACTCCTCCATACATCTTCTGGGGAGGGTATCGCGAAGGATCTGTATTGTCACACTCAAAAAAACTCCTTGTGATGACATCTCTGCATTCAGATTAGTTCTGATTCTTTTGTAAAGAAACATGTTCCCAAAGTACTCCATATTAATAGTAGTACATCTCCATTTTGGTCATTACAGATTCAACAGACAGTAGAAAGTGGTGGGAATGGGTTTTGCTTGCTGACAACAAGTTTCTGATGCTGGTGGGAAATATAGCCTTTAATGTGACCCTAACACAGAAAGAAAACACACAAATTGAAGTATCATAAATCTAAGATCATGAACACAAAATTTCAAGCATCACATGCACATTCAGCTATGATTGAGGCTTTCTATAAGAATAAATAAGATCACTAAATGTATAAAATAAATAATATGCATATACTTATGATCTTGTGTGGGATTCTCTAAATATCGGTTGCATAGGCAGAGAGGGTGAGGCACATATGGAGAGGGGACTAATGTGTCTGCTGGTAGATAATGCTAGAAAATTTAAAACATTGATCCTAGGCCCCTTCCACACAACTGAATAAAATCCACATTTTCTGCTCTGAACTGAAATATATGGCAGCATACACTCAGATAATCCAGTTCAAAGCAGATATGGTGGAATTTTCTGTCTTGATATTCTGGGTTATATGGCTGTGTGGAATAGAATCAAAAGAGTTGGAAGAGACCTCATGGGCCATCCAGTCCAAGAGGAAGGACCTCTACAAGCAAAGAAGCCAATGTGAGATACGTTTAAAGGGTAACAGGCATCATTTTGAATCAGCACTATGGTACCAAAAGAAAAAAAAACTGTTAAGGAAATACTGAAGAGATTACACGTGTCAAATTATAATGAAACTGTTATTGGATACATTCTTGAGAAGAGATATAATGGGTCTGAGGAATTATAATTTATATCCCACTTTTTCTCTATAAAAAGGTGACTCACAGTGGCTCACAATAAATATAATACAATTAAAACCTAAAAATATACAAACATGAAAATAGAATTTAACATGAACAGCATTAAATAATAAAGTTTAAACTGATTGAAAGCCTATTCATAGCTAAAAACACAGCATCCCTTGACTTGATCTTAAAAATCTTCTTCTTTAAAAGTCTGCCTGGATAAAATAATATTAATATTATTAATTTTATTCATACCCCGCCTTTCTGTGGGGACTCAAGGCGGCTAAAAATCTCACACTAGAAAACGTTTTAAAAGTGAAATACAACATTTAAAAAGCAATTAAATAGCAACAGTGTGGTAAAAACAGAATTAAAATACAATACATACACTTAAAATGGCCTTTAGAACTCAAAGCCCCTTCCGGCTTAGCCAAAAGGATAGCAGGGAGAGAAGGGCCATTCATTAAAAACCAGCTTTTTGTAATGTGTAGTCCCTTTTCAATACTTTGAATGCTACTGGCTCTGTGACTGTTTCCATATCTGATATACTGTATATTTTATTTAGATATTTGGGGCCACCCATATATGTGCTCTTTTAGTATTGAGTAAAATGGGAAATGTACACTGGCTGCGATCCTCCACAGTTTCACATACAGATTTTTAAACAGAGAATGGATGGCCATCTGTCTGGGTTGTTTTATTTGTGTGTTCCTGCATGGCAGGGGGTTGGAGTAGACGGCCCTTGTGATCTCTTCCAATTCTATGTGGAGCAGAGTGAATTGGCTGCTTTGGAGGGAGAAAAGGAATACTAACCTCTACAGCAACCCCCTCAAAATAAAAATACACAGGTATAGAGTTAACTTACACATGTGCATGCCCCTAATAGGATGACAGACATCATGTTACACAAAACCCCTGGCTTAAGAAGCATCCAGCTTCCATACTCTTCTCAAAACACAAGTGGCTACGATTTGTTACACATTAAATACTATTAACAGAATCTAGAATTAATGAACTTGATTCAAACCTGGTCATAAATCCACTGAAATCAATTATTCCGAGCTCAAGTTAATCATGAAGAAGCAATGTCCTGATTATTTCAGTGGGTCTATTCTAAGCACAAATTAAGGCTGGGTCCAATTTAATTATTCTGAAGTAGGCCTATTGCCCACGACAGTCCTTAATGTATTTCTGTTGTGTTTTCATCCATGCTACAGCAATGAAACCTGATGCTTACCATATATATGAGGTTGGCTAGAATACACTGGACTTCATCAATATCAACATCATCAACTTTCATGAATTTCAGGGCCACCAGAAAGGCATCTAGAGATAGCTGGTGAGTTTTGAGTAACAAATATCTGAAAAGAGAGTTGAAGTATACATCAGGTTTGTACTTCTCTAGTCTTTCACAAAACCATACTGGCACTCAGGGAACAGGGGAATTCTGGACAGGAGTTGGTTGGGGCCAACTGGCACCTCCTGGCAGAGAATCCCCCCCCAGGCAGCAACCAGCTGGTCTTTGAAGCTGCAGAGGCACTGAATGCTAGTTGGGTGGCTGGTTGCAGCATTCACGCTTGCCTCATGCAGACAAGAGTTCTTTCTCCCACCTTAGACATTCCACGGACATATAAATCTCACTTGCCTAGTTCCCAACAGACCTCACAACCTCTGAGGATGCCTGCCATAGATGTGGGCGAAACATCATGCTTCTGGAACATGGCCATACAGCCTGGAAAACTCACAGGAACCCACTATTGTAGCTTTCAAAAGTGACTTATGAAACAAAACTTCAACCTACAGTTAAATATTATTTATTCAACACTCGAAATTCTAATAAAATCTGATTAACTAACTATAATTAATGTTTCTCTTTCCTGTATTCCTAACTTTTATAAACTCCCTCTCTTTGTCGTATGCACCAGCTTCTTTTTAAAGATCTCTTTAAATATTCAGCAAACCACTGTTCAATTTTCTCACCTCCTCCCAAAAGATCCTTACATTATTAAATACGCTATATCTCAAATACATAACCATATTTGAGTTTATTTTCTCTAGTACACCCATAACATCACAGTGACTCATTACAATGTGGACAACCTACCCTCACTATTGACCAAGCTAGCAAGCATTAAGGCTTTCACAACATCAGGAAGGCCACAAGGCTTTGCTGTGTTGACTTCTCAAACTATCTGAAGTGGAAGAACAGCATTTCTTTTCTAGTTTCCCAGAGACTGGCAGTAAATTTATGCTCATCTCATACAAATGTTTCTTTCTTTTCTGGAAACATTGCTTTCAGTAGCAATGGCTTACATCACCAACAACTCAATATCATAATCCAGTAATAAATTGGAAATGAAATCACGTTTACAAAATATTCAGCAATTAAAGCACTGCTACTACAATCTGAACTCACGTATTAAACTTATTGAGAGGAAAACAACAGTACCTTCTAATTAGGGGCATAATGATTTAATGCTTAAAGGTAAAAGGAACCAATGGTAATCTAAAGATAGGAAAATACATGATGCTATTTGTTCAGACCCCAAAAGTCTGTATTCTCAATGTTTCTGAAGGTCTTTACGGGAAAAACAAATAAATGAACAAACATAATTTCAAATAAAAATGCTTTCTTTTAATGAAATCAAAACCAAAAAAGACTGAAATTTTAAACAGAAAGAATTATACTCTGCTAGTGCTTACACTTTCTTGAAGAGATTCCTGTAGGTGATTATTTTCAACTTCTCAAGGATAAGGAAGATCCCACAACGTATAAAGAATGTCTCATGCTTCGCCAGAGCGTCATTCAACAGAAGAAGGTTCCCTTCACTAAGGGAGTTAAAATTAGTCCTTTTAAAAAGCAAGTTTCAAGTAAAATACATACCAGGTGTGAAACATGGGAACAAGGGTGTACTGAACCTGTGATCTTTCTGGATTTTCATTGAAGAAATAACAGTAAGTCAGTAAATAATGTTGATATACACAAAACTTCCTCTGCAATCTAAAGTTAGATAAGTGAACAAAGGAGATTATTCTTTGGGCTTCAGAGCTCAGCACTGTATCAGGCGTTGACCTGGTTTTCATAACAGCTTTTTCCCCTTTCTCTCGTCCCTACATCTCCCCTTTGGAGCAGTGATAATGCTGGCTCTGAATGCTTTCTCAAGAAATATTTTGAAGGCACATGGGGATTGTAGTGGGGATGGAGTCTGCTAGCTATGGCCTGTCTGAAGATACATTTTATCTAGTTAGATTAGCCAGAACCATGTCCGACTTTGTTCATCTCACACTGTTGACCCCAGAAAAAGAATATTGCTTAATTATTAGATGTATCCCTAGACAACATCCAAGGAAATCCTGCTCTCTTGGGATCCATACAAATGCTTCCTAGTGCTACTCAGCAATTAATTTAGCTACTCTATAAAATATATACAGCTTAATGTTTTACTAAAGGCAGCCCCTCCCTACAAGACTACAAGCATTCCTTTAATAAAGCAACCTACCTCACAGCCTTTGTGACTTCTGCAAACTGCATGAGGTCATATTTTTTTAAAAGTTGGATCATTGGCATGTGGCCCTGAAATCCAAACACAATTTGAAACTGAGTGACATTATTAAATAGATAAGCAACTAATCATACTAGAAATATATTATTGGTATAACATAGGGTATCTAAGGGTATCTACTGTATTCCCTTGATTCTAAGATGTACATTTTCCCCCCATATGAACATTTTTAAATGGGGTGCATCTTAAGATTTTCAGGTGCTTTTTTATATATACAAATAAAGCTTTTTTCCTGTTAGTGAGCACTGAAATTAATGTGCATCTTACAATGAGTGGTGTCTTAGAATCTATGAAATATGGTAATGTGCTAGCCCTCAATGTAAACCGAAAGAGAAGACAAGGTAAGTGCAGACCTTTACTCCTTATGACAGGAAACTACAGGACCTTGAAATTTCCAACTAGTAGTCAAGCTGGCTGGGGGATTCTAGGAACTCTAGTAATAAAAGCAACATTTTGAAGCACTTGTTGTTAACAGAAAATCCAATTATGCAAAGCTCAAGTTTCATAACTGATTTTATGCTTTTACAGTTTATATGGAATTACAAATGGAGAAAAGTTATCAAGCACATGGCAGGGCACAAATCATAGCTGGTGGGGTGCATTCAGCTTCCTGGGTCACATGTTGCACAGACATCTCGTGAACTGTACTAATCCTGGATGCCTGGAAGCTTTAGCCTCAACCTCTGAAAATGCCACAGCATGACACAATAATTCCGATGTGCTGAAATGTCACTTACCAGTAACATTTTTACTGGTAGCAAATAAATCAGGATCATCCTTTTATTTTTCTGGCTGGAGCGGTGGCAGTGCTCAAAGGCAAAAGATAGATACTCTTCAGCTGCAATCAGAGAAAAAGATTTAGCACAATAGCACATAAGAGATGCCACCAGAAAATATGTATAGTTTTATTTAGAACATTTATATGCTGCCCTTCTCACCCTGAAGGGGAATCAGGGAGGCTTACAATATATATATATATATACATACAATATATTGTATTATCAGCATAGTATTATCAGAATAGTTCAGTGGGAGTAATCAATGCAACACTGATAATGCTCCATACAACAAATGCACTAACAGAAAATGTGCACCAAAAAGATAACCCATGGGGGAAAAAAGGTTAGAAAAAGTACCTTGTTTAAAATCACTATCAAACATGGCTTTCCGTCCAACATAATATCTATAGGTAACTCTCTGTGCCATGCTGTATTCATCTTTAAGGTTAGAGCTATCAATTGCTCTTATCAGTGGTTTGCAGAGGTGAAGCTTGTTGATCTGGAAACAACAGTGATGTTAACAAAGGAGGACTATACACAACATTGGACTAGATTTAGAAATATGGATAATCTGGACAAAGATAATGTTGCGTACCTTAAAATAAATTTTAAAAAGTTGATTCACCAAGAACAACATGCCCCACTTTTTGGAGTCTTCAATGCCAGCTCGACTGTAACAATAATTAGAAACAGAATTAAATTAGAAATCATAATAACAAAACATTAACGTATTTCTATGAATTAAAATTCTACAAGATTAGGATTTCACAGTTCCCAGTTCCACAGCACAATTGTTAAGGAAACTTCAGTCCAAAATACTTGAAGGTCAAAGGATTATCCTTTCCATAAACTTTTAATGTTTGGGGGAAGTAGGTATTCAAGAGAATGAAGTAACAGCAAGTCATGACAATTTCTCAACAAGTTAACAATACTTAATAGAATACTACAGACTTTGGATAAATAACTTTTTTTTTCTGATCTGAAAAAATACTGTGTGTCCTTGGATCAGCAGAAGATAAAATGAGTTTGAGAGGCAGGGAAGAGTTGTGCACCAACCATCCCCAACCTGGAGCCCTTCAGACATTTTAGACTTCTATGAACCAGCGAGGGTTTTTAGATCTTCCAAAGAAGCCCTCCTCTAGGTCCCACCTCCATCTCAAGCACAGCTGGTGGAGACGAGGGGAAAGGACCTTCTTGGTGGTGGCCCCCCGGCATTGGAATGTCCTCCCTAGAGAAATTCGGCTAGCCTTCACTCTCCAATATTTTCAGACAAACTTGAAAACATGTCTCTTCAAACAGGCCTTCGGCAATGATTAGAACTCCAATGTTAAAACTTGAGGATCTAGGGACTCCTCTCACTCTGGCACTTTAAGAGACTGATATCGAATACAGCCAATTTTATATCCACAGCCACTGCTGCGTTTTACTGAATCTTTTAAATCAGTAGGGGTTTTATATTATGTTTTATGTATATTTGTTTACGTATATTTACACTGTGATTGTTTTATATGTTCATGTATTTATTGTATTTTGTTGCACTTCCAAATGCGTTTGTAAACCACCTCAAGTCCCTTTTGAGAGATGGTGATGGGATATAAAAGCATTATTATTATTATTATTATTATTATTATTATTATTATTATTATTATTATTATTACTACTACAGCTACAACTAGTAACTCCACTATGGCCAAACATCAGTTATTATGGAAGCTGTAATCCAAAAGAATTGGATGATAATAAATGTGAGAAATGTTTTCCATTTGTTTTAAATTAAACAAATGGAAGAGTGAGGAAAACATCCTCACAATAAAAAAAATGTACCTCTGAATGGTTAATAATTTGCCAAAAGAGGAATAACTCCCCCCACTATTTATTTTAGAAGGTATAAGCAACTTCACAATCCTTTTCTATTAACACGTGGCTTGTATACTGAAATTATGTCATATTTTACAAAACCAGGAAAATAATCTTAGTAGACTTGGGATTTATTTTTGGATCCAGAGATGAGCATTACTTACGTATCACTGGCACATACACGAAAACAGCTCATCAGGAGTTCTGCAGCTTTTTCCAACATGTCCCCAATTTTGCCTTTGCCTTTCTTTGCTAGCTGTTGGTCTGCCTGCCATGGTACACAAGAAAACAATGGCTTGTTAAACAATGCAATCCTGACTCAAAGGTCCACTGCCTGTAAATTTTGAACCAATGCTCTTTTGCTGTCAGAAATGCCTTGCTGTAACCAGAAGATCTTTATGAAGAGTCAAAAATGGAGGAAAAAGGGGGCCAAGTGAAAGAGGACATGATGAATTTATGTCGGATCCTTAACTCTTAGAGATCAGAGCTGTAGTTACAAGATAAGGGAGAACAGTTTAATCTCTTTATCACATCCCTAGAGGTTTGGGTGCAGCATAGTTTAGTTGCCCAAGGATTGGCTCCGTTGGTTCTTGGTCATCTTTGCGAGTTAAGAGTAGAACAATTGCTGCTTGGGATAAGCTTGCCCTGTCAGGAACAGCTAATTGAACTGAGGCTAGAACACATTGCCAATAGAAGGACCATAGTTCTGAAAAGTTTGTCAGCTCAGCATAGATTGTTTGAACTCTCTCTCACTAGTAATATGTTCTTAAAACACAGAGTCCTTTAAAAATTATTTGCAGGACCTCAATATGTTCTTATAAATACAATAATTATTGTACTCCTAGTTCCTTCTACAGTAAAAAATAAAAAAGTAAAACTTTGGAGGGTGCATCTACATAGTAGAATTAATGCAGTTTGACAAGCCTCAATCCTATGCTTTCTCTGGCAAGGAGTGCTGGTGTCTCCTCAAGCTATTAAACTCATGATTCCATAATATTAAGCCATACCACTTAAAGTGGTGTCACTGTATTAATTCTATAGTGGAGATGCTCCCAAGGTTATCATACACCAGGAAGAATGTGCTTGGGCCTTCTCAAACCCCACAATTCTGAGTAAACATATCCCAAAGTTTCAACAACAAACAAGTCTCATAATGTAACAAAACTTGAACTGATGATTCTTTTCAGGAATTTTGCCTATTCTTTTCTTCCTGGATGACTTTGCATTTTCTTTTCAGGCATCTCATTAACCAATCTAAAGAAGATATAGTCGTGGCTGCTTTCAGCCAGCTCTCATTGGACAATGTAGGCCCATCAACTGTTTATGTGTGTGCAAATATGTCCAGGCATCCTTCACCCACAGTATTCTCCTTGTCACCTAGCAATTATAACTTACGCTATTAGCAAAAATCCGAAGATCAAGTGCTACAGCATACATAATAGGCAAAGCCCTGGAAAACAAATTAAATATTGTTAATGTGCAAATAATGGATTCCTGATATAAACATACTACTTTAAGGTGGTAAGGAATCTGCAGCATCTAGATATTTTTGATTACAAAACCTATTAACTCAATCCAGAATGGCTCACTGTAAGAGATGGAGGTCTAAAACATCTGAAGGACCAAAGGTTTATTATTCCTTATATAATAAATAATTAATAATATACCGCAAGCACGGCAAGAAACACAAACATATTCATCTTTATGATATATCAAGAGCCAACTTCTTGCCTTTGAGAGCCATTTATCTTGGTGCACTGAAAACACTTAGGGATCTAGAAAAAGCTCATGCTTCCCAAGTGCTGAGGTACTCAAAAGGCACATGACTAGCACTCCGTATTCTAGTCTGGGCTATAGTTAGTCTCTCTTTTTGAGTTGCCATAGGGCTGTATAAAAGATCTTGACAAGCAGATCACATTTTCAGTGTCAAACACTGAAACACTTGAACTGAGCTTGCAATTGGAGTTCACAATACCTTTCTATACTGAACTCCATGCCATCTATGTATTTATTTATCTATCAAAGAAGCTGCTTCCTGTTTAAATTCCTGTTCAAAATAGAATACAACCCCTCAGGCCGCTATAGATATATTTATTGTTTTTCAGCCTTCTCGGGTACCTCTTTCTGAGCATTGTTTATAAAGAACGAAGAGAGACAGAATTAAGTCCCTTTTTTCTCTTTAGCTTTTATTTCCTCCAGATGGGCAGTAAGCAACCACTGCCTTTATATAATATTTAGGGGTTGTTTTTTTTTGCCCTGAGCACAATTTTAGATAAAATTATTTTATTTATTTATTTATTTATTTACTTCATTTGTTGACCGCCGCTCTCAGCCCTGGGGCGACTCGCGGCGGTGTACAACATGTAAAAAACAGTCTACAAAACATACAGTATATCAACAATCAAATTGCACATTAATCTAATCACACTAAAAAATCCGCGCCATCACATATAGAATCAATAGCCAATCTCATAGTCCGTAGTCCGTTCCAAGTGTCATTGCCAGATTCATGTGGCTCTCAATTAAATGCCTTCTCGAATAGCCAGGTCTTTAGGCTCTTACGAAAAGCCATGAGGGAGGGCGCCTGTCTGATGTCAACAGGGAGGGCGTTCCACAGCCGGGGGGCCACCACTGAGAAGGCCCTCTCTCTCGTCCCCGCCAGACGTGCCTGTGAGGCAGGCGGGATCGAGAGAAGGGCCTCCCCAGACGATCTCAAGGCCCTCGTGGGCTCATAGGCCGAGATGCGGTCCGAAAGGTATTTTGGGCCGGAACCGTTTAGGGCTTTGTAGGATAACACCAGCACCTTGAATTGGGCCCGGTAGCAAATCGGCAGCCAGTGGAGCTGGGCCAACAAGGGCGTTGTATGCTCCCTGCGTCCCGCTCCCGTTAGTAACATGGCTGCCGCGCGCTGGACTAGCTGAAGCTTCCGGGCCGTCTTCAAGGGCAGCCCCACGTAGAGAGCGTTGCAGTAGTCAAGGCGGGATGTGACCAGAGCGTGTACCACCGTGGCCAAGTCAGACTTCCCAAGATACGGGCGCAGCTGGCGCACGAGCCGAAGCTGTGCAAATGCTCCCCTGGTCACCCCTGACACCTGGGGATCCAGGCTCAAAGATGAATCCAGGGTCACACCCAAGCTGCGAACCTGCGCCTTCAAGGGGAGTGCGACCCCGTCCAGCACAGGCTGTAACCCTATACCCTGTTCGGCCTTGCGACTGACCAGTAGTACCTCTGTCTTGTCTGGATTTAATTTCAGTTTGTTCGCCCTCATCCAGACCATTACAGCGGCCAGGCACCGGTTCAGGACCTCGACAGCCTCCTTAGTAGCAGGTGGAAAGGAGTGACAGAGTTGGACATCATCTGCGTACAGATGACACCGCACCCCGAAACTCCGGATGATCTCACCCAGCGGCTTCATGTAGATGTTAAACAGCATGGGGGACAGTATAGAGCCCTGTGGAACCCCACAGGTCAAAGGCTGTGGTGTTGAACAGGTGTCCCCCAATGACACCTTCTGGGTGCGGCCCTCCAGAAATGACTGGAGCCACTGCAGCACAGTGCCCCCGAGACCCATTTCCGCAAGGCGCCCCAGAAGGATACCGTGGTCGACGGTATCGAAGGCCGCTGAGAGGTCCAGGAGCACCAACAGGGACACACTCCCCCTGTCTAGCTCCCGGCGCAGATCATCCACTAAGGCGACCAAGACCGTCTCGGTACCATGTCCCGGTCTGAAACCAGACTGTGCCGGATCCAGAATATCCGTGTCTCTCAAGAATACCTGGAGTTGTGAGGCCACCACGCTTTCCATGACTTTGCCCAAAAGGGGGAGATTGGAGACAGGCCGAAAGTTGTCAAATTTAGTGGGGTCCAGTGATGGTTTCTTCAACAGCGGTTTTATAATAGCCTGTTTTAGGCTCGCTGGAATCTTGCCTTCCCGAAGGGAGGCATTAACCACCACCGTTACCCACTCAGCCAATCCCCCTCTGGCCTCTTTCAGAAGCCAGGATGGACAGGGGTCTAGGATGGACGTGGTAGGCCTAGAAACTATACCTAGAAACATCACTTTATGTAATGATGTTTTGATATCAAGAGAACCAACATTATTTACTTAGAGGCAAAGCATGCTTTTGTGTTAAGAGGTAACATATGTTAAGGTACAAAATATTCCTTTTTCCAACCATATAATTATGTTAATCAGACACTTACCAATTTTCTTCTTTGTGTGCTTGAAAAGCTCTCAGGAAAGATGTGTAAAGTTTAGGGAAATGTAATACAATGTGATTTCTAGTGATACAAGTGATTCAATATCATAGCAGTGTACTGTGAAACCAAAGATCAACAATAATGCCAAGAAGCAACCTCATGAATATTGTAATTGTTCACAACATGGAAGCTAGAAGTCATGTTCTAGAAGTAGCTGCAGTTTCCACACCAACTTGGGATGGTGAAAGGTACTTCATGCAGAAAATGCCACTTGCATTAAACAGCAACACACTTCTCAAAAGGGGAATGTCATTTAATCTAGGAGTGGAGAATTGTGTTGGGTTGCCCCAGTTGATGGATTGGATTACATCTTGGAAAGTGGGGTCTCTTTCGCTATGTTGAGCCACAAGAGACGGGTAATAATAATAATAATAATAATAATAATAATAATAATATTTTTACAGTGTAGAAATAATAATAAAAGGGCAATCTCTCCTCCATCTGCATTGCTACTCAGAATACATGAACGGCATTGCAGAAAACCTGTTGCTGGCACAAATCTCAGGTAACTTTATGACAGTGGTGGCTGGAGGTTCCCTTTTCCTGTGGTCCTTTAAAATTTGTGCACAACTCCTCAGCAGTCTAGCCACACATAAATCTTTGTGTGATGTTACATTCAACGACTGGTGGACGATCCTCTCCAGAAAATGGAAACAATTGTTTGGACTTCAGTTCAGAGTTGTTTATTTGGTTTGGGGTGAAAGTTCTGAGCTAAACTTTTACCATAAATCTTTAATGCAGAGTTTTCCAAACATTTCATGTTAGTGACACCCTTTTTAGGCATGCATAATTTCATGGCACAGTAATTCAGTTTTACTAGGAAACAAGAAGTTAAAACTACCCCTTATAAGAGATAGATACATACATAAATTATAATAGCAAATTATATGGGGACACAACGTATCTCATGAAAACGTTTCATTCATATTTTTTTTAAATGCATGATTTGTAAGATAATAACATACATTTCCAAGACTTTTGGCATCTATGAGTATGTTCACGTGACACACGTACATAGTGCAGTCAACACTCTAAGATGTTATGACAGAGTTTGGAAATCTCTGCTTGAATGAAATCCAGATAAAAGGATATTGTACTATAACAGTCTGGCATTTGTATGCTTCTACAAAATCATGGTTGGCAACTGCAAACGTGCATCTATCAAGAGAAGAGAGAAAAATAGTAAAAGTCATTAAATGATGCCTAGTATACACAGAATCAGGCTACACCTTATACAGAATATAATAAGATACTAAATTCTTTCATTTTTCCTGGTTTAACAATCAGTATTACTTATGTCTACCATTGTTTTTATGGTCGATTTCTTGCTTTACCATGAATCTTTGAAAATGTGCCACACATGTTGTTGTAAGCTTTCTGATTGAACAGAATGTTCAGAAAGCTGCTTAGAATGCATTTGCTTTTGATTCTACCATTACTTCGTTATGAGTCTACAGCTTTCATAGAAGGAAAAACTTGTTGTAAATATCAATCATATTTGTTCACTATATAAGTTGAACATCCTTTTTCCTGAAATGATAGAGGCCAAAAGTATTTGGGATTTTTCTGAACTTTGGAATACAGGCAATCCCTGAGTTATAAACATCTGACTTACAAACAACTCATAGTTAAGTACAGAGGTGAGACAATAGAAAGCGACAGAAATCTACTCCTTGAAAGGGAAATTCACTCCTGAAAGAGTTATCACGGGAAAAAGATGTCTCAGTTGAAGCTTTCTCACCAATCCTCATTTCTGCAAGCCATTTTTTCAAAATCCAGCAATCACAGGGACAGAAAGTGAGGTGAAACCTTCTGAACTGGGGCAGAGAAAATAAAACAAATACTATACCCTTCCCTATACTATCCAAAGCTTATATCTATACATATTGGCTGTAGTTACACTTTAAAAATATACCTGTTTTGACTTACATACAAATTCAACTTAAGAACAAACCTATAGAACCTATCTTGTTTGTAACTTTGGGACTGCCTGCACCTGTATTTTCACATATGCTAATAATGAGATATCTTGGAGATGGGATCCAAGTCTAAACAAGAAATCATAGAATCATAGTTATGGGCCATCCAGTCCAACCCCCTGCCAAGAAGCAGGAATATTGTATTCAAAGCACCCCCGACAGATGGCCATCCAGCTTCTGTTTAAAAGACTCCGAAGAAGGAGCCTCCACCACGCTCCGGGGCAGGGAGTTCCACTGCTGAACAGCTCTCACAGTCAGGAAGGTCTTCTTAATGTTCAGATGGAATCTCCTTTCTTGTAATTTGTATTTTGCGTACACCTTATGCACATATCCTGAAGATTATTTTATACGACATTTTAAATAATTTTCTGCATGAAAAAAGTTTGTGTGCATCAAACCACCAAAATATTATTATCTCAGCCACACATGTGAACAATTTCAGGTAAGGGACGCTCAAGTAAAATGCAGCTATTGAAAATAAATGGCTAATTTATTCCAGAGATGTAAGTCATGTTTTTATGCATAGGAATATTTAAAGTTAAAGTTGTAAGTGCAATGACCCAGGACTGTTTAAGGACAATGGCTATGTGTTGTGTGGTATGCAATGCTATTTTATGTGATGTGTTTAATTATGTTTAATGTTTTATCAGGGGAGGGTCAATTTTGATGTTTTATACTGTTTTTATCGATGGCATTTAATTGTTGCCAACACCGCCCTGAATCCACTTCAGGGTTGAGAAGGGTGGTATACAAATACCACAAATAAATGAATAAATAAATGAATGAATAAATAAAGATGTTTTAATTCCAAGCAAATTCTTTTTTTATGTTCTGGAGGAAGTGCCTTGCTATGCTCAAATGGGGTTACTCCATGGTAAATATACTTCTGCTATAGACGGCTGCTTGGATTAATGAGAATTCAAGCTGTTTCCCCTAACCATGATTGTTACCTTAAGTGGGCAGCAAACATTTCATCATAGGGTACTTCGAGCACTTGTTGGCACTTTTCTTCTGGAGATGAAAGCTAATAATAAAATAAATACAATAAAAAAGAACACCTTGTTAGACATAAATGAATATGAAGAACAGTCAGACTGAGAGGAAGGTAATTGGCTCTAGGTTTATGGCCACTTGGCTCAAGTTGGAGACAGTTCTTCACTTGTAAACAGGACAGCATTGTCTTACACAACAAACACAGTATTAATACACCTTTTAAAAATTAAGCTTTTCTAAAAACCTTCCAAGAGATGGTGTGCACGTGAATGATTATGTTCAGATCCATGAGAGAAAGCTTACCATTTTAAATCCCAAGGAGAAATTATCCATAAAGGTTATAAAATGGCCTATAAATGGAAATCTTCAAAAGACCCTGTTCAAAAGCAGAGAAAATGACAGAATCCCCACCAGGGGCACCATGCAATCTGTAACAGACTCCTTAGAAAGGGCACTATGTAGCCTTGGTATCAAACGTAATACAATACATCAATTTTCATTAAGAATAGCATGGTCCAGGACTGACTATTCCAGGACTTTATATATATTTGCTCAGTGTTTATCAATGAGAGATTACATTTTGAAACCAGAAACAGAAAAAGTCAGTAATTATTAAACATTTACTATACTAGTAAATGTTTAATAATTACATATAAAGTACTTTGTATTCTACCGTGCTGCGGAAGACTTCAGTCTACCACACAGCCACACAGCTGGGCTAAATCAACTGTGAATGCAGTTCCAATTCTATCTACATATGTCTATTCAAAGGCTGTCTGTCAACAATATTAATTTTCAGGTAGTTGTGTATAGATTATACCCTCCATCACTTACCTGAAGCCTAGGATTTGCAACATGAGGATGTTTAAATGATACCAATTCTGCACAAAATAATCCATCTTTGCTGTCAATAGATTCTAATACCTGGAAAATGGGGCGGGGGGGGGGGGGGGACATAAATATTGTGTTACAAATGTAATAACACTAACATTATCACTAAAGCAATAGGAAATTATCTTTGATTACTTGTACTTTTATACCGAGGTGAGAATGTGGTATTCTCCCATGAGGCAGCACTGTGACTTCAGTACTAGTCTTCTCAAGGTTAACAAAAGGAGGGAGGACTGTGGTCAATGAAATATGTCAGTGAGGGAATAATGCTAAGTATTTAATTCTATTTCTATGTTTTTGGTTTTAAATTAAACATTTTAATTTTATTTTGTAACATTGTTTTATTTTGTAACAATAGAGTCTATTTTAAGAGAGAGAAAATATATAAACAACAAATACAGAAATAAGTATTTAAAGTAATTTTTCACCCAATCTGTTTCTTGCTAATGAAATATAAATCATAAGAATTTAGAATATATTAATTATCAATACTTCTCCTTAAAAAAATCAGGATCCAAAGAGTTGTACTTTTGCAAAGATCTATGGATGTCAAGAACAACTATCTAGTGAGATAGAGCGATATTATTCTACACTGAAGACAGAGGGACATTAGCTAAAGGGCAGTAGTTGATTTAAGACTAAGCAGTGAGTTTGCAGCTGAGTTGAAACTAAAATGTAGCTACTAGTTGCATAATTTACTTAACTGCTACTTGATACCAGCACTCCCTCTTATTCTCTCTCTCTCTCTCTCAAAAAAGGCATAGTAAATAATGAATAACATATTCTTGACTAAGTGAGAGAGAAAATAAGTTGCCCCAAATGTAACTGCCAGGATTAAATGGTTTCAGAAATATGAGAATTACTTATATTAGTTTTTTAAAAACTATTCAGAAACTTTATTTCTGTAAATTTTCTCTAATGTGCTGCAGCCTCAGTGAAAATTAACAAATAAAATGTTTTTAATAGGACTAATATTTATTTATTTGCCGTATTTCTATCCCTCCCTTCTCAAGGGGACTCAGAGCAGCGCATAGAGTCACAATTCGATGTCATACATTACACACAATACATATCCAGCAAATAAAAACATATACATTAAAACATCCGCTAAAAACATATCAACATTAAAATAATTAAAATCACATAATCCAATATCGTAGCCCAGGCCGTTCCAGTTATCATTGCACAATTCCATGTTCACATAGTGCACTAATCAATTATCCAAACACTTGGTCCCACATGCAAGTTTTCAGTTTTTTCCTAAAGTCTGGACGGAAGAGGTTAATCTGATGTCGCTTGGGACGGAATTCCACAGCTGAGGGGCCACCACTGAGAAGGCCCTGTGAAGGAGGTGGGACCGAGAGCAGGGCCTCCCCAGAAAATCTTAATCTCCAAGATGGTTCATAGAGGGAGTTATGTTTGGACAAGTAAGCTGGGCCAGAACTGTTTAGGGCTTTATAGGCTAAATCAAAAATTTTGAATTGTGCTCAGTAGCAGACTGGAAGCCAGTGGAGTTGGCGTAACATGGGGGTTGTATGATCCCTGTACCCCACTCCAGTGAGCAATCTAGCTGCTGCCTGTTGGACCACTTGAAGCTTCCAAACAGTCTTCAAAGGCAACCCCAATAGAGCATGTTGCAGTAGTCTAAATATTACATGTTCCCGTTGTTTCAGTGTATCTCCTACAAAGCACTGTTTGTTTCTGAAGATCTGTTGTACAACTAGTGAGATGAGAGGTTTTTGGGACAAAAGATATTGTAACAGTTAAACCACATCCAATGAAAAACGGTTAAAAATATGCTTACCTGCTGCAAGTATTGGTTTATGCTGATGTGCGCCATTAGATCAAAAGTGAACACACACTTTTTACTGAAAAGATAACAAAAATACAAGTATTGGTCACTATAACAATAAAAAAAATACTTGTTACTATAGTAGGCTGCCCAAGATTGGGAGCGGGGGAGAAAAAAGGGGCTGGGTGAGGGCTACAAATACTTTTGTAAAAAAGAATGACTTTGACTAAGCCAGGCCTTGTTAACAGATGAAGATGTATACTTACATTACTATTAATATCATCCTAATCATTATTAGGTTACTGGAGGTCAGCTGTTACCACCAGTACGGTAGATTTTAAGGAGGAAGGAGTGTCAAGCAAACCCTTGCAGTGAGCATCTTCCCATCTGGAAACATATGTCCTCATTGTGAAAGGCCATGTGGATCCACTGCCAGGACTACCTCTGGAAGATGATCGCCCATGAATTATTATTAGGTTTCTACTTTTGATTTTTGCTACTTTCTCAAAGAAGATGTTTATGCTGAAAGTGCAGAATAAAAATTATGTGAATTTATTATGGACACGGCCAATCTTGAAAGTGTATGTATGTGGCATGTCTTCTTTTCACAACTTCAGAGTTCCTGTATCTGTATGAGCAAACCTTTGTAAAATGCAGTTCTGAAAAACATATGGCTCTCCACGTGTTGACAGCTCCCATATTTTTGATAATTGGTTATATGGGCAGGCCTGATGGGAACTGGAGCCTAGCTACTTCTGAAGCACTCAGGTATGGTGCCAAACATTCAGCCTGGATGGGAAACGACATTACCTGAGTGCTTCCTTTGGACTACACACATAAAGAAATCTGAGTGTATGCCACTGACAGCACCAGCTACAAGTCAGCATGAACTACAACCCTAATAGCACTGTAAACATTTGTTCAATGTTCTCACTAATTAGGGTCTGGAAAGTCTTGTTATAACAACAGTAGAAAGCTCCTGTTGCCCGCTGCCTACCAAAACCGAGAAGCCCAAGTAAGTTATAATCAAATCAAACCTTGAGAAAGCAGCATTAAAACATTCATAGGAGAATACTCTGGAGAGGCTATCATCATCACCATCATCATCATCATCTTTATTTATATCCTGTTACCATCTCCCCAGGGGACTCGGTGTGGCTTACATGAGGCCGAGCCCAGAATACAACAATACAAGCAATAACAACAATACAAGCAATTTAAAAACAAACAAGACAATAAAACAATAACATAAGCATTAACAATAGGACAACACACTTTAAAATCTATGGGTAGGCCAAATGTAATTAAAATTTAAAAATAATGCTGGACATGGGCGAAAAAGTGATGTGGTGTTGTGGAAACATACAGGTAGACCTAAAACAATATAAAGTGTTTTGGAGGACAAAGTGCTATGGGATCATTATTTTGGGAAGGCACACTGGAACAACCACGTCTTCAAGCTCCTCCTAAAGAGTGCGAGAGTTGGGGCATGCCTGATGTCCTTAGGAAGTGAGTTCCAGAGTCGAGGGGCCACCATCAAAAAGGCCCTCTCTCTCGTCCCCACCAATCGTGCTTGCGATGCAGGTGGGAGCGCGAGCAGGGCCTCTCCAGATGATGGCCTTTATCAGCACCCATCTGACCGATGATTCTAGGAATCAATGTCTGGCTCAGTATCTTAGGACACACTGCTTTAGACCTCCCAGATGGAAATGCAAATACACCAGCATCCCCTTGTAATCAATATCTAGCAGATATGTTTCTATGGTCATATCAGAAACAAATCAACCTGTGCATTATAGATCATAGCAAAGTCTTTGATAATATAGATCATGGAAAAATATGGATCACCTAAATGAAATGGGTATGCTACAACATTTGACTGTCCTGTACTCAGGGCAAGAGACTACTGGTAGAACAGAATATGAGAAAATGAATGAACTCCAATCAGAAAAGAGTCAGGTCATCACCTTTTCTGTTTGACTTGTACATTGAACATATCATAGCAGGGTTAGATTCAGAGGAAGGATCTGGAGGAAAGAACACCAATAGTTTCAGATGTGCAGGTGAACCATTTTTGCATTAGCAAAAATGCACAAAGATTTGGGGGTTGGACTGGATGGCCCATGAGGTCTCTTCCAACTCTGGGCCCTTCCACACAGCTCTATATCCCAGAATACAAGGCGGAAAATCCAACAATATCTGCCTTAAACTGGGTTATCTGAGTCCACACTCAGATAATGTGGGATTTTCTTACTTGATATTCTGGGATATAGGACTGTGTGGAAGGGCCTTTTATGACTCTAATTACTGAAGAAAGTAAAAGAAGAAAGTGTAAAGGCAGATTTACAGCTGAATATCAAGGCCCCTTCCACATGGCTGTATAAAATCCCACATTATCTGCTTTGAACTGGGTTATATGGCACTGTTAATTCAGATAACCCAGTTCAAAGCAGGTATCATGGATTTTGCCTTGATATTCTGGGTTATATGGTTATGTGGAAGGTCCCCAAGAAAACAAAAATAAGGACAAGGGTGACTTGGGTTATCTGGGTTCACACTTAGAGCACTATTTCCAATTTTTAATTTTACATTTGGCCTTCCCACAGTTTTTAATTGTATGTTGTCTTATTGATAATGTTATATGTTTATTGTTTATGTTTTTATTTTAATTGCTTGTATTGTTGTGATTATTGCTTGTATTGTTGTGTTCGGGCTCGGCCTCATGTAAGCTGCACCAAGTCCCTTGGGGAGATGGTAGCGGGGTACAAATAAAGTGTTATTATTATTATTATTATTATTATTATTATTATTATAGATAATGTGTGATTTCCTGCCCTGATATTCTGGGGGCCCTTCCACACAGCACTATATCTCAGAATATCAAGGTAGAAAATCCTGTTCAAAGCAGATATTGTGGGAATTTCTGCCTTGAGATTCTGGGATATAGGGATATGTGGCCACCCCCGTCTCAAGCATGGTTGGTGGGGATGAGAGAGGGGGTCTTCTCTGTAGTCCCCCCCCCCCTCTGCTGGAACTCCCTCCATAAAGAAATAAAAACAGCCCCCACTCTCCTCTCCTTTAAAAACTCATTTATGCACCTTAGGATACGGAAAGGAGGAAAACCTTTAYATATATCCTTGCCTAGATATTGGACATCTACTTCAGCCTGTGGAAATTGTGTGTGATGGGTTATATTATATTTATGTAAGTTCAGTTATGTATTATTTTTATTGAGTTCTATAAGTTTGAGATTGTTTTATTCACTGTTTTTGATTTGATTTATCATAGTTTGGTTTTTTTTTTTTTTTGCATTGAATGTTTGCCAATTTGTTACTTTTGTTGGAAACAGCCCTGAGTCTGCTCGGGGAGATAGGGTGGGGTACAAATAAAGTGTTATTATTATTATTACTCAGAATGGAGTCAAGACATCTGAAAAAGACTAGGCTCTGGAAAGGGCAATCATGAAGGAATGAGACAAGATCTTGAAGTGTAACGATATATCATTGCACACTGAAGTCAGGATTGTCCATGCCATAGTATTTCCCATTTCTATGTATGATTGCGAAGAAATTGGAGAGAAAAAGAATGAAGTCACTTGATATGTGCTGGAGAGGAGCTCTGTGGGTACCATGGATTAGTAAAACATTTAAATAAATGGGCCCCATTCCTAGAGCAAATAAAATATGAATAACACCCTAGAATAAATAAAACAAAGCTCTAGAAGTTAGGGAATCTAAGCTGAGACTGTCATATTTTGAAAAGGCACGATTCACTGGAAACCATGGCGTCCAAGAAAGCAGAGGATCGCATTGTTTGAAAGACAAGGGCCCCCTGCCACGACTAGTCCTTCCTGGCACTCTGCACATGCTCAATGCCATCTTTTTCAAAAGGCGCGAGTCAGACAGGAAAGGCACACAAATCTCAATGAACATTTGTTTAAAAAGGAAAGAAGTGTTCAGTCGTTTTAAAGGGCTTTGTGTCTCCAGCCTCTGGGGCCTGAAAAAGTCGAACGGAATGTCATGCTTCAGAAATAAGGAAAGGTCCCGCCGCCATGTTGTAAGAACGCGCATGCGCACAACACCTGCCCTCTATCCACACACTCACCGCCTTTATCCTCTTTGCCTACCCGTTAACCTGATTGCACAGGCGCGTCGCCACGAGGCCAGCCTCGGCTCATAAGAAGGTTCATCGAGAGATAAGCGGAACCTTTTTTTCTCTCTCTCTCTCAAAAGGGGACTTCCTTTCTGCTGACGGAAATCCCGCTCCTTCGCTGATTGGCGGCCAAGCGCCAAAAGCTCCGCCCACTCCCCTCGGCACGTGACGTGCCCGGCCACAACAGACGCCTCACGGTGCAAGCAGAGCGGGTGGGCGTGGCTTATTCTGGCTGCGGCTCGGAGGAGGCGTGGCCAAGCTGTATCCCGTGACAGAGCAAAGCCTATTAAGTGGCAAGCAGCGCGCGATTCGCGGCTTAGGACGAAAGGGATTTCAGTTGAGTAAGTTCATGCACTGCTGGAGTGCTTGCAGGCTAAATAGGGTGCCAACGATAGGATCTGTGGTGCTAAATATATGCTGTTATTGCTCACGCCAGGCGTCTGCCTGCGAAACTGCACATAATTTCATACATGCATTTAAAATTCCAGTTCCACCTTGTCTCCTGTGCTATTCTAATAATACATGCAATATAATATAATATATTGTGTATACATATAGTATTTCTAATATATAATGCAATATTTTTTGTCATGTCAGGAGCGACTTGAGAAACTGCAAGTTGCTTCTGTTGTGAGAGAATTTGCTGTCTGCAAGGACATTGCCCAGGGGACGCCTGGATGATTTGATGTTTTTAACATTCTTGTGGGAGGTTTCTCTCATGTCCCCACATGAGGAGCTGGAGTGATAGAGGGAGCTCATCCACCTCTCCCCGGATTCGAGCTTGCGACCTGTCGGTATTCAGTCCTGCCGGCACAGGGGTTTAATCCACTGCGCCACACGGGGCTCCGATGCAATATAATAATAATATATTATAATTATATAATATGTAATTTTACTAATAATATTACAATATAATGGTATAGTACAATATAGTAATATTTAATACTGATATTGTGGTGGTGGTGTTCATTCGTTCATTTGTTTCCGACTTTTCGTGACCTCCTGGACCAGCCCACGCCAGAGCTCCCTGTCGGCCGTCACCACCCCCAGCTCCTTCAGAGTCAAGCCAGCCACCTCCATGATGCCATCCATCTTGCCCTTGGTTGGCCCCTCTTCCTTTTTCCTTCCATTTTCCCCAGCATCATCGTCTTCTCTAAGCTTTCCTGTCCTCTCATGATGTGGCCAAAGTGCTTCATCTTAGCCTCTAATACCCTTACCTCCAATGAGCAGTCGGGCATTATTTCCTGAAGTATTTCCTGAAGTACTATGCTAATAATATATTGTATGTATATATATTTTGTAAGCCACTCTTGTGTCCCCCTTGGGTTGAGAAGGGTGGCATATAAATGTTGTAAATAAATAAATATTGGGTGAGATCTAGGATGCATCTCCAGTGTAGATTTAAGGCAGTTCAGCACCACTTTAATAGCTAATGCACAATGCATTAGCAATTATGGGAATTGTAGTTCTGCTCAGAGATGGCCTTGTCAATTCCTTCCTCTGAAATATAGCCCACAGCATCCTGGCTGGCATCCTCAGAGGTTGTGAGGACCTCACAACCTCTGAGGATGCCTACCACAGATGCAGGCGAAACATCAGGAGAGAATGCTTCTAGAACATGGCTATATAGCCCAAAAAACCTACAACCACCCAGCTGGATTTATGCCAGTACCTTATGAAAAACCCGTTGACTCAAAATTTACCTTAAACAGGATCAGCCTGGAAACTGCCTCATTGGTGTTTTCTTTTTTTTATTCAAGGGCCTTTGGTAAAGCCCTTCCCCAAAATAATCCCAAGCACATTGAATTTCAATAATAGCAACTTATTTGAAGCTGCAAGTCCATTCAATAATAATCAAGCTGGCCAATTGCAACATGCACACTTGCCTAAAGCAGACAGGAGTTCTTTATCCCACCCTGGCCATTCCACAGATACATAAACCCCACTTGCCTAGTTTCCAACAGACCTCACAACCTCTGAGCTTGCCTGTCATAGATGTGGGCAATATGCCAGGAGAGAATGCTTCTGGAACATGGCCATACAGCCCAGGAAAACTCACAGCAACCCAGTGATTTTGACACAACTTATTTCTAACCCATATCTCATTAAGGCTCAAAGTAGAGTACAACATAGAATTAAAATACAACATATAACTAAAAACACATAAAACCAGTTAAAGCACATAAGTTTAAAGCAAACATAAAACTAATAGAAAGCATAACACATTCAAATAATCAATGGATGTCAATTTAGAGGGTAAAATCTACTGGGTATACCTTTGTTTATATTTTTGTTGGGTTTTTTTTTTTTGCTTTGACCTTTAAACCAAAAGCAATAAATGTGACACGCTCTAGAATCTGGTCATATTTGTTCAACAGGTTTGTTCCCAAGGCCATGTGCCTCCCAGGGCATCTCCATTTGAGGAGCATTATAAGCTTTCCAGGGGATTTAAAGAACAAATTCCAGCAGATCCGATGACAGGCAGCTGTGGTTTTTGGGTTTGCAACTAACAGATCTATTGCGGCAACATGTTTTCTGGGCTTGAACCCATTTATCTTCAAAACTGGTTGAGGGTATCCCTTTATTGACTCCTGTTTGATATCACCTTCCACATGGGTGGCTGAGATCAAGGCAAGCTTGCTTTCTGGAGGCCCTTCCACATAGCCCCATATCCTAGAACAGGGGTCCTCAAACTAAGGCCCGAAGGCCATATACAGCCCTCCAAGGTCTTTTCCCCGGCCCTCGCTCAGGGTCAACCTCTTGAAAGCACACAACAAAAAATCTATCTCATCCGCCAAAAGCAGGCCCACACTTCCCACTGAAATACTAATAAGTTTATATTTGTTAAAATTGTTCTTCGTTTTAATTATTGTATTGTTTTGAAGTGGTTTTTGCACTATAAATAAGATATGTGCGGTGTGCATAGGAATTAATTCATGTTTTTTTCAAATTATAATCTGGCCCTCCGACAGTTTGAGGGACTGTGAACTGGCCCTCTGTTTAAAAAGTTTGAGGACCCCTGTCCTAGAATATCAAGGCAGAAAATCCCACATTATCTGAGTGTGGACTCAGACAACCCAGGGCCCTTCCATACAGCCCTACATCCCAGAATCTCAAGGCAGGAAATCCCACAATATCTGCTTTGAGCTGGGTTATCTGAGTCCACAATCAGATAATGTGGGATTTTCTGCCTTGATATTCTGTGTGGAAGGGCCCTCAGAATGTCAAGGCTGAAAAATCCCACATTTTCTGCCTTGAACTGGGTTATCTGAGTCCACATTGCCATACATTCCAGTTCAAAGCAGATAATGTGGGGTTTTCTGCCTTGATATTCTGGGATATAGGGCTGTGTGATAGGGCCCCCAGTACAAAGCAGATAATGTGGGATTTCCTGCCCTGATATTCTGGGGGCCCTTCCACACAGCCCTGTATCTCAGAATATCAAGGCAGAAAATCCCACAATATCTGCTTTGAACTGGGTTATCTGAGTACAGAGATAAAGTGGGATTTCCTGCCTTGATATTCTGGGGGCCCTTCCACACAGCCCTATATCCCAGAATATCAAGGTAGAAAATCCCACATTATCTGGGTGTGGACTCAGATAACCCAGTTCAAAACAGATATTGTGGGATTTTCTGCCTTGATATTCTGGAATACAGGTCTTTGTGGAAGGGGCCTGAGTTTACACTGCCATATATTCCAGTTCAAAGCAGATATTGTGGGATTTCATTCTATAGCCTCCTCTGCCGAAGACAACAAGCGACGACGAGGAAGACTCCCGGGATTCACTAGATTCCAAGCGGTGCCAAGGCGCGTCAGTCCCACCGTGTAGGAGGCGCCCGCTCTGTCCCGCCGTGATCCCTCCTTCCAGCGAAGGAGGAGGGGGAGGAGCCATTTTGTGAGGCGCCGCGAAGGACGGCCTCTCTCTCTCTCTCTCCCTCTCCCTCCTCCTCCCCGCGAAGGCCTGCCCGCCCGCCTGCTTCCCTTCCTTCTCCGGCCCTGAGGAGATGCGTGTGGTTGCTTCCTGGAGGCCCAGGGCCGGACGGGAGGGAGGACCCCAGGGCCACTGAGCCCCGAAAATGGCCGGCGAGCCCCAGAGGAAGCAGCAGCAGCAGCGGCACTTGTCGGCCTTGGTGGGGCACACCAACGGGCTCACCAAGCCCGCCTCCCTGGCCGGGGGCCGCAGCGGCGCCGCCACCTCCAAGAAGCTGGTCATCAAAAACTTCCGAGGTGGGTGTGGGCCCCGGGCTGCCCTGCTGCTGGGCTCAGCCTCGGCATTCCGCCACTCGCCTTCCTCCGGCCCTTCTCCCCTCAGGAAGGGCAAGGCCTCCAAAAGCTGTGGAGAACTCTGACACCTCTTTTTGGGGGGAGGGGGCGAAATGGGGCCTTCTGCACCATTCTCAACACCACAGGTGGAGCCTGGCCACAGAGTAGCCAGGACTTCGGAGTACAAGGTGTCCTGGAAGTCTCTGTTTGAGGAAGACTGAACAAAGTCCTCTTATACCCATAGATCAGGTGTGGCAACTTTTGGGACACCTTTTAGACCAGGCATGGGCAAACTTGGGCCCTCCAGGTGTTTTGGACTTCAACCCCCACGATTTCTAACAGCCAACCTGCTGTTAGGAATTGTGGGAGTTGAAGTCCAAAACACCTGAAGGACCCCCAAGTTGGGCCATGCCTGTTTTAGACAGTAGTCTCATAAATGGCAAGTCTATATAAATAAAAATGTAATGTTCGTTTGTGGGATTAACATAACTCCAAAACCGTTGGACGAATTGCCACCAAATTTGGCTACGAGACACCTACTAACCCAAGGAGTGACAACCACTAAAAAAATTGATTTTGTCATTTGGGAGTTGTAGTTGATGGAATTTATAGTTCACCTACAATCAAAGAGCATTCCGAACTCCACCAACGATGGAATTGAACCAAACGTGGCACACAGACTCCCATGACCAACAGAAAACACTAGAAGGCTTTGGTGGGCATTGACCTTGAGTTTGGGAGTTGTAGTTCATCTACATCCAGAGAGCACTGTGGACTCAAACAATGATGGACCTGGACCAGGCCCGTTGCCAGGATTTCATTTCGGGGGGGGGGGGGGGGGGGGGGGAAGGGGGCTGAATTTTTTTCAGGGGGGTTTGGGGGGGGGCTGAGTCTAGGTGAAAGAGGGTCTAGCCTAGCAAACCTTTTGTATCATTACCCCAATACCCCCATGCATATGGGATATATTGAGTATGGTGATCAGATCATGATATGAATAAACATAACAGTTTAAATAATGCACCAGTAAGGCCTTTTCGAGAACCACCATGAGAATTTCGGCTACATGCCTGGTTGGAAGCCATTGTTCTGCATCCTAGTCTCCAGGGCAGCAGAAAACAAGCTTGCGGGAAATAGACCTGGACATTTGGGAGTTGTTACTGGGATTTATAGTTCACCTACAATAAGAGCTTCTGAACCCCACTAATGACAGAATTGGGACCAACACTTCCCACACAGAACCCCCATGACCAACAGAAAATACTTAAGGCCATCCAGTCCAACTCCCTTCACCAGGGCAAGAACATGTAATCAGAGCCCTCCAGACAAAGAGCAATCCAGCCATAGGATAGATATATATGATTCACATACAGATGTAGTATGATAGATTTGAAAGGGACAATTATATGTTGCATGTTCCAGAGTAGGCAAACCAGACAATCTCCACATCAACACTGACAAAGAAACAGCAAGAAATACTGTTTACCCACAAGCATAAAGAAATTACATATATTAGAAACCAACACTTTCTCGTTACTTTATTTTCCAGATCACCAGACTGGGCCACAGCAACGCATAGCAGGGGACGGCTAGTATTCAATACAAACAAATAAATACATGCATACATACATAATAAAACATATAAAATACACAACATCAATTCAATAATTTAAAAATCATAATTAAATAATACAACAACAACTAGGAAGAAAAATCTCACAATATCTGCTTTGAACTGGAATATATGGCAGTATAGACTCAGGGCCCTTCCACACAGCCCTTTATCCCAGAATATCAAGGCAGAAAATCCCACATTATCTGAGGGCCTTTCTGCACAGCCATATAACCCAGAGTATCAAGGCAGAAAATCCCACAATATCTGCCTTGAACTGGGTTATCTGAGTCCACCCTGCCATATATTCCAGTTCAAAGCAGATAATGTGGGATTTTCTGGGTTATATGGCTATGTGGCTCCAGCAAAGGATCACCGCCTAGTCGTGCCGCTGGAGCTTGAGCACCTCAATGATGTCACGAGTGAAACCCCACCCAAAACAGGACAGTCGTGGCAGAGAGGTCAGACCTAGCGTGTTCCCTGGGGAAGGCAATGGCAAACCACCCCAGTATTCTTGCTGACGCAGACTGCAGCCAGGAAATCAGGAGACGCTTACTTCTTGGGAGGAGAGCAATGACCAATCTTGATAAAATAGTGAAGAGTAGAGACATCACACTGGCAACAAAGATCCGCATAGTTAAAGCAATGGTATTCCCCATAGTCACCTACGGATGTGAGAGCTGGACCACAGGGAAGGCTGAGCGAAGGAAGATAGATGCTTTTGAACTGTGGTGTTGGAGGAAAGTGCTGAGTGCCTTGGACAGCGAGAAGATCCAGCCAGTCCATACTTCAAGAAATAAAGCCTTACTTGATTGGAGGGAAGAATAGTAGACGCCAAGATGAAGTACTTTGGCCACATAACGAGAAGAAAGGAAAGCTTAGAGAAGAGTATGATGCTGGGGGAAATGGAAGGAAAAAGGAAGAGGGGCCGAACAAGGGCAAGATAGATGGTATCCTTGAAGTGACTGGATTGACCTTGAAGGAGCTGGGCGTGGTGACGACTGACAGGGAGCTCTGGCGTGGGCTGGTCCATGAAGTCACGAAGATATCGTGGGATCTTTTGGCTTGATATTATGGGATATAGGCTTTTGTAGAGGGCCTGAGTTATCTGAGTCCACACCCAAGCCTTTCCACATAGCCCTATATTCAAGAATATCAAGGCAAAAAAATCCCACAATATCTGCTTTGAACTGGGTTATCTGAGTCCACACTCAGATAATGTGGGATTTCCTGCCTTGATATTCTCGCTAGACCTATTTTTACTAGTAACTCTCAAACAACCAGAAACTTCTTTTTTCAGCATCTACCAATCCCTACAGGGGCCAGTTAGCTGAGAGCCTATTGCATCTGTGTTTACATAAACATATATAATGCCATAGTTTAGGGATGGGATCCAAGACTAAACATTATATTTGTTTCTTTCATATCCACCTCATTACTTAATTTATACATAAAATAATGTGTCAGAAAGCAAAATATGTTACTATTTTAGCCAAAATGTGAACAATTTTGGAACATTTTGGCTTTTCAGATAAGGTAACTGCTCAAACTATATTTTGGGATAGACAGTTCAAGCTCAGGACGCATCCACCAAAATAAATCTGTTATGAAGTTGCCACCTACCAGGTGATCTTGTAGTATGTCAAGTCTTATTAGCATTTCATTGGTTGAGAGCAAAAATACCAATTCTTCTCCAGTGTCTCCAGTTGTATTCTTACAGTGACACTGTAATTCTAGTATGTATTTATCTCTGTGTGCCAGCAGCCTTAATAGCACTTCATTGATTGAGATGAAGTTCTATTAATAGTAATAGAAGAGAAATAGTAAATCCTTGTCCATTCCTTCCAATTACATTCTTATGGATGTCATTACAATTTTGTGAATGAATGAATGAATGAATGAATGAAACTTTATTTATAGCTCGCCCTATCTCCCCAAAGCGACTCAGGGCGGCTTACAACAAAATACACAGTGGCAAACATTCAATGCCCACAATAAACATATAAACAAATCAAAAACTCAATAAATGATAAAATAATTTGTCACAACTTGGTGACACTCTACTAATGTCACCATAGACAGCCTTTACAATTTTCACAATTTGAGTATCCATCATTCTGTTCCAAGACAAAAACCAAAATGAACACTTTCAACTACACTGGATAGAAATACACTACATTCTGGAAAGTTGGTTTTATATGTGGATTGAAGATGTAAATGCTGAAATGGATTTGTGAAAACATGTCTATCAGGAGGTTTGCCTCTTTTGCAAAAGGCAGTTTTGTTGACTTACTTGAGTCACCACTTAGATGTGCACATTATTCTTACATTGTTGATCTGTCACCTACATTTGTGTGCATCGCTGAATCCAGACTTTCAAATATGCCTCACTGCAAGGAGTAATAGAGACACATAGTGTCATGAGGGCATGTTCTTTGTTAGGTAGATCAAGGATTCTTAGCAATTTCCCCTGGCCTAACATACAGGAATGAAAGAGAAGGTGCTTGGCAGTGTGCCTAGGTCAGATCAGCACCTGACAGAGCACAGGCCTCTCTGTTCGTTGACATGTGACATTTGCTGCCCTTTCCTCCCTTTATTTATTTATTTAGTATATTTTTGGGTGCCCATCCAGTCATTGAGCACTTGAGGCAATGTACAGTTAAGAATAATAGGATACAACTGTATCATACTACAAAACAAACCCAGCAGCCCTAAATATACAAGAAAACCTGATTACATAAAAACAGAACTCAAAACCAGAGAGTAATATGAAAACCTGGCAGAGAAGTACTGCCTTCATCAGTTTTATAAAGTACCGTACATTAAAACAGGAACTTATCTAAGTGACTTGCAATAAGATTTCCTCAAGTGGGTTGCTGTTACACAAATGGCCCGGTCTCTCTACCTTTGAATCTCAGCCTTTAAGTGGTTTTCAGTGGCCTTTTTCAACCCCTCCCCCCAAGTGTTGAAACCTATAGCAAGGCGTCAAATGGTGCACTCTCACTGCATTTCGAAATTATATTAGTTTGCATTGCTGTTCTCCTGGCAGATTTTGGGTTCTATCTTTAGTTCCCCTGTTACTCATGTCTTGGTAAATTGCCTTTGAGTACTATATCTACCATGTGCCAACAGCTGTTACAGTCACAATGTGTAAGGTCATATCCTTGTGTTATATATTAGTTCATTCACTCTAAATGGAACCCAGTGGTTTCATACTTTTAGTCATTAACAGATTAGAAATAATGGACACCATCTGATGTATGAGAATTTAAAATATTCCCAAGAGGAACTTAGCCATGTAAACTTAAAGTGTACATGAATTAACACCTGTCACCGCAGCCCTGGCCTAATCTTTCTAGATAAAAATCCAAACAAGATATTTCACTTCTCTGAATTTTGGCTTTGCAAAAATTTTAATAAAACAAGATTTCTTTAATTTTAGAAAGAAAGAAAAACACCTCCCTGTCCCCTCCCCCTTTGGTGTCTTGTCATATTGGAAACAAGTTAAAGGATATATAATCATGTTTTGGTCATATCATCTACAACAATGTTTCTCAAACTCTGCTCCTCCAGATGTTTTGGAGTTCACCTCCCAGAAATCAAAATAAGCAGTTGGACAGGGTTATTTATTACCATACATCACCAAGACTATATCAAGCTCTCTCTCTCTCTTTAAAGGGCCTGACAATTAGGAATCTGTCCCTTGTTTTTCAAACAAATAATCACATATAGAAAGGGGATTATTGGTTTGAAATCTAATGAAATTAACCATGCAGAACAAGGCATAAAAGAATAGAATGCAACCCTGTACAAGTTGGTGAGCAAATCCCATTGAATATATTGGGACTTAATTATGCAGAACCATGCAAATGTTTGGACTGAAAATTTAACAGTGGTTTCTGTAGATAAGAGTTTCTCAAACTGTGCTCCCCCAGAAGTTTTGGACTTCAGCTCTCACAATTCCGAACAGCTGGTAAACCGCTGGGATTTATGGGAAGTGAACTCCGAAACATCTGGAGGAGCAGAGTTTGAGAAACATTGTTGTAGATGATACAACATGTGGCTGTGAATGAGGAGACAGATGCACAAAACATCTTAAACATCTTTTAAATGGGAAAATGGCTCAAAGTTATAAAGGAGTAGGATGAAGTGCTGGTTGTGTGCAGCACCTGTCAATTAATAAGAACCCAATGAAATTCATACGGGTTTCTTGGTCAATGTGATTATAGGTGATCTCCTATCCAAGTATTAATCAGGGCTAACACTTCTTAGCTTCCAAAATCAACCAGTATTTTCCCTGGGTCTGGTGTTTTGGGTGGAAATTCTGGCCCAGATTTATTCTGGAAAGCTATACCTGTTATCTCTTTAATGAGATAATGATTATAACATAAGTGTTCAAGAAATGGGATAAAGTGCAAACCACACATATATATCAGCTGTACACGTGTATACTAATCCTGTACATGTTTATTTGGGATTACATCCCTCTGCATTTAGTAGAGTTAATTTCAAGCAAATGAGTAGGACGTAAGCCTTTGAAAGAGATTATAAAACACTGTTGCAAAATATGTTTGATACAGATTGTGCACATTAAAGAGCATTTATTAATTTATATGCCTTTCAAGCACATGGTTGGAAATGATGCTTTAGGAAGACAGGCGATGATTTTTCAGGGTAATTGCATGGAACAATGCTTCTGATTTATATTAACTTTATTATATGAAGTTTAAATTGTGTATGTTCTTAACTAATTCAGTTATATTTTTAAATTTTCAGGCACACGCAATCAAATCACTTATCAAAAATATATAGTACTGTACAGGTACTCCCAATATTAAAGCTCTATCCTTATTTTGCATTTCCCAGAAGCTCACAGTTCTCTATGAAAATCAAAATATTGTACAGTATTATAAACAACTAAATCTGAATTATTATGGTCATTTCTTAAAATATAAAATTGGAAAACTATTGTATGTGTTAAAGTAGTTCTGTGTCTGTTTTGCAGAGCGACCCACTTTGCCTGATAATTATACTCGAGAAACATGGCAGAAACTTCATGAAGCAGTCAGAGCAATTCAGACTAGCACATCTATTAAATATAATCTTGAAGAGCTTTACCAAGTAAGAGTTAAAAGCTATTTTAAAGAAAATACATTAACAAGATGAATATTTTTGTTATAGTGGCTTGGGGAGATACAATGTCCCATTTTAATTATATTTCTAGAATTATGATTTATTCAGACTGCATTAATTTTCTTTAACTTACTGTTATGTTGTTTATGTTTTCCAGGCCGTTGAAAATGTCTGTTCTTACAAAGCATCGCCTACACTGTACCGACAGTTAAGACAAGTTTGTGAGGATCATGTGAAAGCACAAATACTTCTATTTAGGGAATATCCTTTTATATCTAAACACAGAGAGTGTCAGAGTCTTGTGTCACAAAGACTAACAAGTTCATTATAGCATCAACTTCTTTGGTCTATATCCAACTTCATCAGATACATGAAGTATTATCCAGAATTTCTGGTATATCAAATACACATAATTCATTTGTTTATAAAATTTAGATGTGTGCATTATCGTTTACAGAATGTAGCCTCTTTTTGCAAAACTGTTGAAGTGAGACAGTTTTCTCCACATATTGTTGGATCTTCACATAAGCTCAATAGGAATTGGCGTAGTTGGCATTATATTGTGTTCCAAAGTGCAGACCAATCTGTCAATCTGAAAATGTGGAACAATTTTGAGTTCTGTAGTTTCTCTTGCTCATCTATAGATGCTGTGGTTTCCCTTGCTCAGAAACAACTATTTTCTTCTTTTTATAGCACTTATACAAGTCTATATCAGGCTCTGAATTTTAATTTAACTGTGGGCTCTTTTTATAGAGATATTGCAGTGCAAATATAGGTATTCTTCCTTCTAGTTTGAGAGAGATCAGTTCGAAATTACAGTTCAGAATTTGAGTTGCAATTCTAACTTCTTTTTCAAATCTATGTAGTGTTTCACTGAGCAAACATGATTACTGATACCTTGTCTCAAAATAGTTTTTCTTAATATATTCAGCACAGATTCTCTTGATAGTGTTCTGTCCTTAAAGAAAATAAACAAATGCTGGCAAGATCACTGCAGGCAAATGGTAGGTCATGTGCATTGTGTGTTCCTTAAAAAAGAATCCAAAGTTCAGTCATATTGAAGATTCGCTTCTCCTCAGTTCACGGTCAATGTCCATTAACTTGGCTTGACATTTTGGGCAGTTCAATTCAATGTGTGACTATCGGACAAGGGTGGACAAAGATTAAACATGGAAATTGATGTTAGCTGTAATATTATATGAAACTGGTTAATCAGCTTTGACCTTTGTAGTTCTTTGATGTTATTCTATAGTTTTGAGGTAAAGGGAAAGCTGTACTAATGCCTTAATTCAGTCTATTACAGTCCTTGTGTAATTAAGCAGATACTTAAGAAAAAGCCTGTAGCATTATTGATAGAGGAATGATTGGGTTTTCTGTGCTTTGCACAACTGTGCATTGAATTCACTTCCTTACAGTCTTAACATTTAGTTCAGTTTCTCACTCGTGGCTGCATCTACTCTGTAGAATTAATATTTATTTATATTTATTTATTTATTTACAGCTTTTATATTCCGCCCTTCTCACCCCGCAGGGGACTCAGGGCAAATTACAGTGTACACATATATGGCAAACATTCAATGCCAATTTTGACATACGACATATACAGACAGACAGAGGCTATTTAACTTTTTTCTGGCCGCCAGGGGAGCTGTCGCTTTCATCGTCCATCTGCGACACTGATGAAGTACTTCCGCATTCCCCGCATGCTTTTGCTGAAGTCTTTATGGCCTCATAAATCAGTTAATTTAGCCTCCCCACACTTTAAGGTGGTACCTTATTTTCCTGCTTGACAGATGCAACTGTCTTTCGGATTGCAAGGGTTGACAACGGGCTACACAATTGGTTGGAAACCCACTCCAACCCGGGCTGGCTTCGAACTCATGACTTTTTGGTCAGAGTGATCTTAATGCAGCTGACACTCAGCCAGCTGCACCACAATCCCAGTGCTAATACAGTTGGAGCCACATTAATTTCAATGCTTCAATACTTTGGAGGTTTTTAAACAGAGGCTAGATGGCAATCTGTCTTTGAATGCAATATTTCTGCTTCTTGGCAGGGGGTTGGACTGGGTGGCCCATGAGGTGTCTTCCAACTCTATGATTCTTTGAATCCTGGGAAATGTAGTTTTATAAGATCTTTAGCTTCCTCTGCCCAGGAGTGTTGATGCCTCACCAAACTATAACTCTTAGGGATTCCATAGCATTAAGCCGTGGTGTTTAATCAGTGTTGAACTCCAAAATTTTTCAGTGTCGATACACTCTTACTTTTACTGTGAGCTAGATTCATAGTTATATTTAATCATGACCAATGCAACAAGTGTTGGTCTGGGACTCTTGTAAACTAGTTTCAGCATGGAAACTCACTGGGTTATCTTAAGCAAGTCATGTTCTCTCAGCCAATGAGGAAGACAGTGGTAAGTTTCTGAATATGATAGGGCGGTCATAAGTCAAAGCTGATCTCAAGGCACATAAGGACAGCAGTAACTTGATTTTCATTTACTTCGGTTTAAGTCGGCTGTGTCCAATTTCCCATAACTGCAGCCAGTTTTCTAAACAGAGTTCTTGAGCTGTCACCTTACTTTACAAATAAGAGATTACATAACAGTGTGGTGTAGACTCCAGCAAGTTGGCTTCAGAACTCAGTTGCACATTATTGCAGCTCATTAACAACTAGCTATTTGCTGATAGGAAATGTGTGAAGTCTCCTTAAGGGTTTGAATTAAAGTTGTTTTTTTCCACTAAAAAAACCCCAACTCAATTAAAGTTTTTTTCCTTCTCAAGCAGTATTGTTTTAATAAGATTGCCAAAAAGTACCGAGTTCAAATGTGACGTGTATGGTGTATGAACTCATTATTTTTGCGAAACCTTTGGTTCTGTTGTTATATACCTACTTTCTCAGAACAGAAGGTGGGTATGTACAGGGAAAACAAATGTTTTCTGCTAGAACCTGGAGGAAAATGTGCTATTTGGGGCAGAGAAGTAGGAAGGAAACCATATTGGGTATATATTTTCTTCTTGGCTCACAGAAGATTGAGCTGAATATTCATCCTGAACTGCAAAAGACAGTGATTATACTAGGAAGATTTTAATTTCTTTCCTTTGCTGACCAAAACACATAAACAAATCAACAAATCAAGACTCAGTGTGTCATTTTTGTTTTTGATTAAAATAAATTTTGTGTCCTTCTGTTAGACATCCTGAATCTAAATACTTGGAAGAAAACACTATCAAAACAATCGGGACTTCAAAGTAAATAGGTATAATAGTATAGAATCTAGTAGACACTGCAAACGGCAGAGTCCAAGGGGAAATGTCTAATGTAGCAAGTCAGTATTTCCTTTCAGCCTCCTTTACTTGTTGGTAACAGAAGATGATGGAGTGTGTGGCAAATAAGAATTCAATGGGAAAGAGCAGTCTGGGACAGTGTTATACAGAAGTCTTGCCATTGTGGTGCACAAAGAACAAACTTTTTTCAGATTCCCATAATAGACCACAAATCTGAAGATGATTTGACAAATCCACTCTAATACAGAAAGATGGCAGAAAAGATGCTGATATCTGTAGTGAAATATTTATAAATTACAGTATAAGCATTTAATTAAGCAATGCATTGAGTATTTACACTATCTAAAAAAATACTAAATAATTTACATTAGCAGATCAAGATTCCATAGAAGATGCAAAAGATTTAGAAAATGTAGTCATATATTTAAGTCGTCATCCGTTACATTTACTGTAAAACAGCACAAAATTCAACAGCTGCTCAGTATCATTAGTCTAGGAAAACCTGGGTGAAGATAAATTTCTTAATAGGTTTCTTAAACCATGTCACAACTGTCTTGGTGATGTCATTTCGCAGAATAGATGCCACTGTAAGGAAAGCCTGCTTCTACTGATGCTTAAGAGCAAGAATGAAAGTAGTAACAAGCTGAAAAGGATGCCATTCTTTATCATTGTTGGGTAATTATAGATATAGACTGTGGTACTTACTGTTTGAATTATAGGTAGCCAACAGAATACTCAAGAAAATTAAAACATCCCAATTCAATTTATTCATTTTGCAGTGCTTGATATTTCTTTTATTACACCTGTAAACAAAAATGCAGAGGTTTATTCAACACCAAAAATGCATACCAATTGATGTTCTTCGTAGTCCAACATTGTTTATTTTCAGAAAATGTATCTACTTGTAACTTCTAACGCATTTTCTATTTATATAGTTTTTATTGCTGCGATTCATGAATTTCTTCATAGAACCATTCAAATGAATGTTGTTTACATTAAAACTATAGTAAGAGCCTGCTATCAAGTTGCTGCCAGATGAAATTTGCCATATGTCCCCATACAACCAGTTTTTGGGGAGCTTTGTAACTTTAGAGATTTGTATTTGGGAAGGAGATGAAGGAACTTGGCCCCAAATTTAAGTCTCAAATACTAGTAAACAGACCTCAAACTTGAATTAGTGATTAATAGACAGTCAAGGCAGGTGATTTTACAGTGATGTTATTTTTACCCAGCTTTCAGCAAACTCACAGCATCCAGACTCCACATTGTACACCAGCTGCAGCTTCCAGACAGAAATCAGAAAGCACAATATAAAGCACATTATCTAAGGTGCATTAAAAATATAAGGTTTCTAAAGAAGAGACAATTGCTATGATACCATGATACTTCTTGTTTTATTTAAAAGCGCAAATTACTTTGAGATGCATTCTGAATGAAGAATAATTATGAATATTGATAATGCATAGAAAATCAGGAAATGTATATTATCCATGTATAACATAAACAGAGTAAATAAAAAGGGAACTTATTCTGTTTCAAATTTTTGTTTGCAGATCATGATTAGAAGTATTTTTCTATTTTTGGATCGTACTTATGTCCTTCAGAATTCAATGCTACCTTCTATATGGTAGGTACAGTATCTGAATTTGTTTGCACCTATGCCAATTAGGAAGTAGCTCAGAGGGGCATTGCTGAAGACAGATTAAAACGAAGTACAACCTTCAGTGTCTACAGCTTACACAGATTTATATTAGGGTTCAGTCATTGGTTATCTGCTTTTTAGTTTATGACCTCATCTTGAAACTACTGGGCAGGTATTAAAATGGAGGTCATTTCCTCCACTGGGATAAGTGGCAGCTAGGTTGGAGCCTGAAGCATCACCTCAAATTTCTTGATATCCCACATTTTTGGGGAGTGGGATACAGCAGTCCCCAGAATGGATCCTATCCATATCTCCATAACATTTATGTTATGACAATGGTAAGAAAATAACTGTCAAATTAATTACTAAAGATTCATCTTTGTTTTTGTCTCTGTATCTTAACTATTATCTTCCTTGTATTGCCCAATATTTTAAATATTAGGGACTGAAGATTTTTTTTAACATGTCTGGGTAAGATGTTGAGCAGTCTATCAAGTCACTATAAAGATGGTTCAAAAACAGTGAAACTTGTGTGGTATGGAGTACACTTTAGCCCCTTTAGAGTTCTCTCTACTACCCAGTAGTAAACACTTCAATGTTTTGGTCCCAAGCACAATTTCAATGAAAGTGTTTAAGGAACATGTAGTTACCGAAGTAACACACCCCCAAACCAGCAGACAGCTAAAGATAAAATTATAATTGAGTGAATTATTAACTAATGTGTGGAACACAAGCATAATGTAAGATATGTATCTAATGTTTATCAATATATTAAAGATGTTTACAGACGAAGCACCTTACTACTAAGTTGAATACTAACAAATCTTTTATGTTTTTACAGGGATATGGGGCTAGAACTTTTCAGATCCCATATTATTAGTGATAAACTAGTACAAACTAAAACTATTGATGGAATTTTATTGTTGATTGAACGAGAACGGAATGGTGAAGCTGTAGATAGAAGCTTATTACGAAGTCTGTTGAGTATGCTGTCTGATTTACAAGTAAGTATAATGCATTTTAGTTCACTTTATTGAAATGTGGGCTAATAACTGGTTTAAAAAATAATTTAGAGAAAACAAACTAACTTGAGACTGCTTCTGGTTTCCTCTTTTTGGCTACACTCTATAACGAAAAGGAAGGGGGAGTCCTTGAAGTGTATGTACATTATGAACAAGCCCAGTCATTGTAAACTTCAACTGACATTTGCTCTAATTAAGACTATTTCTTAAGACATAGGTTTTTTCAGAATGAACGAAAGATGATAAACTAACATATTGAAGGAACCTATAGAAATCTATAGAAATTGCTTGATATCTGTTGCTGCTATGACTAGATAGTAATTTGATAAACTATCTTCATTAAATAGGTTTACAAAGACTCATTTGAGCCAAGGTTTTTAGAAGATACAAACCGACTATATACTGCAGAAGGCCAAAGGTTGATGCAAGAAAGAGAGGTATGAATTTCTTTTGAGAAGTAATTTTAAGGAGCCTGATCTCTTTGTTACATAAAGTCTAAGTGAAGCTGCTATCCCTTGTGTCAGAATCACTTAAACATCTGTACACATGTGAAGTGTCTGCTGACAAGTTATTGTATTACAACTATAACTTTTATATATATGCTGGGAATATTTAAAAGATTTTTCATGATGTTTGGGTGATTCTGTCAGAAGGAAATCAGGTTGTATAAAAGTTATATAAACAACTAGAATAATTTTGTTTCCACATCATGTACAGTTTTCCATCTTTTCATCTCTCTGTCTACCAGTAAAACCTCTCTGGGTGCATCTTTACATGCCCTTTAACTCGTGGAAGAGCTGGATTTGCTCCATTGGTCACTATAGGAAGCATAGAGATTTTTTTGTGGCAGAAGCAACTTGAGAAACTGCAAGTCGCTTCTGGTGTGAGAGAACTGGCCATTTGTGAAGATGTTGCCCAGGGGATGCTTGGATATTTTACCATCCTATGGAAGGCTTCTCTCATGTCCCTGTTTGAGAAGCTGGAGCTGACAGATGGGAGCTCACCCCACTTCCCAGATTAGACCCGCTGACCTTTAGGTCAGCAGTCCTCCTGGCACAAGAGTTTTAACGCATTGCGTCACCAGGGGCGTCACCCTGACCTGGCAGTAACTTGGGCCAAGATGGCTTCAAACAGCCTGGACACGTGCTAACTGAAGTTGCTTGATAATTTGGAGTTTTCTCAAAGCTCCAGATTATCCAGCAACTTTGGTCCTATCTAATCAACTGTGCCTCTTCATATTTAGGAAACAACACTGTTGATTAGATGCCATCTCCAGGCACTGCCTTGGCCCCTCTAACTTTCCTCAGCAGTGCTCTCACCAAGCAGCAGATTGGAGGTAGACTTTCCTTGGCAGCCAGAATGACACTGTGCAGTGAACCAAGGAGATGGGAGTGGGGGGTGGGGGAGATTCCTCCACTTTCCCTTTCCCCATCTCCCTATTGTGCTGGATAACATCGTCTTTCCAGGCTTCGAGGAAAGTGTCAATTTTGGTGCCGGGAGGGGGGAGGCAAGGTTAGGGTGGCATTTGCGAATACTGAGTAACGGACATAAGAATGGAACAACTACATGATGGGACTGGACATTGTTTTAATGAGTATTTATTGAATTATATTTTATTACAGTGTTATGATTTTATTGATGTTAACGTTTTTATCTTGTAATTGTGTTTTTGGTGGCATTGTAAACTGCCTCAAGTCACTGGAAGGCTGAGAGGGACGGTATACAAATACAGTTAATTAATTAATTAATTAATTAATTGTGGGCCAGATTTTTTGCCGTTTACCCATGCAGCCACTGTGCAGTGAGATGTAGTGTGGCTGCTATGTAGTTCCAGAGCCATCTTGGCAGTCAGCAGTGAAGTTGCCCCTGATACCAATCTGGAATAGCCCATTCCAAATCAACATTAGGATTACTAAGCCGTCAAACTGCACCCTCAGTTAAGAAAAGTATAATATGTATCAGTTCTCTTGAGTGTGGTTGAACTTGAAATGGATCTAATTATTGAAGAAATACAGAAAACAAAACATATGATTTTTGTTGGCATTACAAATGCCATCTAATCAGTGTTGTGAATAAGCAACACTGTAGGGATTTGTTAAGGGGTGGGATTCAGCTTGTGCAAACTTGTAGGGATTTGTTAAGGGGTGGGATTCAGCCCTGAAGATGAGGTTGTTTGGCCTGAATTTGCCTGGTGGATAATTCTGATTCTTTATTACAAAAAATGTTGACTCTGTCTTTAGCCTTATTGAAATGGAGAAGTGCTGTGGAATTCTGATGTAATTTGCTGTTTCTGTGTTTTGAGTCTGCTTGTTGCTGTCATTGGTACATGAACTACTAGTAACAAAACATTTATATTGTAACAATTTTACCTTTCCTTATATTGTTGATAGTCTTCCTGCATTCAGTTGTGATTGGAAAGTCTGTTAAGATTTAATGTAGATAATATGTTAATGACGAGAGTGATCAGGACCTATTATTTACATGCTTTCATAAGATAACAATGGTTGAGAACTTGGCACATGTGGTTTTACTATTTATAGTTCAGGCTCAAAAGGGTATTTTTTAATATGCTGCACCCCCTCCCCCTTTTTAAGAATTTCAATTCCAAATTTTTATTTTTTTACAGATACCAGAATATCTCCACCACGTTAACAAACGTTTGGAAGAAGAAGCAGATAGGGTAGTAACATATTTAGACCATAGCACACAGTGAGTACAAGGTTTTTGTTTCTCTAAAAATTGGTTATGTAGAAAATTGTAGAAATGTTAGTGATATATCAGAAAGCAACATTAGTGAAACCACTTTATAAATTCATATTTAAAAATGTGGTTTTTTAAAAAACATTCTTGTCTAGGTATAGGAGCATAAGTTACTGTCTGTCAGTTCATAATATATGGAGAGAGATAACCATTTTCAGAGGTGTTGTGGCATAATGGTTTGAGTCTTGGATTAATACTTTGGGAGTCCAGGGCTCAATATCCCCTCTTTGCCATGTAAACCTATTGAGGAAGTCACAAACTCTCAAAGCCACATCTAAGGCAGGCATCCTCAGAGGCTGTGAGATCTATTGGAAACCAGGCAAGTGAGGTTTATATATCTGTGGAATGTCCAGAGTGGGACATTCTGAGGATGCCTGCCATAAATGTAGGTGAAATGCCAGGAGAGAATGCTCCTGGAACATGGGCATTCAGCCCAAAAAAACTCACAGCAACTCACAGCAACCCAGTGATTCCGGCCATGAAAACCTTTGTAAACAAGAGTTCTTTGCCAATAAGTAAAACAGCAAAATATGGCCACCCCCAATCAAGGAAAATTGCTAGCTGTATTTGGATATTTTAAAGGTTAAAAACATTACTACTACATGGAAAAATAAGGATTTCCCCTTATATTCTGCTAGTATAGGCTCATACCCCCGGAATCACAGATATTCATTTGTTTCTCTTCAACTCATTTTTCTGATATAAGGACACATTATAACGGTTATAGAAAAACACAGTAAAATAGTTTGAGTGTTTGCTTGTGTAGAGGATCAGTGTACAATACTAAATCTGATATCTATATCAATCTAAGTATTAAATACTTTAGAATCAAAACATAACAATAAAATGGCTTATTTAAGGTTGCTTATGTTTCTGGTTTGAATGGGTACAACCTCACTAAAATAAATAGTCACGATTCCATATTTTAATGGTTTGGTGGTTTTGTTAGTATTTTAGTCCTAATGTATCATTGCTCTGCATTTTTGGCTTAACATAGAAGTGATATATACCTATGAGTTGTATATATCTACCCAAAAGTATAGTGCCTTTCCCTCCCTTGGATATGTAACCAAGAGGATGCACACCTGCAAAAGAGTCTTTCTCCCAATGTATGGGCATCCATATGTTCTTTTTCTTGCCTTAAACAGGAAGCCACTAATTGCTTGTGTGGAAAGGCAGCTGTTGGGAGAACATTTAACAGCTATTTTGCAAAAAGGTACTTTTCTTTGCTTTTTTAGCTAGCAGCTGGTACTCTACTGCCCTAACGGGTGGCTGAACACAAATTGCCACTTTTGCTTAGTGACAAAAAAGATTATGCATGAAATCGATACTGCTCATAAAACATGATGATTAATGAAAGCAGTAAACCTAGGAACTGTAAACACATTGCCAGGAGTGTTGTTTCATATGCAATCTTGTGAAAACTACTACTGAAATTAACACAAATTTCTATTGTCCTGGAACAGAGAGAAGGTGTGTGTTCCTCAGGCTGTTTCTTTGGAACAACATTCCAATTTGTGGTTGATGCTTTACAGCATGGGTAGACAACCTGGTGTTCCCCAAATAATTTGAACTAGATTTTCTGTAAGCTCTCACAGCAATGGCAGTGGTCAGGGTTGCAGGAGTTGTAGTCCAAAACTTCTGGAGAAAAGTGGGTTGCCTATTCATGTTAGTTCAACAGTTGCACTTAGGCACTGCTTTGTGATGAATAGAAACCTTCCTGATTTTAAGGGAAAAAACTTCCCAGCTTCTGTATGATCATTTTCTTTAAAGCAGTGAGATCAGGAGGAAATTAAATGGCAATCTTTGTCAACCACATTCTAACATTATAAAAATGTCAAGAAATTAAGCTGCTGCTTCATAAACATGTTTACTATTTTTCCATTGCTAATTTTTGTGTGTGAAACAACTGATATAATTAGAGTATTAAAAAAAAGTAGCATCCCAGTAAAAATTCTGAAGTACCACTTCCAAAATCTAATGTCTGTATAGAACTGTAACTGTTTCTCCAATGCAATGTTCTAACTCTAAAGCCTAGGATTATTACACAGGACAGATTTTTGGTTGAAAGGATAGATATTTGTAATTTTAATCATAGGATGGACATAATTCTTATATGGATAGCAAAATGGAAAGAGCTAAGAAAAAACTGTTATGAAAGACATTAATTGTCAGAAAGACGGTGTTACATATTCATATTAAATAAATAAATAAATCTTTTTGATGCATAAAATCTGGACCAGGAGAATGATTTATAGGCTCATGAGGACAGAGGGAGCTGAGAGAAAGAGAGAAGGAAAACAGCATTAGTAGGCTAAGCCATTGCTATTCACAGTGGTGGTGAGCTGTCAGCTGCTGGTCCATGGCAGACTTCCAGGAAAGAAAGAAACAGTTATAGCCAATGGGAACAAATGATTGTTGCTCCCTGGCATATGGCAGGGGGTGGAAGGGAAGAGATTACTAATTCCACACATCAAATAGTCTGACCAGCACTGGGTTAAAGAGTCATAGCCAGATCCAGTTTATTTATTTCTTATTTATATTTCATTAAATATTTTCAATGTCTTGTGTAGGACAGTGATAGTTTAAAATTTTCCATATGTATAAGTTTTATTAATGAAAGGAGGACATGGGTGGATATGGAAGGAGTGCTCCACTTGGTTATTTTTCCCATCAAAATCCTTCATGTTGTTTGCAAAACAACTGCTATTAAGGAAATGTGGGATATTTATTTATTTCATTCATTTCTACCTCGCCCTTCTCCCCACAAAGGGGACTCAGGGCGGCCTGAGTATCAGTATCTTGGATTTTTCCCAGTAGTAGTCTAACATTTTAGGGGTTATTTGCATATCAGTTCTTATTTAACTCCTTTCTTCATTTTTTTAAATTAATAGAACAAACATATGTATATCATCTGTGTGATACATGCATGCACATAATCCTTTACACAAAAAAACCCAAGTTTCTCCCAAACAAAATCAGTGTCACTTATTTTAGGACTTGATAATCTGCTTGATGAAAACAGAATAGCAGATCTGACCCAGATGTGCCAGCTTTTCAGCCGTGTAAAAGGTGGGCAACAGCTCCTACTACAGTACTGGAGTGAATACATCAAGGTATTTAAAATCTTCCATTATTTTGCTTTAGATACTAAATAAGTTTAAATTTGAACAAATCCATAATTGCAGAGCTCTTTGTAATATCAAATCCAAAAAGGCCAAGAAATGCTGAGCATGTATATACTCGAGTATAAGCCAACCCAAATATAAGCCGAGGCCCCTAATTTTATTACAAAAAACTAGGAAAATGTATTGACATGAGTATAAACCGAGGGTGGGAAATGCAGCAGCTACTGGTACATTTCAAAATAAAAATAGATACCAAAGAAATTACATTAGTTGAGGCATCAGTATGTTAAATGTTTTTGAATATTTACATAAAGCTGTAATTTAAGATAAGACTGTCCAACTCTGATTAAACCATTATTCTAACCTTCTTCAATGTAAATGTGTTCACGTATCCTTCCAATAATAATAGAGTAAAATAATAAATTAATAAAAATAATAATAATAGATTAAATAATGGAAGTGCAGTAATAACAGTAAAAATAGAGTAAAATAATAACTGTAATAATAACAATAGTAGAGAAAAATAATACATGTAATAATAAATAGAGTAAAATAATAAAGGTAATAATAAATGTAATAACATAATAATAGAGTAAAATAATGTAAATGCAATACTAATAGAGTAAAATAATAAATGTAATAATAATAATAACAACAACAACAGAGTAAAATAATAAATAACCTTGAATTGAGTATAAGCTGAGGGGGACTTTTTCAGCCTAAAAAGGGGACTGAAAAACTTAATTTATACTCAAGTATATATGGTAATTTAAAAAAGGACAAAGAGTTTGAAACCTTAAGAAGTTGTATAGACTTACTGGATTATTTCAGGTGATGTAACAGTCAGGTCTGTGACCAGTGAAGACCCAAATGGTTTCATTATATCCACAATTTGGCCTTTTGTCTTGCTTTCAAGAAGAAAAATGCCAGGTCATAGGGATAACTCTGCTAGTGGAGCTGCTTCTTACTGTAACCCCCTGTGCAACCAAAAAATGTTCAGCTGAGAAACTGTCCAGAATTAGTTTTCAGGTGACACATAGAGCTTTTGGGAAGAGGGTATAAGTAATAAAATTTTATTGCAGTGGCGCTAGAGTATTAGCATTATAGGTTAGAGACGAAAATGGCTTTCCATTTTATAGGTGGAGAATATTTCTGGAGGGTGACCAGAAAGAAACCTGCTTTTCATGCCATGCAGTTCAGTATTTAAAATTAAATATAAAGAACTCTGTATATAAGTAATGGCGCTCCATTCAGTCATGCTGGCCACATGACCTTGGAAATGTCTACAGACAATGCTGGCTCTTCAGCTTAGAAATCGAGGTGAGCACCACCCCCCAGAGTTGGACATGACTAGACTTAATGTCAAGGGGAAACCTTTACCTTTATATAAATGGCAGTTCACACTAACAAATTAGTCTGAGGTGCAAGACTGGAAATTATTGTAATTGGTGGAGTATGTTGAGACAATATAATAAAAGCTATCTTTGGGGGGGGGGGGTGATTAAATTATTCTGCTCCCTCTAGTAGCAAACAGATATGGTAGTGCGCCTAGAAGGAAAGACAGAATGAGGCCACTATGGATGATTGGCATATCTGGGTGAATTCTGATATTTATAGAAATTTTTAAAAATCTCTTAAAATGCCATAAATACTCTTACTCCCGATAGCCCAGCAAGAGTCCTTCACACTCAGTAGTCACAATGGAAAAAAAAACAGTGTGGAAATTGGGTGCATTGATTTAGGTCCTTATAGTTCATAGCATCCTGTTGTTGATCCTGGCTGGAACCCTAAACAGATACATAGTAAGATTTTCTTAAAGCTCCCACTGATCATAGTTACTATGTTCTAGTAATTTAGGTTACATTTTTGCAATTGCTCCTTTTATGCATTTTTCTTCTCTAGAAACTGAACGGAAAGTTTTGAACTGACAAGGATTTAGGCTCTAGGAGGCGAATTTTTTTTTAAATGTCCGTTGCTGTAAAATCTGTTTAGAAATCATCCAAAGTGTGCCATTATTCTAATTTTCTACATACATATTTTCTATATTCACTGTGTTGTTTACAAGTGATGGTTGCATTTGGATGCAGTGCTAAACTTGAGTAAACTTGCCCTTTCCCCAAGTTCATAAGACGATACTTCTCCCTTTTTCAGATGTGGGAGAAGAGATAGGAAACTTCTGTTCTCTTTTAGAGTAACTACAGTTAAATACGTTGTTCAAACTTTAAACTATAATTAATGGAAACAAGCCCATAAATTATGAGATGGACTCTTTTAACTACATTAAGATTAGACACATTAAGATTTAAACCATTGTCTAGGATGACATTCTGCTTTTGGTTGAGCAGAAATCAAACTTTCCAATCTGTATCTCAGTCATGCTGACATGTGAAAGCAAACGGAGTTCCTTCTCAAAAAGTTCAACCATGATTTAGCATTGCATCTGAAACACTCCTTTACATTTAATTAGAACCATTCAATAGAAAAGTATGTTTTGGTTTTCATAAATCTATTTAAATGTTCTTTTATCTTAAAATAAGGCACAGTTCATCATGTTTAATTGTTTCTAAAGTTTCAGTTGCATTAAAGCAACTGTGATGAACTGAATTTTATTATCAGTAAATCCTCCAAGGGTGGGGAACATTAAGAAATACGAGAGGTAAGTACTGCTGACATTTGATTATCAAAAGTGTTTGTTTTGCAGAACTTTGGGACAACAATAGTGGTAAATCCTGAAAAAGACAAGGATATGGTGCAAGAGCTGCTAGATTTTAAGGACAAAGTGGATCATATCATAGAAGTGTGTTTTCAGAAAAATGAGAAATGTATAAACTTGATGAAGGAATCTTTTGAAACATTTATCAACAAGAGACCAAATAAACCAGCAGAACTGATAGGTATCAATATTTTTCTGTAAACATATTATTTCTAAACCCCATAGTTATGGGTGTTAAGCTAAAATATATTGGAGTACGGCAATATAAAACCTGTTCCATCCTAAGTTTTGTTTCTCTGTGTGCTCTGATGTGGAGGTGAGCTGCATACTTAAGACGCATGTTTCTTCCTGCTCCTTGTGCATCTGTGCTTGCTTTTATTCTGACTGATTACAGTGTCGCTTGCCTAGAAAACCACATGGAAGAAACAGTGCTGTTATGATGTAATCCTATTCAAGGAAGCTGAAAAGAGGCAGAGGTGACTTAAGTTCTATTGCTTTTATTGGGGTTAATCACGTGAAAGAGAAAAAGGGAGACATCTGTTCCAATCACTACATATCTAGAGAAGATCATATCAATTGTCCCACTAAATGTATGTGTGTGAGATAGAGCAGGGGAGAGAGAAAGATTCTTCTGTGTAATTTGACAAGAAGAGAATGTCATAAACAGTGGTAGATTTTTATTTACAGGTAAAGTTTGATAGAGAAGTTGGTGTTTGTGGGAAAATATATAAAACAACTCTTCTCAGGTCTCTGATGCAAGGACACATTACTTATGGTGGGTCTTATTCTGGACAGTCAGTTCACCATCCATTTCTATAGTAATAGTTTTACATGGTGACCACCTTGCCTTCACTCATTAATATAGTCATGTTGATGCAAAGCTTTGAAAATTATGGCTCATATCGTGATATTGTGGAAGAAACTGAGGTCAGGAGAAAGTAGGAAGTGGAAACATCTAATGATTTAATCCACCTTTCTTGTTCAGATCTTACTGTGTTGGATATTATTTTCAAAATTTGGACCCTGATTTTTCATGGTGTGCTTTATTTGATGGTATACATTTTGGGTGGCCGTTAAACCAATATAACATACCAAAATAATAACAAAGTCATTGAAAAATTTTGGGAAACCAAAAATAACAGATTTTATTTCTGAATGAATATACGGTATTTACTCAGGTATAAAGCACCATCGAGTGTAATGCACAGAGCAATTTTAAGGTGTGTATGGATTTGCCCTTGAATGTAATGCTCAACACAGGCATAGTATATCAGGGATAGCATATCAGAGAGGCAGGCAGCATGAATGAGACCATTTGGGAAGCCACATTACTCAATCAGGCCAAGCCTGGCAAAGTGGCCAGCCCCACAATGTTCCCAACTGGCCACATTCATGGGCCCTTCAAAACCAAGGGCAAGGTTTTGAAGGCCTTGTCAATTAAACCAGTTGTGAACCGCATAGGACTGAACTGGAGAGGGAGCAACAGAAGAGATCACGAGGGCCCGCAGGTTCCGGGTATCTCCAGGCCTTTTCACACAGATGGGTTTACATGTCTGATTCTGCATGTCTGATTCTAATGCACCATCTAATTTAACTTGCACCTCAATTTTGGCAATGTAATTTAGCCCCCCCCCCCCCCCAAGGTGAGCATTAAACGTGAGTACGCAGGTGGGGAAAAGGCGAATATCCCTGGTGTCACCCTTCCCAAGATAGGATACCACAGGTCATTTCTCTAGTTGCCTTTGTTTCTGAAGTGACAAGAAATGATGGGCTTCTTTTGGTCTATCCCATTTGGTATTCAAGTAGTTGTATTTTGGACTAGGTGGTATTTCAAAGAAGTCTTCCAAACCCAGTTTTTTAAAATGATAGATGATTTGGGGAGGATTGCCACAGCTTTGACAGCAGTGACCAAGTTATCTCTACCCTGAAGGGATTGCAGCTAGAATAGAATTTCATTTCATGAAAAGTACATTGGCCACGAAAACATTTTTATTTCTATGTTAGTGTTTACCAGTATTGTCAAACAGGAATATTGGGATGGGGAATCTTTGAATGCATAGGGCTAAAATATAACTTAGGAGAAGTTTTGCATTTTAGCAATGGCTGGGGCAAAGCTAGATGTAAACCTTGCTATATTCCTGACATTTTCCCAGCAAGCATTCCACTTGGTTTCATACAACAGCTGTCTTCACAGTCCATCCCAGTTTTGTACAGAGTATTAATAGTTTGAATACATTTAAATACCTTCCTATCTATGGTTATCATTGACAATAACAACAGTAACTATCTATATTGACTGATAGCTGACCAAAGAGAAAAGTTTCAAAAGTTGTATTCAGCTCTCAGATCTTCCTCTAAATTAGGGCTTCTTAAACCTTTTCCATTTGTGACATCTTTTGAACTGAGAAATTTTTATGTGACCCCAGGTATATAGGTATATAATAAAACAGGTATAAAATCAAATATTTACTTATAATAAGTCAGCATTTGCAAGGCTTGCTAGACAAGATGATTTTCCTTATTGTGGAGTACAGCTGAAGCATTTTCTGCAGTCAAGTGTAAACACTGCATGTTGTTGCTAACAGATTTGTGTAAATGTCTAAAACAAGCACTAGGTGACATTCCTAAACCCTTTACTGTTGCCATTTTTTTCTTGACCCCACATATAGAGTATGTGATGTGATGACGTCAACCATTGTTGCTTAGCACTTTAGTTCGTGATTGAAGAAGCCCAATGACTCACAGGCTTGACTGTGTTTTAGACATTTTAAACTTAATTTTATCAATTCATGTTTCTCATTGTTTGTATTCAGTTAATTTATGTATTGTTCTGGTGCTATGTAATTTTATTCTTCTGTGTAGCACCTTGAATGCTTTTGTGAGCCCCCCCCCCCCCCCGAGTCCCTTCGGGGAGATGGGCCGGGGTATAAATAAATTATTGTTATTGTTATTCTTGTTGTTGAGCTAAAGGGAACCCATTTGAGGTCAGGACCCACAGTTTATGAAGCAGTACTCTTGAGGGAATGCTGCTCCATTTAGAAGTGGTTGAATACTTTCTGTCTGATTAGATAAATCATCCACCAACTGTTTGTCTACTTTGACAGGAATGAGCTTCAGTTTACTGGTCCCCGTCTTATGTGTGACTGATCCCAGACACCAGTTCAACACTGCCTCTCTTGAATAGGGTTTAAAAAGTAAGATACAGTTGGTTGCTGACAGACACTGATGTTGCGAAAGTCCCAATCTAGATGAGACGTGATTGGAGCCCATAACATAAAAGCAATAGCTGAAAAAAATCCTACCTATCAACTCCTTTAAGATAGCCTACAGGGGGGAAACCCAATCAGATTAGGAACAATTTGTTCTTTAACCATATTCTACAATTAAATCCTCCACTAACTTGGCAGGTTGGTGTTAGCTTGTTTATTAACTGCCACAAAGCCATGATATAACATAATTGCCCTTCCCCATGCATTCAGGGATTTTGTATAATTTATGAAAATTCAATTAATATATTTAACATTGTTTCCCTGTGTCACAAAACATTGGGTTTGTTTTTAACTTGCATGGTGGCCATCTCAAACCTCAAGCAAAGAAAGGCACTGACCACATCAGTTTGTGAGCTCTGTATTTCTTACTTGTTAAAATTCCCTTTTCATCCCTCTCTTATATAAAAGACTTTTTGTTTGGTTCTAGTCAAAGGGGGTGGCTTTTATTTAGGTCTTCAGTTTAGATTCATGGTTTAATCTTGGTTTTGGCTGCCAAGCCAGACACTTTGGAATGCTTTAAGCTTAAAGATATCATAGCTGGTGTTCAAAGAAGGAAGGGAGGAGAAAAACATGTGTTTAATTAATGCATCACATTAATTAGCATAATTTCTCAAACATTTCTTCATACATTGTGCTTTAACATATTAATTTCAAGGCATAAAAAAGAAAACTACAATATTTTGCAAACGTATAGTACTACTGAAGAATACTAACTATTGAACTGTAATTTCACCACATATTGTCCCCTTCATCAAGCACTTTTCCTTTTCACATCTGTTCCTTTTTCTTTGGCTGCTACTTAATTGCTATCTATTGCTGTACTTAACCTGGCAATGATTTTTTAAACAGTTACTTCACATTGAAAAGCCTGGCTTTGCTCTCAGTTCAGCTGCTTGTATAATTTTGCTGTCCTTTGCCTCCCTAATGGCTATCTGATTGTTCCCAAATATATTTCCAGCTTCTTTTGTTTATTTACAAACATGCACATGTCATATGTGGCTTTGTTTTTAGCTGTTTGAACTCTTCTTTCTATCTACACTTCAGATTTCTTCATTATCATCTCTCAAATATTTCTGGACGTTTAACCTCTTTAATATTTGTTATGCTTTCATCAAGTTTTTTTCCTCATTTCCCTCTATCTTGCATTGTTTTTCTTTAGTCTGACAGTAATTTGAATTTTTAAACTCTGAAGATAGGCCATATTGTTGTCATGGAATTCAAATACATTTAGACAGCCTTCCTCTGCCAGCTTTTTAACTTTGATTGTCAGGATCTCCTCTGTTTGTTCAGGTGTCATATTTTAGTAGATGGTGAGTTTTGGCATGGAGTGTTTTCAGCTTTTGTAAAATGTTTGATTTAGTTGTAAAACTATTCATTCAATATGTGGATTTATTTGAGAATTACTTTTAAGTTTTTTAATTTTTAATTACTTTTAGCAAAGTATGTGGATTCAAAACTGAGAGCAGGCAATAAAGAGGCAACCGATGAAGAACTGGAAAGAATCCTTGACAAAATAATGATAATATTTAGATTTATCCATGGTAAGTAGCATATTTTTGAACATTTTCATAACATATACATTATTTGTCTCTACTATTGAATTTGTATACACAAAGGATATTTGACATATATGCCCTATAGAAATTCCTGATTTATATGTGTCCTAACGGCTTGTAGAGAGAGACTAAGAGAGCCCATTAATGGTTTAACATAATGCTTTCAGGTGGGTTTTTTTTGTTTTGTTATATTCACATTACATCAAAATACAAGCAGTCCTTGAGTTACAAGCACCCTACTTACAAATGAGTAATATTTAAGAATGGAGTAAGACAACAGGAAGTGAGAGAAATCTATCCCTCGGAAGGGAAATTCACTCTTGAAAGAGTTATCATGGGGAAAAGGTGTCTCCACTGAAGCATTTTCACCAGTCCTTGTTTCTACAACAAGCCAATGTTTTCAAAATCCAATTATCACAGGGACAGAAATCTTTTGAACAGGGACACACACAGCAACACTATGAGTTGTTAACCGTTCCCTATGTGATCCAAAGCTAAACAAATATATATTTTGGCTGGAGTTACACTTTAAAAATGTACCTGTTTTGACTTACAAACAAATTCAACTTAAGAACAAACCTACAGAACTTATATTGTTTGTAAGTTGGAGACTGCCTATACAGTACAGGAATTATTATGTGAACCTTTATTGCAGTATTCTGAATGAGGATCCATATAGAAGGAAGTGTTACATGATTAGTTTTTGGCTGTTATCGGTTTCCCTGATTAGAAGGATATTGCCCCCACAAACATAAACCTTCACTCTTCTAACTCCTCTAACCAGTGGGAGCAAAATGAGTCAAGGTGGTACTGGATCCTAAGGTCTTGCATTTTTAAGGCAGTGGCTACATTTTATGAAAGTGTCATATCTGGCTTGATACTGCATGAAGTAAAACATTTTTGCCAAGCTTAGGAAAAGCTATTTACATCATCAGATATGAAAATAACCTTTCAGAAAGGCTTGTTGTGCTACTTCAAAGGGGTTTTCTGCGTTCCTTCCCAGTGGAGAGAGCCCTGCCCTCCTTGCAGACATTTTCCATCCTGCCCTTCGGTCACTGTTCTACTGCTGCTAAGTTAAATATTAATTAAATAGCTAATGTTTTTATACGCAGCCTAGAATGCCAATGCTTGATGTATTCTAGCATACCCTCCCCGTGGCTATGCCTAGCCTTGATGTCTTTGAGTCACCACAAAAACACTGTTTTATGTCTCCACATATTTTAAAATTTTACTGTCTTTTAAGTATTTTAAATTCTGCATTTTTAAACAGCTGATAAATTGTGCTTTATCAGCTGTTTCCATGCATGTGTTTGTGGTTTTATTTTTTTGCATGCCCCCTTCCAATCTTGTATTAAAATGATAAAAACCATTATAATGGGACATGTATTGCCAAAATGTATTTCAAATATTCACTTCCATTGGCATGAATTAGAGATTTGCAGAATGCTGAGCAGGCATATCCTGAGAAGTATTTGGTTCCTTTTATGAAAGATAAGAAGTCAAGTCACTGCTCCATAGCAGAGCAAAATATACATGTACTTCGAGTATCACAGACAGGAAGGAAGGAAGCATCAGTTACGTAAATAGGGGCAGGCAGGAGTTACTTCATAATGTCAAGAAGTGAAGAAAACCTTCCAGTCATTTTGCACAATTCCTGCTTTGGTAATCATTATACACATAAAAAATTGAGCAAACTGTGATTTTTTTTTCCTGTTGTGGTTTAGAGTTGATAATTCTCAAATTTCACTTCTAGTATTTTGGCTTGTTTCCAATAGGTAAAGATGTATTTGAAGCATTTTATAAAAAAGACTTGGCCAAAAGGCTTCTGGTTGGAAAAAGTGCTTCAGTAGATGCTGAGAAATCTATGTTATCTAAGCTTAAGCATGGTAAGCAAACATTTCCCCTTAATTTTATACCTGAACCTTTATAGAAGCAAATAACATTTATTCGATATGTCACATATATGATTATTTATTTATTTATTTCCTATATTTGTACCCTGCCCTTCTCACTCCTGGGTGTGCGTGTGTGTGTGCTCAGGGTGGTCTCACAACAAACACCATACGATACCATCACCATCATAAAGCATTCAACAGATACATTGGAAAACATTAAAAGAGTTACTTAAAAATTAAACATGCCAGTTAAAAAACCAAAACCAAGTCTGGGTCAGTTCATTGTCACGGGTTGCCTAAGTCTGAATTACTAGATATGCTTTTTAAAAGTAAATCGGATGATTATGTTTCAGGATTTTTTTCATGCTTCTGAACTATTTGATGACTTCATAATGTGCATGAATGCTAAATAAAGTCAGTGTATACTTAGCATCTCTCCCTCCATGTTTATATACTAGAATGTGGAGCTGCTTTCACCAGTAAACTTGAAGGAATGTTTAAGGATATGGAACTCTCCAAAGATATTATGATTCAGTTTAAACAGGTACGTTTTAACTTCAGTTTCATCATACAGGAAATTGCCTAGATATTATCTTATTAGCAACATGCTTGTTATATGTAATATCTTCTTCCTTATCAAAATGTATGACTTTTATTGACTTCAAAAAATAAAATGAAGGAATGATATAGTTATGACCAAATCAGCCTAGTTGAGCTATTGAGTTCTGTGAAAAAGAAATTGGGAGTGAAGCCAAGGACATAACAAAGTACTGTTATAATTAGAATAGGAGGGTTTTTTTGTTTTGTTTTGTTTTGTTTTACTGATTTGGGTGGGTGGAGTGTTTTGCCCCAGGCTACAATTCAAATCTTGTTTCATTTTCTTTTGGGTCTCAGCTTCCTGGGCCACCTAATCTACTACACTTTGAAAATAATTTTGCATAGGTTTATGAAAAGATGTCATTTAAAAGTACACACACCAATGGCAAAACTTTCTGACAGGAATGCATAAATTTACAAAATCCTACAGCACAACTCTGTAGAAGCATGATTTCCTGTCAGTCAGGTCTGTGATTCAGAAAGGCATGAGGCACAGAATCTCAAGTTACTGGAGAAAGAAGGAGGGAAGGAAGGAAGGCAAGCAAAGAAAGGAAGTTGACTTTCTTGGTTTCTGATAGTGAAGGGACTCCTTTTCCTTGACCCCTCATTGTTGGTTAGTCTGTTTAAGATATTTATATCTCATCTCCTAACTCACAAGGGATGTCCAGGTGACAAAAACAATTAAAATAGTAAAATATTTTAAAAATCAAAAACCATTTTAAATATAATGTTAAAACAGTAAAAGAACACACACTTCAAACATTAAAGGCCATGCGGATCAGCATTGTTTTAGCCAGTAGCTCCTAAATCCCTTAGGAAAGGAGTCCCACAGTTGGGGTGTTGCTACACATATTCTTATAAAATACTCCACCACTAAAATACTCTAGTCCTATGTAGCACAGTAGCACTGAAGGCGGGAGTAGTGTCTTTTCACAGATTTCCCACAGTTGAAATTTATTCCTCTCCGGAAGAGTTCTGAATAGCACTCAGTGCCTTTACTTGGCTGACTATCTAGATTCTAGAACAATGTTGCAGGCCCTGTCATGAATGATGTCCCTTGATAAGTGCTCTTGTGGTAATGATGACATGCTCATTCTATGGCCACCATAAGTTTGATATCAAGCTTTGAACAGTAAAAAAAAAAGACTATTTCATCAACATTTGTATTGCTGCTACAAAATGGCAATCATTTGCATTCACCTTAAGTGTCTTAACAGAAATGCTACTATGGTAGTAGTTTTAAAATAGTGTATATATTCTTTGTAGTATTATTTTTCCAATATATGAAAATGGTGAAGTGTGAAGCAGAGAACACTTCCCCTGTAAGAACTCCATGTACCTTCAATGAATAGGGGATTTGAAACATTGTTTAAAGAATGATATGGATTACCAATGCCAGTATTTGCTAAGCAAAAGTAAATATGCTATATTTTACTCAGGGCTTTTTAAAAAGATGATTGAGAATTCAGTTTTGCTGTACTTGATAAAAGTAATAGTTTCATAACATGAAATTGAACTTTAGGTATAAAAAATAGATGAGTTCTAATTATATTTTTATTATACATATTAGAATAATATCCATTCTTTTTGTTTCCTCTTCATTTATTTAGTATATGCAGAATCAGAGTGACCCAGGCAATATAGACTTAACAGTAAATATACTTACTATGGGATACTGGCCAACTTATACCCCCATGGATGTCCTTTTGCCTCCAGAGGTAAGCATTCAAGAAGAACTTTTGGGACATCACAAGATACGATTGTTCATTTGTTATAGTCTCTACAGTCATGTATGTACATAATGGAGCACAACATCTCATATTTTTTTTGGCCGAAAAGGGGAAGGGTTAATCTCTTTGGAAAACATTGTCAATTATATAGGTGTGTACAGAAAGATTGATACTTTAAGCCTTGTGGGGGTGGCCCAGTTGTTCTAAACATGCATGTTTCTTTGCAAGAGCATTTAACATTGTAGTCCATACTGTATTATGAAGAAAGCCTAACATCCATCCTGATATGAAAGGTTTTGCTGTGCGGGAGCATGCAGACATGTAGCTTGCATTACTTGCACAGAAATTTCCATGCCTTTTGGCTGGCCTAATAAAGGTTTGACAATATTTGTTTTGGACTTTGTCTTATGACTATCTCAGCAATCCCAGCGTTGTGTCTGTACCATTTCCACAACCAGACAGGCGCTTCAGAGCCTCGTTGCCTCGTGTTACCACATTATCTTGAAGCACAAAGCATTGAATTCTATTCAGATCTATCATCTGAAACATAATAAAGAATTAAGATTAAACAGACATTTATTCTCTTACTTGTTTGTTTTGCATTGTCTGGTTGCTTGTTTGTTCATTGATTGTCAGTGTAGGAAGGGAGGTGGTTGATAGCCCATTTATATATCATTTTACTGTAAAGATCTAAACCTTACAATGGTATGTAAGTGCATTCACACAGACACAAGTCTTTGACTGTATTGCCTTATTTATTTCTCCCTTCCTTCTGCCTGTTATTGCAGATGGTTAAACTGCAAGAAGTATTTAAAACCTTTTATCTTGGAAAGCACAGTGGTCGAAAGCTACAGTGGCAGACAAGTTTAGGACATGCTGTCCTGAAAGCAGAATTTAAAGAGGTGTGTTATTCTTATTTTAGACAACAAAAAAACATAGATCAGTGACTTTTTACTTTCTTCATATACAAAGATTTCTTTTCATTGTTATGTTTTTTTTTAAAAAATTCTCTCATTAGAGAAGGAGATATGTTTTTTAATTTAGGCAGCAGTCTGTTTTCTTGAACTGAATCTTTGAGAAACCACATCTGAGATTTAGTAATTTCTTGTATCTCACAATCTCAGTTCTTTTGTATGCAGGCATTCATATCAAATTAAATTCATTCTCTGAAACCTTGGAAACAAAGCTATGTGATAAATATCAGGCATTGTTCCAATGTGTCATTATTCTGCACTACTATGACTTAATTGTGTTTTTGGCACTGCTGCTGGGCCAAAAATATAGTGAAAGCATCTTGGGTAAAAAAAAAAATCATTTAAATAATAAATAATTGACTTTGCTTTGTACATGATAGATAACTGAAACTGTTCCTTCCACCCTTTTATTGTGTTGATGTACTGCTTGAATCAAATGTGCACATGTAAAGCCCAACGCATGATCTTGCCAACCAGTGGAAAACATTTGAGTATGTAAGCTGTAAAAGGATTACCATAGTCAAGAACCTAAAATAATTTGCAGTGAATAGTTTTCCATAAAGAGAAAGAGAGCAGCTCTTCCTTCATTTCTTTTTCAGTTTCTAGAAATATGAGGACTCTGTACTCTAGGTATTGTGCAAAATGCAGAGCCTCCCCACGAGTCAGGATTTCGGATTTTAGACTTTGATTCAGCTTGCTCCATTCATAGGCTGCAGAGGCTGATCATCAGACTGGATTTGGAACATTTCTGTTTATTAAGATTTTTTATTTCCAGTTGACTGGTATCACTTTGGATGCTGTCACATGAGATGGCATTGACAAAAGGATTTATTCTTTTGAATTCTGAGGAAGAGAGCTCCCCTTATGCTCAGTATGTTATCTCAAGTATTATAATATGAGTTGATTTAAGACCTATCTCTTCCGTCAGGTCTATCCAGTCAATTTTAACCTGCATTTTATCCAGGAATTTTAATCTGTATTTTACCTGTGTATATTTGTTATATGTATTGTAATAGTGCTTTGTTTTATCTCACTGTTTTAACCATGTTGCACTCTGCCTCGGCCACAAGGACAGGCGTGTAATAAATTGTTGTTGTTGTTGTTGTTGTTGTTGTTGTAACTATTGTTATTTCAAACAGTAAACATAGAAAGGAAATAAAAGCTTGGAAACATGACTATTTTGGACAACAACTCCCAGAGTCCCCAGCCAGCATGACTGCTGAAAGTTGTAGTAAAAAAAGTGACAGTTCTAGCCACTGGCATTTTTTTCTATCTGAAAAAAAGTCCTAGAGAGCTTTATGAATTAATAAAAAGACGATGTATGGTAGTGGTAGAGCACGTTAGGCATACAGAAGGTTCTAGGTTAAATACCTGGCTTCTAAAGGGTCAAGGCTAGAAAACCTGAGGGCTTCTGCCAGTCAGTGTCAGTATAATATGTCAATTGATCAATCACTGGTCTTACCGGATACAAACCAGCTTCATGTACCCTAATTTCTATCACATAAAATATAAACAAGCGGGGGGGGGGGGGGGGGGAGGAGAGATGGAAAGAGCGGAAGTAGTGACAACAATTACTCAATGGATCTACCATACTACTAAACTTATATGTTTGAAGATACCTTATGTGTTGGATTATTACATTATGATGTTTGTTTGTTTTTCTATTTTAGGGAAAAAAGGAGTTTCAGGTGTCACTTTTTCAAACATTGGTGTTTCTGATGTTCAATGATGGAGATGAGTTCAGTTTTGAAGAAATTAAAATGGCCACTGGTATAGGTAGGTAGTACTTCAGCTCTGGAGCAAGGTATCCACTGCACAGAATTGAGCTCAACGGCCAGGGGAGTAAGCAAATGAACAGCACTTGGAGGGCCACCAGCCTGCTGATCTCTGTCTTGCTCCTTATTCGGCTCAACCTGGCTCTAGGGGGGATTGCACCCAAAGCTCCCACCCACCACTATAGTAGCAGCAGCATGTGAGCTGGGTATCCAGGAAATGTGTGGCAACAGGGCCACGCTCTCCTTTTCTCCAGTCAAGTGACAGTAAGGCATTTCTTCCACCACCACTTCCATTTTATTTATTTATTTATTTATTTGTCGTGTCAGGGCAACCAGTCAATTATACATTTCTAACAGAACAAAGCAAACAAACAGACAAAATACACTTCCATGAATCATCCAGAGGAAAGATGCCTAGGGTTGTTCACATGGACTTGGGTTGCTAAGACTCACTTGCTCACTAGAATGAATTAGGTGCTGCTGCAAGCCAAGGGTGAGTGGGTTGGGTATACTCACCCACAGGGGTGGGTTAGTAGCATAGTGGAAACAAGAATGCTCCATTCTGTGGTACAATGAGTACCACCATTGCCACAGGCCTATTCAAACTTTGTTTTTGTTCTGGATGCTTTTAGTTCAATTTTAGTCTATCCCCTCGTATAAGCTGTTCTTCTATCCCAGAAATGTATAAGACCTGTTTCCTTATTTACCGTATTTTCTCGAATATAATGCACACCTCAATTTTGAAGGTGCACATGACCAAAAAAAAAAAAAGAATTGTTGAATGTAATGTGCTCAAGTTAGGGACTGCAAAAAGGAATGGTTCCTCCTTCCCCGTTGGCTGTTCTGCTGCCTCCCACCCTGAAGACAGGGCCAGTGGTATAGGCAAGGTTCAAGTTTGCTTCAAAATGGCTGACAGGAAAGGGGATGTTCTTTCTCACCTTCAAACCAAGGCTTGCAAGTTGGCCAGCCTCAGCCTGCTGGAGGGGCACGGTTTCTCAACTGGCCTGTTTCACTAGGCCTTAAAAACTGAGGGGGAGGTTCTGAAGGCCTCCTAAAGGAGGCCAGTTGGGAAGCTCCTGCACATTCTGCTTCAGAACAGGCAATAGACAATAGGAAGATGTGCCCTCCATCAGACTAAAGTTGGCAGACTTGCCAGCCTCAGCCTGATGGAGGGGTGCAGCTTCCCAAATGGCCTCCTTCACAAGGCCTTCAAAACAACCCCCTCAATTCTGAAGGCCTTAAGAAGGAGGCCAGTCTGGTGGAGGAGCGCAGGCAGGTTTACATTTGCAATTCTAAGACAGACCTCAATTTTAGCTATATAATTTAGCCAAAAAAAAGGTACAGATTAGAGTTGAGTAAATGTGGTAAATTAAGTTTTTAAAACTCTCAAACTTTTTTTTTTTTTTTGCATTTTTGAAATATTTCAAACTTCCAAGAATAAATATTCATTAATTCTCCAGCTCATAAAACATTGCTGTCTGGTTGTTTGGGGCATTAAACCCAATAGATGCATTATCTTACCACTCCAATTCATTTGCACAATTGTGTGTCTGTTGCTCTTGAGATACCAGTCTTGACTGTAACATTTGTCTCCATGAGACAAATTCTAAATCCATATGCTTATTTCGCAATATCCTAGAAATACAATGATATATTTGTGATTCTTTAAAAACTGAATGCCTGGCTTCTCTAATTGCTATGGTAATTATAAATGTGTCTACATCATATGTGTACTATTTAATCCCGTTATACAGAGGAAAGTGAATTGAAAAGAACCTTACAGTCTCTGGCTTGTGGTAAAGCGAGAGTGTTGAATAAAAGTCCAAGAGGCAAGGATGTTGAAGACGGGGACAAATTCACCTTTAATGCTGATTTCAAGCATAAATTGTTCAGAATAAAGATCAATCAAATCCAGATGAAGGAAACAGTATGTATTCAATAATGGCATTTCTAGTGTATTTGTGTGTATAGAGAGCAATTTTGGTTTGCTCTGTATCCTGATAGAACAAAATTGTGGTGTTTTCAGTTTTAAAGCAGAACACTTTTGTCTTTCTTATGCAAAACTTGCCTCTTAAAGTTCAGGGATGATTTGTACAAGAAATATTTCTTTATTCATAAGACAGAATTTTGCTTGCAAATTGAAGCAATACAATTTCAAACCTGTTAGTAGGCACAGTGCATGTTTGCCATATAGACACAGCAAGATAAGTTCAATTTTTGTCGTTTTAATATGTTTCGTTTATTTGATTTAAAAACTTTTGTATTTGTAAGAGTTTAGCTTTTTATATTTCTTTTAAGCCTCCTTAAATTCTATGCAAGAACAAGGCAGGATATATATCAAAATAAAGTAAAAATGCAACAATTTACAAAGCATGCACTTTTTGTATGAACGCATCAAACACTTATCACTGGCATAGAGTAAACATTACAAAGTTATTTGTAAACTATGATCTTTCTAATCCCAAATAACAAGTTTTCTCAAGTAGTTAGTTGACATTGTAATTGACAGATTTTATTTTCAAGATTCTAAAAAGTAACTGAAGTAGTCACATTTCCGTTACCTGTTAAAATGTGAATGTTGCAAACCTTTGGCCTATGATACTATTACACACACCGCCTTCCCATCTATCTCATCTTCACCTCACCACTCATAACAGAGTGCAAGGTATAGCACAACCCAGCACTTGAATCATGTGATAGTCACCTCAATCATTTAGGAAGCCAAACTGTAAAATAATGTAAATGTCAAGTTCCTCATCACAACATGGGTACAATTATCCTTTATAAACTACAGTATAATGTAATATAGTTAGATCTTTGTCATTGAGGAGGAACTAATTAGAAGATGTACTTGTGATGTTTGCTTGATTGATGCAGACCATACATATTTTTATGACTGTTCATTCCTATTCTTCCTCTTAATAGGTTTGTCACGATTGCAACATATTTAGATACACGTTGTTAATTTTCCTTAATACAAATTACATGTTGAAAACATTAAATACAAAAAGCCAGATAGGTGTTGCTTTGTGAGTGAAATAAACACCATATTAAGCCAATACTCACCATATTTGTGAGTAAAATAAACACCATATTAAGCCAATGTTATTCAGAAAACTTTTAATTAAAACTGTATTTTATTAGGCAAATAGTTTGTTCACATTGATGAATAAAAAAAGAATAAAAAAGAATAAATAAATAAAGTACAGATAAAACCTTATTTTACTTTGGGTCATTCTTAAAATATAATCTGGGTCTTAGTATGTGTACAATACAGACTGCTGTTAAATAGGAATATAAATTCCAAACATTTTTATGATAACTCATGTTTTTCCAGTTATTTGTACAAAATGGAATCAGTTAAGTTTCTATATGGCCTTTACTCTAGAAAATAAATTCTTTAACCATAGCTGTAGAGTTGTTATTGTGTATCTCTGCATTATAATTAATTGTATAGTAAGTAAGTAACCAAAGGCATTAGGGGTATGTTTGTGTGTGTACATATGGATGCATGTGGACTCATCAGAAAAAGAAATGAAAGGTACTGTATAATCTTGCGTTCTTGCTCTTTAGGTTGAGGAACAAGTTAGCACAACTGAAAGAGTTTTTCAAGACAGACAGTATCAGATTGATGCTGCCATCGTTCGTATAATGAAAATGAGGAAAACCCTTGGGCACAATCTTCTTGTTTCAGAGTTATATAATCAACTAAAATTTCCAGTGAAGGTAAGTGAAATGTTCAGATTTTTTTTCTCAACCAAGCCAGTAAACCCACACCCAAAGACAAAGTCAGATTAAATAGAAATTTAAGCATATGACAATTGTAAAGTTTTGTTGCTACAGTTAAATTAGCATATTTAGATATTTTCTATAGGTACAGTATACTGTATTATCTTTCTTTTGTCCCCGAATTGCTAAACACAGTGATGATGTATTCTCTTTTTAACAGCCTGGAGATTTGAAAAAGCGGATTGAATCTCTCATAGACAGAGAATATATGGAGAGAGACAAAGATAACCCTAATCAGTATCACTATGTTGCATGATAAGGAAGAAACATTTTTAATGAAACAAATGGATACTAGCTTCCCAACAATGGATACTTGAGATATTCCCAAACCTTTATTTTAGGAGATTTGGGAATTGTGATAGTCAATCAGCTGCATGCACTGCTGATACTTGAAACATCCTTGCATAGACTACATTGTGTTTTCTAAAGACATGTTTATTTTTAGCTTCTTGATTTCTTTGGGAATTCTGTTCAAACATTATTTTGAGTGAATGATAACAATCCTTTCTGATGTCATTCTTTGGCCTAAAGAAGTTAGGATAATTGTGTGCCTGACTGAGCATCATAAAAGTTCTTTGTGCTGTATTCTTGAGCTTCAAAGATGATATGGATGTCTTTTTTAAACTCAGTGGAAGAACAATCAGTGGTTTCAGAGTACACTGAATTTCAACTATGCACAATGAATTCTAGTATTTCTATTTGATTTTTTATTTCACATCTTTCTAAACGTTACCTTTGTTTAGATAGATCCAAGTGCCAAGAGGATGACTGCATATAAACAACTGTAGTTGAATTTTGAAAATACTTATTGGTGATGCTTTTTTCTTCTTCTTGGCCCCATGAGAGTAAATTAAATAAGCACTTTCTTACTTCAGGATACTTGTTTATAAGCATCCAGTAAAACAACAAACTGTTCTAGTTTTATTCTAAGACTTGCACACAGACTAATTACACTGGCATGTTCTTGGAACATGAAAAAAAGTATTTTTAAGGTAAGATCATAGGCGACAATCCAGTCATTCTCCAAATACCTCATATTTGCAGCAACATAGTGCAGAGAAGAACTGGATTGTCCCCATGATTTTTGTTTTGACAGACTTTGAATATACTGTTAATGTAGAATTTGATCGAATTTTGGAGAAAGAAATCTATGGAAACTGATACTTGTTAACTGCTGGTTTTACAGGATATACAAAATGGTATATGTTTAAAAGAAACCAAAGGGAGGGGGGAGATTGTCCTTTGTGTCATTTAATGTTAGTAATACTTTTTATTAAAATGCGTTGCATAAAATTAGTCACTTGGTTAATTATATAAAGAAGTTCCCTTGTAATATTTTGACTTCAAATTAAAGTACCTCCATTAACTGTCAGTACCTGTTGCACTTACTGAATTTTTCTTCCATTTCCTTTGTATATGTAAAAATCTAAATTGGAGCTAATGTAAAATAATATAGATCTCTTTTCACTTTTAATGATCTGAATTTTATTTACAGATGATGTTATCTTATTAACTTCGTAGTCACTGTATGAATATGGCAGTACATTTTCAGTCTGCAGTAGGATGGCTAGTTGTCTTTCCATTGATTGATAGTGAAACTGCTTTAATCAGATTCACCTTTCTTTTTAAAATGTGGGAAATACACAGCTTATGCTTACAGGCGCCTACATGATATTTTATACAGTGCATTACATTATGCCAATTTGTAATGCACAACTTGTTGAATGCTGTTTCACTTATATGCAGAGAGCTTTGAGTGTCATAGAATCACTCTAGAGATGATAGTGATGCCTAGAAAAGTGTCAACTTCGAGCAGATTATCCAGTGGAAGTTCCTTGCTTTAGAGACTTGTTGCAACTGTTCGTTTTTATGCACTTTTGTAAAAAATGCAACTGTAGAAAGAGATGGCTCTCACTAGAATGCTGATATTCCTAACAGGTTTTTCATGGGGTATAAAAGCAAAGCAATGACTACTAGAAAGTATAAAAACTAGAAACAGGCGAACACAATTTATTGTTACAGGAGCACTTCGATCACAAAAATGTTTTTATTTCCTTGTTATAAGTAGCAGAAAATTGCTCAACAACTTTGTATTTGTTAAGGGTAGATGTCCACATATTAGATTGTTCTAAGTTAGAATCATATTTACAAAATGCCTTTTATCAGTACTACAGCTATCATGAAAATTTTAATAATCACAACTGAGACCTCATCACACTAGCATCTTTTGCGCCTGCTTTCAATCCTGTGGATGCCTCCTTCCTGCAGAATTCTGAGGCTTGTAGTTTAGGGAGGTCCAGGGCCTTTCTGGCTGAGAATTCTGGCTGAGAATTCCAAAAGCCCTGCCCTAAACTACAAGCTCCAGAATTCTGCAGGAAGCTACAGAATTCTGCAGGCAGCTACAGCATTGAAAGCGGCACAGATGCTTTCCTTACTCTTTTAAAATGCTAGTGTGATGAGGTCATCAATCACAACTTGTCTGGAGGCAGCAAGAGAACAATCTCTGTCTTCCATTTTTTAAGGGAATTATAGCATGGTCATCAACACATGCTGACTGTAGGAGACATAAATGCTTTACTATTTATTTACTGCCTAATTTCAGTCTTAGACTGGAAAATTCAAGACTAAAGGTAGCTAAGGTGCAACTGACAAGAAACTGAAATTGGCAAAAACTCAAAGGGAGTCACCATCCCATGTGACAACCTGACATTAACACCTTTAAGAATACTTTGTAATTATAGCTGCATTTGCATACACATTTACATAAGAGTAATATATACTTACTGGGACTGGTTCCATAAACCTGGTGGGATTTACTTAAGCAGCACAATATGTTGTGTGATACTTAAAATTCAGCTGAGTTGTACAAATGGAAGAGATGTGCAATTTAAAAGCCCACACACTTAACATGAAAGGAGAAGGATTGGAATCAGTGTTGTTGTATATCATCAGGTTGTCTATAAATTAAGGCAATCCTAAAACGAACCTGTCATGGGGATCCTTGGCAAGAGTTGTTTGGAACTTTTGCTGTTTTCATCTTCTGGGAGGCTAAGAGAGTGTGACTTGCTCAAGTTCGCCCAGGGGGTTTTAATGGTCAAGTAGGGATTCAAATCCTAGTTTTTAGAGTCCTAATCCAACACTCAAATCACTGTGCTAGATTGGCTCTCAGATATCCATATCAAGTACCTGGTTTAAAGTTCCCTAGAATGTTTAATAAAGGATCATGAAGAGCAGTGTATCATTTGAAAATCATTGAGCAAATGTAATTTTTCTACCAGATAAGTCTTTCTTTAAAAAAAAAACCTACTGATTTATCTTTTAAAAAAACATTTTATTTTATTTGATATATAACAAACTTTTGTCATACAAGACTTATTTCACTATACATTTATTTATTTATTTAGATTTTTTTTGTATCCGTGGAAGAACTTAGAATGGCTAACAGCAAAATTCAGTGTTATACAATAAATAATGTTATAAAACAACATACAATAAATAAATTCTAAAATAAATATAAAACCATTCAGCATGTTTAAAACAACATATACATTATTCCAAAAGTAAATATTCCTTAAATGACACTTTATACATTCCTTAGATGTGTATCAACCACACACACACATTCCCCCATCCTCCTGGAACAGCAATTCTAAATTATGTCATTGCATCAGTCTTTCCAGATAATCTACGTATTTTACCACCACCAAATTTTCTCTCAACTTCTTTACAGACTTTATACTCTTACCTTTGAATAAACATTAACTTGCACAACTTTGATCATTTATTATCTGTCTCGGTTTATCAGGATAAACCTTGAGAAAAGAAGTCAAGTGACACTGTAAGCATCTGCTCTCAGTTAAAAAAAATCTTATTAACAGCAAAGTGAACAGAAGCTTTTTGGACTACAACTCCCTGAATCCCTCAGACAGAATAACCAATATGGTGAATGAGATTATGTGGATTATTGTCTAAAAAGTAATGTTGCTCATCTCTAGCTAGGCTAGGTATCTGGCTGAAGTTATGGGGAGCTGCTGCAAGTCAGAGTTCTCAATCCTACTGATTGCTTGAAGCAGTTTCTTCAAATTTGAATTGGTATGAAGCAGATTTCATCTGAGTGTGCAGCTCAGGCCTCTTTTGCCCTCCTTTCACAGAAAAAAGGGGACTTCAAAGGCCATTAATATTCCATAATCATATGTATTATCTTTTAACAGTTTTGATCTCCTCTCCCTTTATGGACATGTGAGAACATTGGGCAACTTTTTAGCTCTGCATTATTTGTATCGTTACTTCTGCTTTTACTGAGAGCAAAAGTAGGTGCAACATGGAAGGGAGACAATCAACTTTGGTAAATACTTGGATGGGAGACTGGCAATTAATACCTGGTGCTGTAGGCTATATTTCAGAGGAAGGAAATGGCAAAATGACCTCTTGAGTATGCCTTCCTAAGAAAACCCTATGAAACTCATTGGTTTCCCATGTGTTAACAGGTGACTTGATGTCAGATACACACAAATCCTTGCAAACACATGTATGTTTGTATAAAGGAATTTTGAACATGTACAGAATGTTTTCTGTGCCAATGAGAAAACATTTCAAGCCTTGGTCCTTGCCTCGCCAAATGTTTAGGTTTAGGATCCTGGGCGTCAGAAAGGTTATTTCCAAAAAAGCTGCATGAGAGTGTATATACTCCTGGCTACTTCTCTCAACCTTTGCTGTTTATATATTTAGGATTTCAATGATAAAATCGTGAACTATTAGAATGTGCAGGAGACAGACATGACGCTTCTCAAGATTGTTTCTCTTAATGCTTCTACTCTTTGGACTGGAGCAAAGCCCGCGCTTCCTGTCAATGTACAAATGTTATCTTGTGTTGACACAGCAGGAGGCAACAATGCCTGTTTGAGTGGACTATCTGATCATCCTTCAACTCAAGAATTTGTGTTCTATATCATCTGCAAACTCCCACCCTTTGGTTCTGGCCCTGGTGGGGACCTACCTATCTCGATTTATCTGGTTCGTTCCCTTGGCACAGAATCAGGGCTGCTTCCAGGCACAACACATTCCTGCACTTGTGGCCAAACCTGTCTGCCCAGGGTGTGCACACCAATGGAAACTGAATACTAGAGGAGTGTGTGATTTCCCATACAAATGCTTGCCTGGTGTAATTTCAAAAAGTTTGAAGGTTTGTAAATTAAACCAGTGGCTCCATGTTCTTTAAGTAGCTCTTTAAGTAAAACGGTTAAGTTTGATATGAATATAAATGTACATGTATCTGCATACACCTCTGGATACAATACTCCTTGTATGTTCAAGTCCCATCAAGTAACATCTGCAGAAACAAAGGTTACCCAGGAGAGGAACTAACCCCTAGTTTCCAACAGACCTCTCAACCTCTGAGGATGCCTGCCATAAATGTGGATAAAATGTCAGGAAAAAATGCTTCTGGAACATAGCCATACAGCCCAGAAAACTCACAGCAACCCTGTACACACATATATACACACACATTCCACAGATATAAAAACTATTTCTATATATCTATATCCATATATATATATATATAGTTTCTATATCTATGGAATGTCCAGGGTGGGAGAAAAAACTCTTTCCTGTTGGAGGCAAGAGTGAATGTTGCAACTGGCCAGCTTGATTAGCATTGAATGGCCTTGTAGCTTCAAAACCGGACTGCTTCCTGCCTTGGGGAAAATCCCTTGTTGAATTGCAGTGAGTTTTCCTGGCTGTATGGCCATGTTCCAGAAGCATTCTCTCCTGACGTTTCACCCACATCTGTGGCAGACATCCTCAGAGGTTGAGAGGTCTGTTGGAAACAAGGTAAGGGTGAATGTTGCAATTGGTCAACTTGATTAGCACTGAAGAGACTTGCAGCTTCAAAACCTGGCTGCTTCCTGCCTTGGGAAAATTCCCTTGTTGAGTTGCAGTGAGTTTTCCGGACTGTATGGCCATGTTTCAGAAGCATTCTTTCCTGACATTTCACCATCTATGGTAGGCATCCTCGGAGGTCGTGAGGTCTGTTGGAAACTAGGCAAGCAGGGTTTCTATATCTGTAGAGTGTCCAGGGTGGAAGAAAGAACCCTTGTCTGTTGGAGGCAAGTGTGAATGTTGCAATTGGCCACCTTGATTAGCATTGAATGGCCTTGCAGCTTCAAAACTTAGCTGCTTCCTGCCTGGGGGATCCTTTTGGAGATGTTAACTGGCCGTGATTGATTCCTATCTATTTTTTTGAGTGTCACTCTTTATTTACTATCCTGATTCTAGAGTTCTTTATAAATACTCCTATCGATTCAAGGTACTTCTATTTTTTATAATTTATGCAATGCTTTTGATAGGAAATAAATAACTTCCTAGGGCTTC